CCGCACATAGCACTTTGGAGCTCCATGAAATAAGCGCCCACGTCACTCGAGCCTTCCGTGGTGCTCTCAAGGGCACTATACTTATTTTCATTTGCTACAGCAACCTCAACATTGAAGCTCTTTACCCCAGGTGGGTTCGTATCATTCGAGCTTGACTTCCCATTCGAAGATCTGACTACTTGAGCCTTCCGGCACTGCCTCTTCAAGTGTCCGGCTTCGCCGCAGTTGTAGCAACGCATCTGACTTCCATGTCCACGGTGGGAATCATTTCTATTGCTCTGGTTATCACGCTGACGCTTGTAGTAGCTATTATTAGAATCTTTATTCTTATCCGAGCGTGAACTCTCGCCTCGGTCTCGGTGGTCTTCCCGACGTACACTGTTATTGCCAGCCCTTCGGTTATCATTTCTTGGGCGCTTATCCTCTCGAGAGCGACTTCGTCGCCGATTATATGCCTGATTATTGCGACGATCCGAGTTGTCCTGTCCGGTCCGTTCACGACGTTGATTTGTCTCAATTTTATTTGCCAATTCGTGCCGCATAGCAACACTAATTATTTCATTCCAGCTGCTCTTCTCGAAATCAAGTCCCTCGCGCCACAGTGCAGACTGCAACTCGTCACGCAATCCATTCCACAGCTTATCAATCCGTTGGCGCTTACTCGAAGCGCCGACGATCCTGAACAACATATCCAATTTATGGGCATACTCCGAGACAAGCATGCCACCTTGCCTGAAGTTCTCAAGCTTCTTTCTCTGTTTGAGACGGAAATCCGGTGGAAAGCACCAGTTGAATAATTCACGAAGGAAGTTGGGAAGATCCCATTCATGAACATTTAGAGCTACCATTGTACTATAGAAGCTTCTAGCCTTTCCGCCCAAAAAGTGGCCACATTTGATGACTTGGTCTTCTTCCGGGATACCTGCTTCCTTACAATACTGTTCGAAGTCCTGTACAAACTGCATGTATTTATCAATATTCTCATCACCATAGTACTTGCTCGGTTCAGTTGGGTTAGGCTGACGATAAACGGTACGTGTCGATACAGCCTTTCCCGCGATATCGGGAACAACAGGCCCCGAAATCTTTGGCGGCTGGCGGTTGGTAGGCGGGAAATGAGGTCCTCTTGGTAAATCCTCATCATCCGAGGAATCACTATCAAATGGGTCATTCCCCCCACCTCCACCTCCCTGTCGAGCAAAGAACTGCCCGAGTACGCTATCTTGTGGGAGTTGATTAGCTGGTTTTAGCGCTTCGGCTCTAGCCGCGTGGGTGCGCGCTTGTTGGCCGACCTTAGTGATGGCGCGTTCGAGTCCTCTTGACATGGGAGTGGTTGATACCCCGCGTGTTGGAGCAGGAGTCGTCTCATTGGCTTGTACTGGCTGTTCTGGGGTTTCTCTATTGTTCTGCGCGGATGCGGTTTGGAAGCTAGCCTTTATTTTCTCACGTAACGCTTTTGTGTGCTCCTTGGCCTTCTGATACTCAGCACGTAAATCTACATACTGATGTTCAGCTGGTTCCTCATGAGTTTCTTCACTTATCTGATGTGTGACTTCTTGCCCATTCTCGAGGACATCTTCCAGCATGACTTGCTGTGTGTGAATGTCTAGCTCATCTTCGGGGATATCAACGTTTCCCCAGTTCGTTGGGTCGATTCCTTTCCCCTTCGACGCGGTCGAAGGCCCATGTCTCGGTATTTCCTCGGTGTTGCTATCAATAGCCCTTCTGCGATCCTTTTCGCTACGGACTGCTCGCAGAATTCTTTCTACGCCATCTCGCGTCTCGACGACAGCTTCTATGGCCATACGCAGTTCGTCTGACACATTTTCATTATTTTGGTACCTAGTAACTGCATCTGAGCTATAACTTCGACGAACAGGCCTCGCTGCAGCAGCTCTGTTCGGACTCACATGCCTTCGGTCGTTTCGACCTCGGCTTTCGTCATTGTCCTCTCGTTGGTCAGCTTGACCACGTGGACGTTCCTCGGGGACCCGATTCCCGAGTCGCTCCTCATCGCCAATGGCGACGGAGTCCTGCTCTAATCGAGCAAGCCCTTGCGGGGCTGATGAGCGCACTGGCTCCCGGGTCGACGAAGGGTTTTCAGTCGTGCTGCTCGTACCCTTCGCCTTCGCACGAGTAATCCTCGTTGCCATCCTAATATAGAGTAGTGAGTTCGCAAATATAGAGTCGACGACGCACCTGGGAATCCTTGGGTGATCAAGCCAAGGGGTATCCGACGATGGTGTCGACGACGAAGAGCGGGTTAGAGTGGTTGTAGTCGAGTAGAGTAGTGTCGAGCGTCGATGTCAAAAATATGTGACGGGGCGCTGAGATAAGCGAGTCCCGGCACACGAGAGCCTCAAAGACAGGGTAAGACGATGTATTCAAGACTGACTACTCTACGATCTACATACGTCCTTATATACTGTATTGGTTATCTTATCAGTTATCTGGTGTAGATACTTATGTAATCCTAATCCGTTCCACCACGGCCCATCAGAGCCGTTCGCCTTGAACATATCTGCGATCCGAAGGTATGCTTACAACACTACCCAGAGACATGTAGAGACTTGAACGTTTGAACTAGGATGTTGCTACATATTGGTAAATTGTCTAAAGAAGCCTCCCAGTAGACGGCAATCCCTGAAAGCCCTCGACCCGATCAAATACCTTCACACCACGCAAGTATGTCTTCTCCACTTGACCTTGAAGTGTCATGCCTTCGTAGGGGGATAGTTTGTTCTTGAATTGCAATGCTTCTTTTGTCACCTAAAATAACATGAATGAAAGGAAGCTGAGGATGGGAAAAGGCGGACCTTGTAATGTGCTGATTCGTCCCATAGAACAAAGTCTCCATCATATCCAACTTGTAGTTTTCCCTTCGATGACTCGAATCCAACGTGTTCTGCCGTCTTCTTGCTAGTCCAGTCAATAATGTCTCCCAGTGGCACTCCTCTTTTGCTACCCTCCGTCCACAATAGGCTTAAGCCCAATCCCAAGGTGCTGATTCCTCCCCATGCAGCCATGATGTCGCCGTCATCTAGCCTCTTTAGCTCCGCGATGCAAGGGCTATGATCAGAGACAACACAGTCAATAGTTCCATCTATGAGAGCTTCCCACAGCTTGTCCCTATTCGACGCTTCTCGGACAGGGGGGCAGCACTTGAACTCAGTGTGCCCAGCAGGTACATCCTCCGCACTGAGGCAAAGGTAGTGGAAGCAAGTCTCGACAGTCAGAGGAAGTCCATCGACTTTTGCTTGCCGTATTAAAGGCAAACCCGACGCAGCTGAGAGATGGACAATATGACACCGTACCGCTGGATACAACCTCTGGAGTTTGATGATCAGAGAGATGGCCTTCGTTTCGAGATCTTGAGGACGAGAAGCCAAAAAAGTGGAATATTCCCTAGGGTCCGGTTTCTCGTAACGCTCCATATCATCTGCGAGTTCAGCGTGGAACAAGAGAACACCAGAAACTTCCTAAGTCGAAACAATAAATGTTCGGATAGCCACGAAACAGAAAGGCTGATCACCTCGAGCTTCTTCATCGCTTTATGAAGATCAGGCTCTTCTATGCATGGGAATTCCTGAGATAGAAGAGGTCAAGAACCAACGAAGGATAATAGGAAGATCCACGTACATCGACACCGCTTTCTATCAGGAAACATTTGAATCCTCGTACTCCGGCCTCCACCAGAGGTAGAATATGATCCTGTGGCATCACATTAGGGAACAGGTACGGGTGGAGAGACGGAGATGCACATACTTACCTGATTGCCAGGTATGATTCCCCCCCAAAACGCGACATCAGTGTGCAATTGTCCCATCGCAACTTGCTTTTTTGCCTCGAGATTCAGGACAGTCGTAGTGGGTGGCAACGAATTAAGAGGCATATCCACGACTGTGGTGATGCCTCCAGAGGCAGCGGCTCTAGTTCCTGTCCAAAACCCCTCCCAATCAGTGCGCCCCGGCTCGTTGAGATGAACGTGCGCACTGGAAGAGTAACGGTCAAAGACGAGACGCGAAATGGTTGTTGTCGCGCGACGTACTCCACTAAGCCTGGTAGTACGACCAAATCTCCTGCTTCAATCCATTCGACGGCTCTCCTATTAAGGCCGAGTTCATCGCAGGAAGCCTGCCCTTCTCGAATGTCGATGATCTTGCCTGTCGATAAGTGAACTACGATTGTAGCTGGAGAGGGCGAAGTATCGCCTGGCAGGAGTATCTTCCTTCCAGAACAGACGATGAACTCGACCATGAAGGTACTGCACAGAGAATAACCCCGATTTAGGGTTGTGCAGGTTAAGTTCCTATCCTTCGAGGATTTGTACTTATTCGTATCCTTCGCACCATTATTATTGTGTAGGCAACTCCGACGAAAACGCTCAAGACAGGAGACAAGACGATACGTCTCCGAAGTTCAGCCTATAGCTAAGACTGACAACAACCTATCAATACCAATAGGCGTATGTATCACGAAAATATAACACTCGCCATTGTTCTACTACTAGCCTGGTCCTTCGGCGGTGTCGAGCATAACCGGAACCTGACCGAATTCACTGGAAGGCTCATCCCAAGATGACCGAAACGGCGAAAACGACATGCGTGGGATGGTTTGTTAGTCCACTTGCAGACTCATCAAACACTTCGTCTGCACAGCCCTGATGGCCGCGACCAGCGCTATAAAGCCGTCACCTTCAATCTTTACCCCCTTCCATCATCTATCGATCGTCCCAGATGTCAAACGACTCCAATAACTATCCATCGTCCAGCCGACGTGAATCTACCCCTCGAAAACTGCCTGCTCCTCCACTCGCGCAGGAATCAAAGCGCGTGTCGCGTCCGCTGCCGAGAATTCCGAGGGCGCTCGTTTGTAAGCAGTGTGGGACGTGTATCACCTCGCACAACGTCCTCCTGCCAACATCCGCGGTGAGTGCTGCTGAAAGTCACGCTCCTCTCTCCCATGATCCTCATGTCCGTCTGTCTGTTAGATCCCTCCAGACTCAAGGTCGTTCAGAGGATTCTTTGGAAAGGCATCTTTATTCACCGAGACGTGAGTACTTCCGATCGTCACCGAAGGACAATATCTAACCCTTTTCCTTAGTTATAACGTCGCGCTAGCCAAGCCAGGCGTTCAACTTATGGTTACTGGCGCCCACACTATGCAAGAAGTGACCTGCGGAATTTGCTTGTCCTATCTCGGCTGGAAGATTGTTCGTGCCCATGAGAAGACTGAATCTTGGAAAGACGGTCACTTTTTGATGGAACTGGAGAACCTCTATGTTCAACCCGACTTGCTGAATCCTCGAAGATCATCATCAGGCTCTGATTCAGACTATAGCCCTTAGGCTCGCCACCCTTCATCTCCCTTTCTCTTTGTGGTTCTGCCTAACGACGTCACGATTAGATTATTTGCCCCATATTGTACACGATTTGCATCCTTAACTTATTACTTTTCTTCTTTCTTTGTATCTTCTAGCGTATTTGCGAACCCTTCGATCTCCATACACCATACGTATGCATACCTTTACTATTATCCCTGATACACTCTTTCCTCTTATTCACATCTCACCAGTACCCTTGGTAAGCCATGGTTAATACACCTTCGCTACAAATACAAGATTCGTGCTCGCTGGTGAACTTCGTGATGAAAGGAACATCATCAGCTTTGCGAACCTTACATAAGAGTTTCAAGGGAAGGCTGGTATTCTTTAGCGCAAGTCTCCTTCAATACTGTACTGATACCTAACCATCATTTACGAATAGGAAGCAGGTCTTCTCCTTAACCCCTTCCACACTTGTCTTTTCCATTCATCTTCACAACTGCCGTCCACCTCATGAACTGACGGCCTACCAAGCGTCCCTAATGACTACAGCTAGTCCGAAAGCACCTTTCAAGCTTCCCCCTGTAATCGCTGCGCTTAGCCAGCCGGACTCGTTGGAATCCTTGCGCTCACCCCAGCTCAATCAAAACTTCAATGACAGCTCCTTGTTGCGCGACTCCGTGGCCGTGTCGGAGTTCAACGAGATTGCCCTCGACGATGACAACTTCTCACCCGTGGCACTAACAGCTCGTCCTGGACAACCTGGGACGTACCTTCCGTCTGAAGCGTCACGTCGAAACAGCACTTCCAGTCGACAGAGTACTTCCAGTCGGCCTGCTAGTACTTCGTTGCCCATCGCTCCCGCTCTAGATTTAACTCCTACGAAATCCCATAGGAAAACGGCCTCAACAACGACAATACGTTCGACCCACGAGAAGCACCTCTCCTTGACACTGTTAAACCGACTTGATCTTGATGGTGTTGAAGGAAAGGCTGCAAGAGGCAGTGTAGATGGCCAATTGAAGTTGCAGGAGGAATTTGCTCGACTCCAGGAGAAGGAGCGAGAGAAGGAGCATTCTGCTACAGAAGGTAGCATCAATTGGGGTGCGTGACTGGTCCTCATGAGCGACCTTTGGCTGATCATTGTTGTTCTGAATAGATTTCTGGGGAGCAGTAATATCGGGTACGTTCATATCGAATGCACCGGCTTATTGTGCTGAATAGATAAGGAAGACTATCGGGGGTTCGCGTCCGAACGTTCCGAAGAACTCGCTCAAGCAATACAGAAAGGCATCCCGGCTACGCTAAGAGGGATGATGTGGCAACATATGTGATATCAATTACCCTCTAACTATAAGCTCAACTAATCTACCTCTTGCCCAGGGCTGCTTCCAAAGATCCTGAGCTAGAGGCCACCTATCTGAGATTGCTGAAGGAATCAAGCCCTCATGAAAAAGCGATAACTCGAGATCTAGGACGGTGAGTAGCCTCTTGACATCGCCCAATTATCTTGTATTCATCGGTCGTAGGACATTCCCTCATCACGATTTTTTCACAGACGGCCAAGGTATCGGGCAAGAGAATCTCTTTAATGTGTTGAAGGCCTATTCATTGTATGTCTTGTCATGAACAGACTATTAGTTTCGTTCTCATCTCGGCCTTAGATATGACCCGAATGTGGGCTACTGCCAAGGTTTGCCCTTTATAGTGGCGATTCTTCTTCTCAATGTAAGTCGCACTGCTCTCTTTGCCCATTTCACTAAAGCGGAAATTTGCGCTCAGATGCCAGATGAAGAGGCATTCTCCCTTCTTGTGAGGATGATGAGCGTATACGACCTGCAAGGCCATTTCTTACCGGAAATGCCGAAACTTCAAATGCGTCTGGTACGTCGCTCACTTCGTCGGTGTTGACTCGTGCTCATTAACTAATAACTATAGTTTCAAGTAGGGTTGATTTGCTGGTTCTGCGCCGCTACACTAAACATTGGGACAGTTTGATCGGCTTGTCGAAGAGATGCTGCCCGTCCTCCATGTGCATTTTCTGCGACAAGGGATTAAGTCCAGCATGTTCTGTTCCCAGTGGTTTCTGACCCTGTTCAGCTATCGGTGTGTGCGCCTGAATGCCGGGGTGGCGACCTGATTTGCTCACTTCCAATGTCTAGCTTCCCTCTTGAAATTGTGTTTAGGATATACGACAACTGCTTAGCGAGCGGAATCGAGGCCATCTTCGGATTCAGCATCACGCTTTTGAAGAAGAACGAAGATGCGCTCCTTGCCCTCAAATTTGATGAAATCTTGTCGTTTCTGAACACAAAGTTGTTTGACCACTACCTTGTACGAGTATACTTCTTTCGTAACGAGCCATAGCATCTTGATGCCGGCCTGTCCAGATAACGGATTCAGATCCTCCACCAGAACCGGCAACCTCAAAGTATAAAGTAGATGAATTTGTTCAGGACGCGGCATCCTTGCGCATTACTCCATTCATGCTTGACTGTTATAGACACGAGTATGAAGACATCGTGGTATGTACCGTCCACCATCTCGCCACCGCGTCGCTCAGTCCTCGTCAGCGCGAAAGCAATAAACACGCTACGCAAATCGACGAGCTAAGGAATAGTAATAGGACATTGTCAAATCAAGTGTACGTTGCGCGGGGATCAGACTATATACGAGGACTAACAACGGACAGGAAAACACTCGAAAACAGCCTCGCTCAACTGAACACGGAACACGTCGAAGTCCTGGTGAGTGGATCGGCCACTTGTGGAGGATGACGAAGCTGATTTACTGTGAAGAACGAATTGGTGAAGCAGCGGCTCAGAAACGAGGAGATGGAACAGGAACTCGTTCGTTACAAACTTTTGTGAGTACGAAGGGTACCGTTGGGTGCATGTAGGCAAACTAACCGCATTCGAAGGTATGCGGAAGCCATGCACCAGAATGAAGGAGCGAACACCTCGAATCGGATGTCGCTTGCTCAAATCATGCAGAGCTTAAAGAGGGGGAGCAGTGGGTAGAGGACTAGTAGACTGGCGATATATATGATTGCCGTCACTTCTATGCACACGAGCGTGAGCGCGGACATGCTTTTGCATGCTCGCATGCATGACGGAGAAAATAGATCACGTGTGAAGCTTGAAGGCTTCGAAGATGCCCTTTCCGCATGTCTGCGAGCATTTATTAGGTCAATGCCTTGAGTAAGATCGCAGTTCCCAGTCCCCACCGCAACCACCCCCCCGATGCTCCCCCGCCTCCCCCCCACCGTACTTGTCCTTGCCGTCTCCGTCTGTGCCTACATCCCTGCTTTGCCCACCAACTCGACTAGTGACGCCATCGCAGGAGGTCTCAATGTCACCGACATCTCGAAGCTTCACATGAGATGGTTTTCCAACGGGTCAGTAGACGCCCTCTGGCTTCCCGCCGTATTCATGCCCGCCCAACAGATCCTATTCTCAGGACGTCTCATATCAGTTGGCGGGATACGGGAGCAACGGGATGAGCAAGGTCGGTCGTCCATGTGATGATATCGCCTTTTCCGCATCTTTACGCGCTTTCCCCAAGGGCGTCTTAGTTCACTTCTCAGAGGAGAAAGTGAGCAATATGACTCCCCCAAGTATATATTGCTCGGACTCCATTATATTTGTTCCGCCCTTACGTTATTTACACAGCGTTGACACCATGGATTGCACTTGTCTCGTGTGACCGGAATGCCACGAACTCTTCCATGGAGGAGGACATTTTCACCTTAGCCCGTGACAAAGGTGCTGTTTCGGCGGTGAGTCGCAATCCTCTTTTCTTCTCTGCCTGTGTTCACTGTTGACCCGCTATCAGGTGCTTTATTCTCTTTACTCCGTCGCGTGTATGATTAATCCCGAATACTCTGATCCGGCCACATTCGATCAAGTGTTCGACATCTTCTCAACCCAAAGCTCAACAAGTTCACATCTCATTGAGTACCAGTTTGGCCAATTGGGAGGACAGAACGAGAGCATCTACGACTATGATTCCCAACAGCTCAACGACTCTCGGGAGGACGTCATGAGATCTACGAGCCAAAACTATGCTGTCTCCTCTGGCTATCTTCTGGCGATTCTACAAGCCTACAACTCCACAGGCGGCAGTAGCGACCCCGTTACAACCGGAACCAGCAGCGCGCCCGCAGAGCCGGGGAATTCAGGCTCGCCAAATACCGCTCTCGCCATGTGGGCATTTCCATCTCATCGTTGTTTCTATGTTTCTCATAAGCCTCAGGATTATCCTGTATGCTATCACAGGATGCGTGTCTGCGTTATTCTGTATTGTGATCATTTCTGGGGCCATACGCGCCGTTCGGCACCCTGAGCGATATGGGCCGCGGGCACGACTCGACGGCCCCCCGCAGAGCAGAGCAAGGGGACTGACGCGCGCCATTCTAGATACATTCCCCATTGTCAAGTTTGGCAATGGTCAAGTTGCCTCTCAAAACTCTCCACCACCGCCTCGAGGAAAAGATGTGGAATTTGCACCTGCTAGAATTAACATTGAGATGGACGCCCTACAGAAAGGAAAAGAAATAAGTTCTCTTGAAGCCGCTGGTACCTCGGACTTGCAATCAATACACAGTCCACCTGCCGTGGCTCCTACCAACACAATTGAAGACCCTTCTCCCATGGAAGAGCCAGGCTCTTCTCGAACTACTAGTACTACAGACAATAGTCCAGAGCCCGCTGGAGTCGCAGAAGGATCATCAAGAAACCCGGCGGTTGCAACATCTAGTCACGCAGACCACGATGATGTTGTCCCTGCCTCTATCGGACGGGATACTTGTCCGATTTGTATCGTCAATTTCGAGGAAGGCGACGACATACGGGTTCTACCTTGTGAAGGGAAGCACTGTTTCCACCAGCAATGCGTCGACCCTTGGCTTCTTAAGTTATCGAGTTCTTGTCCAATTTGCCGCCACGGTATGTTTCCTCTAGCCTGCACTATTCACAAGAGATGCTGATAGTCTTTCACTTCAGATTTTCTCGCCCTTGAGAACATGCTCTCTGGGCACTCAGACGAGGAGGTCAATGACTCTGATCAGCTCGCTCCGCCTAGAGGGCACAACAACGGTGGTGGCAGATTCTCTCGCTATCTACGCTTTGCTCGTCATAGGCACCGCAGAAGGCGAGAAGACGACAACGATCCTACAGATCCCTACATGCCCACTGCACCGGAAACATCTCTGCAAGGCTAATTACTTCTGGACTCAGTCTTGCATTATTTCACATTGTACACTATCGATCATTCAGACTATACTAGTATATGTATGACCACATTCTTTGCAGCAATCTAGCCATCTTGAAATTTTATAGATGAGCGATCTCAGGCTTAACGCCCCTCCTTCCTTTGATCCCCAAGATTGTCCTCCGGGCAATTGTTTCGAATGGTTTGCATGACTTCATTGGCCAAAGCGTGCTAGGCGCGCTCTCCGAATGTCATCCAAGCTAGGCGCTTGTGCACTGGCAACATTTGGGTTGGGCCGCTCAAGACCTGTAGTGCTGTCCGACATAGTCGAATTGGTGTCGGTGATGTCTGTTGATTGGCTACTGGTCCTCTCTAAGCCTTGTTGTGGAGCACTAGACACGTACTCCAGAGACGCTCGAAGAGCAGCCTGCAGTTCAGCGTCTCCGTCGTCGTATGCTCTATGAGTACCGGAGAAGCGTGGGAGCGACGGTGGGGCCGCAGAGGGCTCATCGCCTCTCTCAAGAGCCATTTGTCTCTGATCGCTATCCTCCCTGGCAAGCCTCTCGCTTTCCGCGATCGCTCTTTGCAATTCCTCTTCCTCTTCCTCTTCCTGCCTTCTGCGCCGCGCTCTTCGTTCCTCTAGGGCAGCTTGCTCCTCTGGAGTGAGATTTGCGTCAGACCACATCTCCCTCTGAGCGTATTCTTGCTGTTCTCTCATCTGCTGAAGGAGCATACGATTTCTTTCGACGCTGGCCGCTACGGGATCGACATCCACGTGTCCAGGGAGCTCAGGAACAGGTTCAACGGCGTGAGGTATGCTATTTCGCGGAGTTCGAGAGCCGGTGTCCGGTGCAGCAGAGAAGGAACCGTGGGTAGGCTGGAATATTGTACCGAATGAAGGTGCCGACTCTGTTGCTGTGGTCATTAGAGATGCTTGAAGTGCAGCCTGCAACCCATAATCTTCATCTGTGAAATGATCTTCAGCACCTTCTACTTTTCGCTCCATGGCAGAAGTTGCCATATGTGGATTGTGAAATATCGAAGAGGAGTTCGGTTCGGGGAGGGTGGACGCAATTATGTCCGCTTGTGTGCGAGGAAGCGCCAAAGGCGCTTCAGGATCAGCTTGTGTGACTGCAAAGACGGAATATCCTGGAAGAAGGGCGTCAAGGCGTCCTTCGGAACACGATAAAATAAACGTACCTTCTGCCTCTGATTGCTGCAACACCATGCCAAGATATAGCTTCCCGACCCACTCTGGAGCCTTGAGGAAGGAGTTCAGATTGAACCAATGCCCATTTCCGTCATCCAGATCAACATTTGCCACAGCATTTCCGAAGCGACGTAATGTGAACCAATGCTGCTCGAGATTCAGAATGAAAGCGAGCTGATTCCTGGCAGTTGACACTATTGGATCGAACAACTGGAGAAATTACTGTGGATCTCACTGTGGGCGTTCGTGATACGGGCGCATTGATTCGCTTCTCCATCGTGTAAGACTGTCAGAGCACGTTCAGTTATATGTCAATTGTGCTGGATGCGGAAGGATTGACTTTAGGCCCCATACTTTGAGTGCATTGTCTAACACTTGGACAGAGAAGAACCCTGCATGAAACAACATTATTGAGGCTTGGAGTATAGGAGAAGCGAAGTGAGGCTAACCTGTATCGTCCATGTTGGTGCTGGTATTGCCGTTGTTGTCGTCATCATAACTCTCTTCCAGATCGTCGAGGTTGCGAGCGATGTCTGAGAGATCGGGAGCGGTAAACTGTAAGATCGTCAGCGCCCGCTCTCGTTAAGAGATCATATTCGTACGTACGTAGTTCCCCTCTGTGCCATGAAAGTTAGTGAGGTGTGATTAGAGAAGACAGGCGCTTACGAAGGAGGGAGTTTAGGGCATGTTGCGCGCATAACATAGACCCCGCTTGCTGTTTCTCGTGATAGATGTGGGGTATTAGAGGCTCGAATCCAGCCATGATTATGTCTGACTACAAGGAATCGTAAATCTCAAAGTAATGAGTGGAGTGCTAGTGGGTCAAAGGGGAAACGCGTCCTCTGGTTTCGGCACGTGAGTCAGGACGCGACTCAGGCTCCGATCGGCCCGCCAACCAATCAACAGAGATCAACAGCCACTTGAACTCATACTTACAGCTGATTTCATAACGATAGGCCATCACAAACGAAATGCACGCACTGCCGCTTAGTCGGAGTCGCAAATGTGAACCTGTACGGATCAACAGACTCGAGAGTGCCAGTGCTTAAGCAAGATCGCTCACAATGTGTCGACACATTTCTAAAGTTGAGAAAGAGGTAATCCTTCGAATGACACTTTGCTCTGGTGGTGTAAGTCTCCGAGTACACAGGAATTCAACCCCGGGGCACCTCTGCAAGCAGTTGCGAGAGACGGGCGAGAGGAAACCTGTGCACGCACTTTTGACTGGGCCAAGTCCCCCTTCATCCCACTTTGATACTGCCGGGCTGACCTTGACGCCATCCTCTGCAACGTCGACCGAGTCTCCTCAACCATCATCCCAATTGGCTACACCTTGCCTCATTTCCATATTTTTCTACTGTTACAGTATTACCAACTGCGGCGACTGCTCTGGTTTCCGCCCATATTTTAGTAGCTGTAAGACTATAGAATTCCAATTATTACACACAATCTCATCCTCGACGAGCTTCCTCTGATCTCGGCTCGTACACGGACTACAAATTTTTGGAGTCCGCCTCTATGTGTATTTGTTTTGTGATGGCCTATCGTTATGAAATCAGCTGTAACTTGGTCACAACTTCCACCAACCAACCAACACCATCATCTGCAGCCGTTCGGCTTCATTTTAACATTTAAATTTCTCAATGGGCCCATTATAGAACAAGAAACTCGCCTGTATATACTGGGATTTCCTCTGCAATATTTTTTACTCTGCTGGTCATTATCAGCCAATTGCGGGCAAATTGCCGCTGTTTAAGTATGGGTCTCGGTCTAAACACAGGCAAACACATGATGGCCGCACTTGGCACGTAGTTGGGAGACGCAGCAACTGCCTCACTCAAGACCAGACATCACCGCGTCACCAACAGATCACCGACGTCCTGCTTCACGACTTACCACAATGATTCTACGGTCTCAGCGACGCGACTTCGATATCATTCTATCGCTTTTCTTTTCATATCTGCTTCTATCCGTGCTCGCGGATTCACCTTTTGACTGCCATATATCTGTCAGTGATGTCAAATTCGACCTGACCAAGTTAGCGGGCGAGCATATTGTAAATCGGACGCGGACAACACCACCCACTGTGACAGTGGACTTCCTGACGTTCAATCTGTGTGCCAACCTCAAGCCTCGGGATGGCATACCGGAGCAAGACCAGGTGAGCGCAAACATGCGTCTGCAGTGTCCTTTGCGAACACAATCTTTGACAGTGTCCGGAGGGAACACGAGTGTGCCTGACGGAGGTTAATCAGAAAGAAAATGAGGCGGATCGTGTCACGGCTGTTATTCCATTAGCTCAGACAAATGGGTTGGAACCCGTATTCTCGTCGAGCCTAGGTCCGTGGACTACGCTGTGTCATGAATAAACACCATGAAGTCTGACATGATGCCTCACAGCGCCCAAATATATATCATTACTCTTTCATGGACCAACTTATTCGAATCACTCTCTTCCTCAGTCGTTCAACCTGACACTCTTCTGCGACCCCCAAGCCACGTCCGAACCAGAAATTATCTCTTATAATGGCACGACCCTCAACCTAGAATGGCACGCCCCTGCAGGTTGTCCGTTCCAGGAAGGTGAGGATGGAGATAAAGACGAAGGCAAAGGGGGGGACGAGGGGAAGGAAGAAGAGAGCGTTGGTAGCGGAATCGGGTGGTTCTTCTTAGTGTGAGTCCCTCTTGTCTCCCAGGAACCTATGCATTCTGCTCACTTGTTCCAAGATTCTGCCTGGCATTTGCTGCGTACTTCATCTTGGGCGCCTACTACAACTATTCGACCTATGGAGCAACTGGGCTTGACCTCATACCGTAAGTGCCTTGAGGTTCTGCCGGTATTTCATCCTAAGTTTTCTACTTTAGGCATCGTGACTTCTGGAAAGAAGTTCCGTATATGCTGAGCGATGTGATTTCCCATCTGTGTTCTAACGTTCGACCAAGAAGGACTTCAAGCCGTGGAGGTTACATATCTGTATAGCGGTTAGTCGTCTTGTCTGTCATATTCCCTTCCTGCTTTGAGTCATTCTACTGCGGTGCTTCCATTGGGATTCTACACATTTAGTAGTGCGGGTGTTTCAAAAGTAACCGTTAATTTATCGACTACACTGAGGACATTCCGTCATGAACAGGCTGTTGCGGCGCCAAACGGCCAAAGATGGCGACGCCAATCGGGGGCATTTGGAGCACTTCGATAAGATGTTAGGTGAAGTATGTGCTGAGGAGTCCTAATCGATCTATGAAGACCTTACGGCCATAATTTATATCATCCAGGTCGGCGTCGGAGAAATAAGTCGACCTAGGATATTCCTGACGTTGTAGGACGACAAGACGCATGTTACGAGTTTTTAAATCCGTCTGTGAAAATATGAAATGGATAGGGAACACAGGGGGTATACATGTGAAAAATTTCTCATGGCCGTTAAAAGCGCTTTCATGATGGACGATTCCAGCAGTGGCATAAATTTTGTTTGAACCGTAGGATAAGACAACATTGCCAGAGATTGCCAGACAAGTGCGCGGACTCCTGCGTAAACAAGATATGACGCACCGAAGAGTGCTTGGGATTCGAATAATGTAAATTCTTGCATACACCGAAGTACTGAATAGCTTAAGGCTGTTTCACTCTGTTTGTATAACGCAGGCGTTTGGTTGTTTCGATCAGACATTCATTCGGAAAAAGTGAACTAGAGTCACACCGACCATCAATACCGCGAATGGTCTCGATAACAGTAAAGAACCTACCCGAAACTCCTGATACTATGCTGGAAGGGGACCCTAGTGCGTCATTGAAGTATAGCTGGTTCATGGGCTCAAAACTTAGTTGACGAAGCCAAAAGTATGGCGGTTCGGATCACCATGCGCGGGCTTGTGATTCGGGCACCCAGCACACTTCTTAGCATGTCAAATTCCTTCACAAATGCAGAACACGGATGAAAAATGAGAACGGGACCCACATATCCAAAATTAGGAGGTTCCTCGAAGAAGGAAGCTACTGTCAGAACGCACAGTAGTTTATTCGGCGTGATCCACTTGATGGAATGCCGTCCGCCGTCGAATGCATTCCGGATGATGCGGTTTGGATTGGAACGCTCAGCCTGTGCTAGGACTAAGTATGGTGAGGTGATGGACTCTTCACGACGTTCGGGGACAGCTCGGTTCTATTTCCTTATATAGAGTAACGCATGGCACCGACCGGCGACATCAACTTCAAGGTGACTCGAGTCGCATTTCTTTCACACCGTTCTTCTACACCTCCAATATTGTGCATTACAGGTGCATTGCATACTGAACTTAAGGCAAGAGAAATTTCCCTCAAGAACGCGATGGCAAAGCATAAGTGGTATGTGGTCACCACCGGGAGAAAGGTGGGGGTGTTCAGTAACTGGTGCGTTTGAACTGCTTGACGTTGGCGGACCGCATAATAACATCTCCGTTCATTCCAGGCTCGAAACAGCTTCCTATGTCAAAGGAGTATCCGGTGCAGTTTACAAGGGTTTTCCTACGGAGACCCAGGCACGCAGGGAGTTTGAGGCAGCCCTTGTTCGAGGGGACGTTGAAACTATCAGGGACTCCCAGCCAGTGTCAAACCGCAATGTGAGGCCGGCTGAAAATAGTCCGTTCCCCTGGCCAAGCTCGTCGCCACAGCCGCGTTCGCCAGCCGCGAATGGGTCCCCATTAACAAGGCGTCATAATATTAATGTCACTGACAGGCCAGCTGACGAGTACCCTTGCTCTTCACACCCAAGCACGCCTGTCTCACGGTCAGCTTCGGAGCCTTCACCAAGTGCTCGTCGGTTTGAAATCATAAATTCGTATTTCAAAAAAGATTCCGGTCCTGTTGGAGCCGAGGCTCGAGCACCATTCAAGAATGGTGCTCAAGCCTCGCCACCAAAAGGAAATGTAGTTTCACCGAATCCAGCAAGTCCCTCCCAAAGTCCTCGAGCTGTTGTCAAAACGCCTGCGTGGCTGGCGGCATATCCCCAAGACACTGTCCGATCACAGCTCCTGTCACCCTTGAGTAGCACAGATCTTGCCCTGCAAACTTTTACAGCAGATAGGGCCCATGGATCTGTTACGTCGAGCCCCAGAACACGGCTGTCAGGTCATCCGGCTTCTCCATCTGTGTACCGGAATAGGTCACCCGGTCAGCAATCTGTAGGGGATTCCTCCATCTACCTCTCCCCTAGGCCTGTCCATCATGTAACGTATGAGCACAATGTCGACCCGCGCTCCCCCATTATGGATCGAGCCCAAGTGCCAGAATTATCATTTGTGAGGTGCAATCAAATTATCTGGCATGTCTGGACCTAAAGTCTAACATAGACCTAACAGTTCTGTATCTTTTGCCCGACCATCACCATCATCCCATCTTGAACAGTTGCCACATGAAGGGATGAGATACAGCCTGCTCTTCAAGCCCAGTCCTTCTCCAATGGAATGAATATGACCATACACTACTCAAGTCTTAGATACAATGTTCAGTGCTATGTACCTGCTTTCCTATCCCTAGTCATCAGATTTGCTATGTACCATATGTACCCTTTTCATCAATTGTCAAGAAGTCATTCATTTCTTGTGACATTTGGACCAGGAAGGAAGGAAGGAAGGAAGATAGAATTCCTGGGGAAGAGTGGAGATGAAATGGATATGCATTCCGTACTTAAGAATGGCAGACGAAAGAAGCCAGGAAGCCAATGCAGCTGTCTTGGCATTGGTACAGAACATTGCCGCGGGCCAGTTAGCGTTGGCACGAGTTTCGTCGATGGTTGTTGCGCTACTGCTAGACCCGATAACTATAAGGACCGCGAATAAAGCCCGAGGGAAGCAGGTAACTTGAGGCGACCATGAATGATATCATTGTCAAAGTAATCCCTCTGCTTGGACGGATACCCCGAAAGGGGAACGTCTGGTGGCACTACACTGGACGAGAGGATCCTCGGCCTATACCAGATGTAGAAGGGCGAGCTAGGCCTGAAGGAGGGCGTCGAGGAATGCTCCGCGAAGAGCTACCAGCTGTCTCCGTAGCCCCTGCAGTAAATTCGTCAGATTTGGCTGGTAGGTATAGGCACAGTTGTCCCTACCACGAGGAGGTGCAGCACCTCGGACCCCACGTGTTGAGGCTCGCGTGCCCCGTACACCACGTATACTGCCACGGATTGCGCGTTCGCTTTTCTCGCGTTCGAGGCGTTCCTTTTCTTCTCTCCGAAGACGTTCTTCTTTCTCTTTCTCCAGTCTGATTTTCTCCTGTTGCTCACGAAGAGCTCTATCTTCAGCTTCTCTACGGGCGGCTTCCTTCGCAACCAGCTGCTCTTGCTCAAAGGCCGTCTCATCCTACAGATTATATCAATTTCAAGCCTTCTTCATAGGTAGAAAGGGGCGCACAGCTTCTGCTCCTTGCCACCTTTCATCGAATATAAGACGCGAAAAGTCTTCGGACAGGGAGAGAATGTTGATGTATTTGTTGAGAAGCGCGTCTGTCTGTTCCAACTGAGCAACCACTCGCTTAAAGACACCGGATTAGCAAAATTAGATAGAGATGGAGCGGAATACACACGTACCTCATTTGCAGAGCCCGTTTCCTGAAGTGCATCATTGAAGAGTTCAAAGGACGCATTCAACTTTTTCAGAATGAATACATCGCTCTGCAGCTTCTCTTCTCGAAGTCGGCTTGCCTGTAAACGCGCTTCCTCGTTCAATACTTCGATTGACACGTCTCCTTCACCGTTGTGGGCATCGACATCACCACCATCGCCGGTGGCGTACGTGCCGCTCCGAGTCGGTGTCGACACATCTGACTCGAACTTGGCAAGAAGGCTGAAAGGCTTGCTCATGATTGCAGTTTGGTTGGCTAAAGAAAGTTCCGACAAAGAAAAGTCATCACCACCAGGACCAGTTTGCGAAGATGATGTATCGGAGGGGAAAGTCGGAGATTCCAGCGACAAGAGACGCGAACCACTATCGTTCGCACGGATATCGGGAGAATCTTGGTACATGGCGCGTCAGATTTGGAGCAGGGAGACGGGATACACGGGTTTTATAGCTTGCGCGTGTCAATGATGGATGTCAATGCTGCTAGAAATTGTCAAACGTTTGAGAATCAAGACTCTAGAGAGTCGGATAGTAGGTCACGTCACGTGTGCGCCGACTACTCTTGGCACGTTTGTCTGGATTCCGTCCGAGATTGGAAGTCTAATTTAAATTTTTCTTTCGTTCAACTCCTTCAATGCCTTCTGTGAAACGGAAACTCCCCCAGACGCAACTGGGATTCGAAGATGAGGGCTCATCGTCTTCATCACTTCCGGTCGCTTCACAAGACGACGGCTTCGACATTTCTTCCGCACTCGTAGGAAAACGGCCGAAAATAACACAAGATGAAAATGATGACGAGAATCTTGCTGATTTCATCCAGTCGTCTATAGCGAAGAGGTCGATCAAAGAGGGAACGTCTGTTATAAAGCAGGCAAAAGGGAAGGCACAGGTCGGCAGGGGAGAAGTTGGAGGAGGCAGTTTTCAGAGCATGGGCCAGTGTTTCTACTTTATTGCATTGCTTGACTCTCATCCGGCAGGTTACAGGCCTGCATCCATCACTTCTGCGATCGCTGACACTTCAAGGATATAGAATTCCAACCCCAATCCAGCGATTGTCAATACCAGCGCTGCTCACCACACCGCCAAGGGACCTTGTGGGCATGGCAAGGACAGGTTCAGGAAAATCGCTTGCTTTTATGGTCCCCCTCGTGCAAAGATTAGGTGGTAGACACTTGTCAACATTTGGAGCAAGAGCCCTCATTTTGCTTCCCACTCGCGAATTGGCGTTACAAATTCTCAAAGTGGGGAAGGAATTGGCACGAGGATTCCATCGCAACCGCGGAGATCACGCTGGAGACAAATTTGAGGAAGACTCAAAGAAGGGGGAAAGTCTTAGATGGGGTCTCGTTGTAGGCGGTGAAAATCTCGACGAACAGTTCGAGATGATCACCAGTAATCCAGATGTGTGAGCACGTTTAATCTTCATCTCTAATCGATGACTCTTACATTTCCTTAGCATTATTGCAACACCAGGCCGCCTTCTCCATCTAGTTGTCGAAATGGATCTCGACCTCAAGTCGATTCAATACGTTGTATTTGACGAGGCAGATCGCCTTTTTGAAATGGGTTTTGAGGTGGCCCTGAACGAAATCCTCGGCCGTCTTCCCACCTCACGTCAAACAGTTCTTTTTTCTGCGACACTACCGAAGTCTCTAGTCGAATTTGCCAAAGCTGGTCTGCAAGATCCAAAGCTAGTTCGTCTAGACGCCGAAAGCAAGATTAGCACAGACCTCAGAATGGCATTTTTCTCTGTCAAGCAGGCCGAGAAAGACGCTTGTTTGCTGGCTCTGCTACGCGACGTTATCAAAGTCCCTTTCGGTTCTACTCATACAGAAATCAATGAAGAGGGGAGCAAGAAGGGCAAACTCAAATACTCAGGTCACTTCACGGCATCTCATCAGACCCTCATCTTCGCCGCTACCAAGCATCATGTCGAATATCTTCTTCAGATTTTGACTATTATTGGATATGCAGTCTCTCATATATATGGCTCTTTGGATCAAGCGGCACGCACCCTCCAAATGGACCAGTTTCGTCGGGGTGTCACCACCATTCTGGTTGTCACAGACGTTGCGGCACGAGGACTTGATATTCCCGTCCTGGAAAATGTAATCAACTACGACTTTCCTCAAGGTGCCCGGGTCTTCGTGCACCGAGTAGGTCGAACGGCGAGAGCTGGCCGCCAAGGCTGGGCTTGGTCATTCATCACCAATCCCGAGCTTCCATATCTTCTGGATCTACAACTGTTCCTTGGACGACCTTTGGTCAACGACGTCGCCGAAGAGAGTGATCAAGTATATACCGAGTCACTAGTCTTAGGTAATTTCCAACGCGAGAAAATCGACGAAGACGTTGAATACATTCGATCTCTCGACGTACTCCATCATCAGCTACCCACTCTTCGGGAAGTCATGAAGAGAGGTCATACCATGTACGAACGGAGCAAAGGCAAGGCCAGTCTACAAAGCTACAGAAGGGCGAAGGGGATGACGAAGGATCCCAAATGGTTCTTGGCCAACTCAGACTCAGGCATCCATCCAGTCCTGCTTAGGGGACCGAGTGCTCGAGCCAGGCGTGAATCGGAAGAAGCGCGGAAACAACTGCTCCGCGTTGTAAACTCTTTCACACCAGCGGAGACAGTATTCGAAACTGGATCCAAGGCGAGCTCGGAAACGGCAACATTAATGAAGGAGCGCCGTAAGGCTCTTGGAAAGTCTGCCCAAAGGGCCCTTGCATCCACTGTGCAGAATGATGGGTCGGATGAAGATGCCACGCCAGATATGAGGGAGACCGAAATGGCTAACGAGGATGAGATCGTGGTAAAGTGTCCTTGTCTTTGTTCTTTCATTGGGATCTCACACGCGATCCAGGCTGTCTTCGGCGCAACCGATAAAGCAAGAAGCTCCCGAGACAAGGAGTTCTATATGTCCCACTACCAAAAGGATGCCATGACTGAGAAAGGGTATGTGCATCTTCTGCCTTTCGGGAACTGCCGCTGACGAATATCCACAGCTATTCGCTGAACGACGGAGCGTCTTCGTTCGTCACACAAGCACAAAATGTGACCTTTGACCTGACAAACGACGAAGGCAAGGCACAGCGGAGTAACAAGCTCACCTGGGACAAGAAGAAGAAAAAGTTCATTCAAGGTGATGGAGTGGGTGCAGACAACGTAAAGATGGTACGGACAGAAAACGGCACTCGATTGCCCGCTACCTTCCGGAGTGGCCGGTTCGACGAGTGGAAGTCAAAGAGCCGAACCACCCTACCGCGCATCGGCGAGGCGGAGAACGCTTCATCGTCTAGCAAACCTTCTGGGTCCGGACGGCATCGCTTCCAGCACCACAAAATCACACCTGCGAAGCCATTGGATAAACTTGACAAAGATTATGAACGCAAAGCTCGCCAACTTAAGAAGAGGTTGGAGGAGTCTGGCGCTACGCAGGAAGGCTCAAAGCAGTCAACACCCAATGGAAAGAAAATCAAGTTGGGCGTCAGGCGTGGCGGCAAGACATATGAACGTGTCAAGACGGAGCTCAAGACATCCGAACAGATCAGAAAGAACAGGAAAATAACGGAGAACCGGAGAGCAAAGAACGCACGGCCAAACCGGACGGCTGGCAAGAAGGGAAGACGTTAGGCTTGCCTCTCCATTCTATTCCCTCCATCGCTATCTGTATGCACACTAGGCTACGACTGGATTGTTCGCATATTCCCATCTTGCGCCACTCCCTGGAATAACCTTCTTTTCTTGACTGCCCTCCAGGAGGTCGACTCCGACGCTTCTTAAAGCGTGAATGCACCATTCAGGATACCCCGCATCGCCAAAATACCCCGCAAAGAAAGACCGCAGGTAATCCGGGAATGTTCCTGCCGCGATGGCTTCCCTTGCGCGACCCATGACTTGCGCTTGGAATACGACATTGTGTAGTGTGATCGCTAGAGTGGAGATTAGAAATAAATTGACTGGATGGTTGGCAAGATACCATGTGCAGACGCAGTTTCGTGAGTAATCGTGTGGTGAAGGATTGCTCTGGAAACTTTGTCAGTGCATGTTGGACAAGGGCAGTTTTCATCTATTGGGCGGAAGTCTTTGGCATGCCTGCTAAGCTCTGAGAGAATGTTGATTGGGTAGGATAAAATGTGCAATATTTAGGACATACTGAGATTAAGGGGTCCACTATGTGTCAGGGCGACACCAAATCTTGCTGTCCGGGTTGGGAATACACAATCTGCCTGGTCATACAGTGTTAGCTTCGAGGTCTTGGAGAATACTGGCGATCTCACCATATCGACCCCGAGAGCAACACAAACCAAGAGATCTGCATGGAAGGTCAAGGTCAAGCGATGGAGTATTTGGAACTGAATCTTGCCTTCTGCAAAACCAATACCCATGGAGTACCTTGGTCCTGCGGAATATAAGAAAGACGACAATGACCTTCGTGAAATACTCACTTTCTTCCGGAAGTTTGTCGGCACATTGTTTGATACTAAAAACCTCAAATTTGCCCTGGGCTGTAATGATGAGGTGCGCCTTACACTCTCCAGAAGACATCTAGGATCACTGAGCGGCGAAACAAACAGTAAACGAGTTTACCCATACCTTTCTCTTCACCACCACTCAGCCCACCGATAGCATAACCAGCAACACCATCCTTCCTTGCAATCATCGCATCTAAACAGCGATCACGGAGGCCTGGATCAAGGCCACCTTGCACAATCGCAAACAGATTCTGGGTCGCTTTCTTTCCAGACGCTTCATGTTTTGCTATACATCGGTCAAGCCATCTGACGGATCGTTCCATGGCTTCTTCGACTCGAGGACCCGTGGTAAGACTTGAAACTGGCTCGCGGTCGGGCATTGAGGGAAGTCATCATCCTGGCGATTTACGCACCTACGTCGTCCAGCTGCATAATGATATCTGCTCCGATAATATGCTGTATTGATATACTTTCTTCGGGCTGCATAAAGAATGAGAACGGATGAGATATATTATTTGTGGCAACTGCTCACAGTAAGCATTGTTGGTTCTCCGTCAAACGGGCTGGCAAACAATGCCCCTTCTTCAGTAATGGTTGTGAACTTGCTCAATGACACGAGCTGAAATCCGCCACTATCCTATTTGGCTGGATAATTTGTTGGATTGATACGTTAGAATAATGGGAGGCATACCGTCAACAGATTCCTGTCCCATCCTTGGAACTTGTGTGCCCCAGCAGCCGCGTCGAGAACCTTGAGACCAGGTCGAAGGTTAAGATGATACGTATTGTTCAGTATGATAGTAACACCAAGGGCCTCCATTTGTTGAGATGTGAGTCCCTTAATCGCGGCTTGAGTGGCCACAGGCATGAAAGTTGGAAGCATCGTGACACCATCTGGGAAAACAGTCAGGCGCTGGGCAGTGCAAGGATAAGATGGGAGACGCGCGAGCTAGTTTCATGCGAGAGACGCGCGCCTTTGTAGTCGGGCATCTTGCAACGACTTCAAATTGCATGGCGACGCGCTGGATAGCAGAAGATGCCAGCTTTGCAGTCCGGTGTTGAGCCGATCAAGCACGTCTAAAATTACAGCTGATTTCATAACGATAGGCCATCACAAACGAAATGCACGCACTGCCGCTTAGTCGGAGTCGCAAATGTGAACCTGTACGGATCAACAGACTCGAGAGTGCCAGTGCTTAAGCAAGATCGCTCACAATGTGTCGACACATTTCTAAAGTTGAGAAAGAGGTAATCCTTCGAATGACACTTTGCTCTGGTGGTGTAAGTCTCCGAGTACACAGGAATTCAACCCCGGGGCACCTCTGCAAGCAGTTGCGAGAGACGGGCGAGAGGAAACCTGTGCACGCACTTTTGACTGGGCCAAGTCCCCCTTCATCCCACTTTGATACTGCCGGGCTGACCTTGACGCCATCCTCTGCAACGTCGACCGAGTCTCCTCAACCATCATCCCAATTGGCTACACCTTGCCTCATTTCCATATTTTTCTACTGTTACAGTATTACCAACTGCGGCGACTGCTCTGGTTTCCGCCCATATTTTAGTAGCTGTAAGACTATAGAATTCCAATTATTACACACAATCTCATCCTCGACGAGCTTCCTCTGATCTCGGCTCGTACACGGACTACAAATTTTTGGAGTCCGCCTCTATGTGTATTTGTTTTGTGATGGCCTATCGTTATGAAATCAGCTGTAACTCATGTCCCGTTCTGTTTGTCACGGCAGCCTAGAGCAAATAGCCGGTGCGTGAAACCGTCGGCGGGTAATCGTGTCCTTCGTCCAGTGTGACTGCTTCCGCGAAAACAACTACACTACCAGTGTTGTTGTCAACAATGCACCATTCTCTTCTGGTCGGCCTTCTCATACCATGTATTCATGCGTTCTATCTTCCCGGTGCTGCTCCACGAAACTATGCCGAAGGCGAAAAGGTCGAACTCTTCGTGAATGCTCTGACGCCTATGCTTTCTGGTTCCAATGACTCAAAACTGGTGCGTAGTTTTATAACTTGGTGTTGGCTGTGCCTCTAATCTTGTCATAGAAATCACTGATTAATTGTGAGCCCAAACGCCTGCGAGAATGCTTATCCTCATACACTTTCTTTGCGAAGACGACTACTACAACCCGAAGTTCCGATTCTGCGAGCCTGCTGGTGGCCCAAAGCAGGAACCGGAATCTCTAGGGTCTATTCTGTTTGGGGACAGAATATTTAACTCGCCTTACGATGTACGTAAATATGCAGGCCTGTTCCAATCATCATTCAAGTTTGTCCCATTCCCAGATCCATATGTTGAAGGACAATGCTACTTGCAAAACTCTCTGTGTAGCCACCGATGTCACAGGCCAAGAGGCGAAATTCATCAACGATCGTATTCGTGAAGACTATGCGCTTAACTGGCTCGTTGACGGACTTCCTGCGGCTGAAATGAAGGTTGATATGAGAACGAAGGAATTGTTCTTTGATATGGGTTTCAATCTTGGCGACAATGAAGGCGAACATCAGAACTTGCCTGCACTGAATAACCACTATGAAATCGTACTGAGGTCGGATCTATGTCTGCATTCTCTGGCAAAGGCTGACAATTATTAGGTATCATAAACCAACCCCAGACTCATTTCGTGTCGTAGGGGTCCTCGTGTGGCCAGCGAGGTCAACTAATTTATTCTACTATCAAAGTTGTGTACTCATTATTATCTCACAGTATCGGCGGTCCTCAGACGTCAACGCCGAATTGCGACATTCACGGTGCCCAACCCATGATCTTGAGTGAGGACGGGCTGCAATCCATCCGATACACCTACCGTGTTTCGTGGAACGTGAGTCAACACATATGTACTTATTTCATTTTGTTCTTATGACAAAATGCCAGGAATCCGACACACCCTGGGTGAGTACATGAAGTGAATATCTGCTTTTACTTATAGGTCGCATAGGCCACTCGTTGGGATAACTATCTCCATATCTTCGACCCTCGCATACATTGGTTCAGTCTCGTCAACTCTGTCGTCATTGTCGTCTTCCTGTGTGCTATGGTGTCGATGATTCTATTCCGAAGTGTTTCGCGAGATGTACGCCCTTCCATTATCTCTTCTCAACTTCAATTTACTATTTCGCCTTGCAGATCAATCGTTACAACGCCATTGATCTCAGTGTACGTCGCCTCACCGCTTTCGCGCCCGCCTCGCTAATATCTCCAATAGGAGGATGTGCAGGAGGACTGGGGATGGAAACTTGTTCACGGAGAGGTTTTCCGCTCACCTAGATACCCCCTTCTTTTGTCAGTCATGGTCGGGAACGGTGCACAACTATGTGCTATGGTCGCTATTACTTTAGGTATGCTATTAGTCAACCCGCACATTGTTGTTGAAAAACCTCAACTTTGGCCTGTAAACAGTCTTCGCTTTGCTTGGTTTCCTATCACCCTCTAATCGCGGCTCTCTGGCGACAGTAATGATGGTATGCTGGTCGCTATTTGGCAGGTTCATTTGCTGTGCTTGTGCTTTTCTTGCTTTTGCTGATCCGCATTTTTAGCATTGGAGGCTATTTCTCCAGTCGTGCATACGCCTCTCTAGGTGGTACAAATCGCAGACAGAATGCCTTCGTTACTGCAACAGCACTACCAACGTTGGTCGCTCTTGGTACTTAAGATATCTGGGACTCTTAAAGTTTCGCCTTCTAGACTCATTTTCATTGTCGTCTTCCTCTTGAACTTCTTGTTGGCCGCAGGCTCATCGGGGGCTGTTCCCTTCGGTATGTACACCTAGTACCTGCTATTGACCTTGCCTGACGGATTTTAGGGACGATGATGCTGATCATCGTTTTGTGGTTTGGAATCTCGGCGCCTTTGTCTGCAATCGGATCATACTTTGGCTCTAAACGTGGGGTATGTGCATGAGCAAACTCGAGTGGATTATTCTTATGCCTCTTTCGTTGTAGGCTCTGCAGCAACCAGTTCGAGTCAACCCCATTCCTCGTCAAATACCACCAGGCCCGAAATACTTGAAACCATGGGTTAGCATCACGCCTCCGTCACGACAGAATCGGGGGTTTGATCTTCCACTTTCGACAGGTAGCAGCACTCCTCAGTGGTATTTTACCATTCGGTATGGATATTTGTATCTCCGATCTCTGGCTGCTTACAGTCGGTTAGGTGCTGCTTTCGTGGAACTTTACTTTGTTTTGTCCAGTCTTTTCGCCTCTAGGGCATACTATGCTTTCGGTTTTCTGGCGTTGACTGCAGGTGTGGTTGCGCTAACAACGGCGACAGTCTCGATCTTGTTCACCTACTTCCTGTTATGCGCAGAGGAATACCGGTAAGTCGTGTGTACTTATACAACATTCCCGCCTAACTTGGTGAATTAGTTGGCATTGGAGATCCTTCCTGATCGGAGGCGGCAGCGCTTTCTGGGTCCTGGCTTATGGCCTGTTCTATTGGGCCTCAAGACTAAAACTCGACTCATTCACAAGCATGGTCTTATATCTTGGGTATCTGTTCTTGATCTCCCTCTTGGACTTCCTGATCACCGGTAAGTTTGAACATAATGCACTGGCAGTACAATGTTGAACTACCTTTTTTCGTAGGTACCATTGGTTTCCTGGCATCCTATTGGGCTGTCTCAAGGCTGTATACTGCAATTCGCATTGATTAGTGCTGCAATTAATTATTATATGTAGATAGATACGGATATTTCGTCTAATTGTCAAGTGTGCATAGAAATGTCAGAGGCGATGAGTGGGGTGGGCATCGATACCAGAATCAATCTGAAGCCGCAAGAACCAGGAGCTTGTCCTTTCCTGCACGCAAAATGGCAATTTTTCCGTCCAGAAGTTCCTCAGGCAGGATTTTGTATTGTACATCTTCAACAGGTTGATTGTTCAAGTACAGACCGCGAGACGAGATAAGTGAACGCGAGACAGCTTTTTGGAAGGAATGAGACGCTGTCACTGGCAAGCTGCGAAGGGACTCACAATTTGATGACACGAGTCCATGTTTCGCAGCCAGTTTTCCAGCAGAAGTATCCAAAATCTCCTGCCTGGGGACCTTCACGAGCCGAGGGTCTTGATCGAAAGCAGACAGGATATCTTTAGCTTTAAAGGTCGCGTAGTCGGAGCCAAAAAGTAATTTAGTTCGTGTAACTGCTTGAGCAACACCAATTTCTACATGGCATGTCAAATTGAGATCATCATGTTGGCTGGTGAAAGGGCAAACTTGTGTGGACCATTTCTGTCACCTCTGCAGCTAGACGATGTTGCGCAACCCTTAGTTCTGGGGATTTCTGTGCAAAAGCTAAGCGTTATTTGCTCAAAACGACTTCGAGTCCCACCTACTTCATGAGTTTCCAAGACGGTTTGGATTTCTTCATTCGATAGGAGCGTAAAGAGTTTCAGGTACTTCCTAACATCTGCATCAGTTACTTTGAGGAAATACTAGTGCCGAAAACATTAGAAGCCATCAACATCTCGAGGCGCACAACACATTACCTGGTAGAAATCGAAGACGCTGGTAAGAGTAGGGTCCAACCAGATCGCATTTCCAGCACTCTTCCCGAACTTCTCTCCCGTGGAAGTGGTTAGGAGAGGGGTGGTAATGCCGTAGGCTACGCTAGATTCCTGGTTATGTGAAGTGTCAGGTTCGAGTTTGCTGATCAGGTCCAATCCTGCCACAATGTTGCCCCATTGATCAGAGCCGCCCACTTGGATGGAACATTCGAAGTATTTGTGCAGGTGATAAAAGTCGTAGGCTTGCAGTAGTTGGTAGGTGAATTCGGTGAAGGATAGACCTTGCTGTGAATCTAAGCGAGCACGTACACTGAATCCCTCGTAAGTACAGAACGGGGTGGATTTGAAACTCGCGCACCAACCTCTCGCGATTCATCATGGCGTTCACTCGAGCATGAAGTCCAACTTTTGCAAGGAAGTCCAGCAAGGTGAATGTCTCGTGCCATTGTAGGTTGCTAACGACTTGAGGTTCCACAGAAACAGCTTCATCGAGTTGGATGCGGGAACGAGCGTAGGGGAGTGCTCGTTTGAAGAAGAGCTGTATGCTTGACGTAAGATTGACGACGTTGTCCTCAACCTTCTTGATGTCAGCAGGTTGACGTTCGGTCAGTCGGCCGGATGGGTCTCCGACGCGTCCTGTTGCACCACCAATCTTCTCGTCATGAGCCTGATTCCGTGAGAGAACGAAGACGGTGCTCACCAAGGGAATAATGGAGTGACCGCGAACTTGGAAATGGAGAAGGCATATCAAGGGGATGAGGTGGCCTATGTGAAGAGAACCCGCAGTCGGGTCAACCCCCGCATAGACCGTCTGCTTGCTGGCTTGAAGGGCATTCTGAAGGGCGTCGCGTCTGCGGGAGAAGTCATCGGTGCTGACATTCGCGAAACAGGTGTGAACCGGGCGAACCTAGTCAAGTTTTGGATGAAACCACGTTGAGTCAGATCCTCAAGAAGAGGGAGGGGTGTGTGTAAAGGTCTTTTGGGGTAAAGCTGCTGTAGTCGACGCACAACAGGTCGCCGGGACCACATGAGATGATGACAGTCACTCACAAACCCTCAGGGCTGTCATTCTCGACCTTTTAGCGCGGCAAAGATAAAGCTAGGGACTTTTCAGGCAGAATTTCCACATTTTACGCGTATAACTCTGTTTTCTAGACGGGACACACGGATCCTTGACCAGATTCCGGCGTATATCATCGCAATGGCGCAATGGCGCAACGGCGCAACCAATAATATAATATTAATATTGCCAATAATCAATTGAACTACTCTGCGACGTCACGCGCTGGATCATGTGATGTCGGAGTTTGACAACTGAGCAGTTTTCGAGAATAAGGTTCACCGGCCGTCGTCCAAGCTCCCTATCGCTAGCATCAGTACCGACATCCACCGCAAGAATGGGCTGTACGTCCCCCACAGTCCTCTATGCTTTCGACGCTAGCTGATCTGCTCTTCTCTAGCCAACAAACCCCGTGGTCTTCAAGCCGCTCGCAAGCTCCGAACTGACCGCCGCGAGAATCGATGGGTAACTATGTCGCCAACAAGGCACACACCACGCTCATACCCCTCTCCCCCAGGCCGATAAAGCTTATAAAAAGCGTGCTCTCGGCAATGTTTACAAGACTTCACCCACTGGAGGCTCCTCGCATGCAAAGGGCATTGTGCTAGAGAAAGTTGGTGTTGAGGCCAAGCAGCCCAACTCCGCCATCCGCAAGTGTGTGCGTGTTCAACTGATCAAGAACGGAAAGAAGGTCACTGCTTTCGTCCCCGTACGTGCCTGTTTCTAGCCCTTGAGCGACTTTGAAGTTCACAAAATCCATTAGAACGACGGTTGCCTCAACTTCGTCGACGAGAACGACGAGGTCCTTATCTCCGGCTTCGGTCGCCGCGGCAAAGCCAAAGGTGATATTCCCGGAGTTCGTTTTAAAATCGTGAAGGTGTCGGGTGTTGGTCTCCTCGCCCTCTGGAAGGAGAAGAAGGTCTGTGCAACCAAACCAACACTTCGAGTGGTGCGACTGACATTCCCCACAGGAGAAGCCCAGGTCATAAAAATCTCGCACAAGGTGTAGGCCGTTCTTATGACGCTGTTATCGCACTGCAACATGTCGAACTCTCTGAGACTATGCTCCTCCCTTTCCGCATGCTTTCCTTTTTACAATACTATGATATGAGCATTCTGCCTACGCAGTCGAAAAATCAGTCATAAGTCAACGGCCTCTTAGTTGGCGGGGTCGGTGTAATGATCTCGATGCTTGTTTAGGCAGAGGGCTTCAAATTTCGACCTCTGGTCCAACACCGTACATTGGGTTTATGGGCGAGACCCTTCTCTTTCCTGAAGGCCTGACCCTTATCCGAAGGGACAGCCCTAAACCCGCCCTTTCGCCCATATTTCGGCATTGGTGCCTCGTGGTGGGCATACGTTCTACTAGCAGGCCTTCTCACAGCTGCTCACCTGTTGTTCTTACGAGATGCCGTGGGTTCGGTGTCGATTCTTTCCAGTGTCCTTGTCGTTTCCGAGTGTCTTTGGCCCTGTCAAGGGCAGTCGAGACTCGGATTCTCCGGGTAATGATTCGGCCCATTATTGGCTTGGACGATCCGACTTTGTCTTCGATGAGAACCTACTGACCCAATGCCTTGATGCCCGGAGCCAAAGTCAGTGGCTATAGTTGGTGAAATCTGAGTCAAATATAGCGCTCATGGGCGTTTCACTTGGGAGTTATTGATGATCCCAACTGCAAGAACAAGAACGCGTCGAGTCAGCGACTCGAATCAATCTTTCCACCGACATCATGTCTCGAATGCTATATATTCCTCTTAGAAACCTCCAAGATGGCGTCAAAAAATGTCTGCACCTCGAGCCCGTCCTCCACCTCCACGTCGCAGTGTACCACTTTCCCCAGATCAGGTCATGCAAGATACCGACCAGGTGGGAGGGGTCGATGACACGACCTCAGATGCTGATGCCCGGGTGCGGCGACTGAGTAGTCTAGTTGCTCGCATGTCGACGGGGAGCCCCGTTCCTCGTTTGCCGCCCATCCCAACTCGTCAGAATACGCAGGAAACTTTGCTCGAATCAAATGGAAATCACCGATCGGAACCTAGTGAAAATGATTCAGCCTCACTTTCAAGACTGCTGGCGAGACGCCCCCCGCCGCCGCCGTTGCGTCGAACGTCAACGTCAAGGACTATTCCTACCCCACCACCGAGGTCTCCTGCACCACCAAATTTGCCTGCAAGACGACCGGTTCCACCGCCACCTCCGGCGCATCCGACCCCCCCTCCAGTTGTCAATGCAGCCACGAAACCCATAATATCATCACCTCCGCCAGTTGTTGAGGAACGGGATCCCTCTTGCCTGCAATGCAGGAGTTTTGATGCTGTCGATGCACATGCCACGTTATTCCCTCGCCACACCGTCAGGTCTTTAGAAGAACTCGCGCACAACCTCGCAGAACCATTTGAGGAGGATATCGAGAAAGCCAGAGTCATATACGCATGGCTTCATTACAATGTTGCGTATGATACACAAGCTTTCTTCTCAGGCAACCTCAAGTCCTCTACGCCAGATTCGACACTCTCTTCTGGCCTTGCCGTCTGTGAAGGTTACGCCGGGCTATTCGAATGCCTCGCTGAACACATGGACATGCAGGTCCACTTAGTCTCAGGCCACGGCAAAGGTTACGGATATCAAGCCCTTCGCGAGGGAGAGCCTGTCCCTGAGTATAGCGCCGGTCATGCCTGGACTTGCGTGCAAATCAACGGGGAATGGCACCTTATTGATTCCTGCTGGGGATCAGGAGTCGTAAGTGCTGCAGGTTACGAACCGAAGCTCTCAAACAAGTGGTTTATCTCATCCCCAATCGATTTTGGCAAAAGCCACTTCCCCGAGGATCCCTCTTTCCAACTCACGCCAGAGGAGGTAACCTGGGAAGAGTACATAATTGCACCAGAGGGACCAACAATTACTGGTGACTTTGAGGACTTCGCCCTCCATCCTGGCTGCGTTTACCCCGCTACAAAATCAGTTCCAGAGAAGCAGCGCATTCAGTTTAGCGTTTCAAAGCGGTGCGAGCACTTGTCAACCGCAGAGGCTGATAATTATGTTTTTGTGATCAGCACTACCGACAAAGAGTTCACTCCTCTAACTTTCAATGAAGGGGAAGGAGCTTGGGCTGTGACCATCTTCACTCCTCGTAGCGGAGACATTACACTTTACGCCGTCACTACAGTCAGCAACCAAGATGCCAAAGGACTGGGTGTTGCAGGATACACGAAGGCAAGAGGTCGCAAAGCCATGGCGTTCAAAGGACTCGTGAAGTGGACAATTGCTCATCTGTAGCGGACTCTTTGGTATTGTAGAACGTCTATAGACTAGTATTATAACGGCGGGGTGTGTGGTATAGGAATCATGCATATTACTTATTCAATGTATCCTTGTAGAAAGCAATGCTAAAGAGTGAAACGATGTACTTCCCTTCATGCGACGGTAATGCCTTGCCTCTCCAGATATCTTGTCAAGTCGCGGATGAGCTCCAATTGTTGGTCCACTGTCAGCCCACTAACGATGATTTGCATAATGCCTCCGACAGTAGCGCTGTGGACACGGATGAGGCTGCTATAGTACACATAGGTGAAGACACCCATCAAGAATCTACAAAACAAGAGAGGTCAATTTCGTTCGTCAAGGGAAGTAGCACAAGAGGCTCACTGGCAATCCATGCGGTCAGTCATTCCACCATGGCCGGGAATGCTGTGACCGAAGTCCTTAATATTGAATGCTCGCTTGAATCCAGAAGCGAAGAATCCTCCGAACGGAGCAACCAGCGACGCGAAACAAGCCAGCACCAACAAATGCAAATGGTAAGGGGCATATGAGATGGAACCAACAGTGCGGCCAGCCTGACAAGAATGAGCAGAGGAAGCAACTTAGGCTGACAAGAAACGTACCGCAGGAGACAAAATCATGGACAATGGCTTCCATAATTCCAGCGTTTTCCATACAAAAACTGGGTTCGGTGTGCACTGAGTAGAGCTCCAGGCGCTTACGCCAAGGTCGTGGACGGGGCATATCATATAGTCGAACCGCATGAAATACGAACCCCACAGGATCGCAAAGATCAAGGTGCTGATGAAAGCACCAACAAAGCCTTCCACGGTCTTCTTGGGAGAGAGCCGGATGAGTGGCGTCCGACCCACTGTTATCCCCCAGATATAGGCGAAGATGTCGTTACAAATGACAAGCGACGCAGGGACCCAGAACCAAATGAGCCCCTCCAAAATACTATTGACGATGAAGTGACTGATTCAATATTTTCATTAGCACAAGTGGGCCAGCGCGACATCGAAGCAAGTACCTTGACACAACAATCAAAAGCAAGCTCATATGAACCCAACAGAAGAGACCAAATTGTTGCTTCAAGTAACCTCGTTTGAGTGACATGACGAAGCCCATGAACCCAATGATGTACAATGTGAAGCTAATCATGCGATGATTCGTCGCGAAAGGTAAAAGGTTTGCGTCTGCAAATACAACATGCTAGGGTGGGGGTCAGCCATAAGTCGGAAACAGGAAGTTCCATTCTACCTTGAAATAGTAGATGATGCTTTCACCATATAAGAAATAGTTTGTCACCGCGAAGAAGTACCAATTGAGGGTTTTGCTCCATGGATCCTTTTTCCCTTTGAGTTGATCGACGTCGCGCCCTTCTGGAGTTGCGGTCTTGAGGGAGAACAACGCTGTTACCTCTCTGTACACAAGAGTTTGGCAGAGCATGACCAGAAGTATCATGTAAGCATGTCCGAGTAATAAAAGGCCTGGTAATGGCATCAGAACGACTGGGATCCTGTGACACCGAGGAGGGACTTGCCAATGAATCCTCCGATCATGATGAAAGTCCATATTATACGGTTCAGAGCGTTTTGGCGTTTCTTGACCTGTTCCGCGTCTTGGACTGGAGGTGCGCTTTCGGTTGTGCTTGGTGGCATAACTAAGCCATGTGTCGGCGAAAGCGCCTGCTGGACTCCAGGCTTGGTGTCTGAATCAACTAGAATGTCCGACGTTTCGACGACAGGTTTCTCTGCGGCAGGGAGTTGCGAGGAGGCTGCGAGTGTGACTTCGACGCGGTTTGGATGCGCAGTACCATTAGATTTCTCTTCGTGCACCTTTTCGAAGGACTGAGATTCAATTGGTGCAGCGGCGACTGGAGCTCCAGGAATGGGTTCGGGTTTGGGTGCGACAGTTTCCACTGGCGCCTCTGTCCTCAATTCAGGCTGCACAAGAGGCGTGGTGGTGCCAGACACGGTCGTGCTTTTGCTCTCCTCGCTGCTGGCTTTCTTTTGTTGCTTTTGACGCTGTTTTCGTTCAATACGAGCTAATCGGTTTGCTCTTTTGATAGCAGACTTCGTCATCTTCACAGATTCTGGGGCGGCACTGGAATTCAATGAATTAGAGGGAATACCACGGACAAAAACGCGGTGACGCACCTGTCCGGCACGGGATCTTCGACTTCAGACACATGTTCCTCATTCGATTCCTCGCCGAAGTCAACATTAAGGGCCTCGTAGGTCGTTTTGGAGGCGAATATGGGACGAACAGAAGCGCCGTTGGACCCGCTCATCCTGGTTGTGGTGAAGTTAGACTTCGTAAAATGCCGATGTCACCGTTACATAAGTATTTTTGGACACGCTAATAGGACACCAGTTTGGTTGGCGCCTGGTTGGCACTCAACACGTTCTTGCCGAAAGGTCAACAGACTCGGAAGTATCCTCGACTGCATACCATGCAGAGAACCTCGCTCACGGAAACCCTCAAAGGTGGTGTAGGGTGATGGCGCTGAGGTTACTGAATCTCATCCTACGATTTCCTACATCTGTACATGACTGCTGGATTCGAGCTTGGAAGTATGTAGCTACCACGTCCACCAGTCGTCTATGGGTTACAAGCCTTCTATCCAACACGCATCCATGGTACAATGCCTACTCCCACGTCGCACTGTCCATGTCGATTAAATATACACATGATGGCTAGCACCACCGAGATCCTAGAATTTCCACTCCTCCTCAGCCTCCATTGCCCAAGGGACTGGCGAAGTCAGCACTTGGAAATCAGGATAAACAATTAGAGGCGACTTACATTTGGTCAGTAAGGTCTTCGAGAATAACTTCTCGATGGGAACGTCATGCTTCTTGCACCACGCAGCTGTAATCCTGGACAAATTGTGAGAATCTCGAATGAGAAGCCAAAGCTCTCACAACGCACCGTGGATCTAGGTAGTTGATTTTACTGAAGAGCAGTTGTGTTCAAGATCAAATACTCTGTATCGACTGATAAACATACCTCGTTCCAAGAGCAACTTCTTTGCCCGCATCGCGATCGCTGATTTGCAACTTGAAAGCCTTGATCTTCTGGGTGAGTTTGTCGATGGCCTCCTCTAGCTTCTCTGCAGAGCGGTCCCGTTTCATGGCAGCTTTCTTCGTCCCACGCTCTTTGGCTAGTTGTTCGAACTCTTTGGTGATTTCCGCAATACGTGCCTTCAAAACCGACTCGTCCTGAGGTTTCTCGTTGTCCTCTTGACGCTTCTCGTTTTCCTTAGCGAATTTCTTCTCCACCTTCTCGATCTCTTTCGTCTTCAGGCCTTCCTCATGCTCAACGATCCACTCGTCATCAAGGTCGCTTTCATCATCCTTATATCTTGGGTCCTTCTTGTATTTGGAATCAATTGCAAATAAACCATGGCGCAGCTTCATTCTGTCGTATTTGAAGGCCCGCTCCTAATAGTGCGTAGGGTCAAAAAGGTGACGCGATCAAGGAGAAAAGCCCATGCCTTAAGGCGCATTCGCTCCATGGATTGGTCATGAGTTTTGGGCACGCTACGCTGATGGTTACAGAGAATGGCCACTTGTCGATTTGCCTTATTGTAGGCAGCTAGTCGCTCCTGGAGCGTAGCACCTTCTAAGTCTTCTTCATCTAAGAGGCGTTGGAACGTAATGGAAGCATTGAATGTACGGAAAACCTTTGCAGTCAGCCCCTTCATCTCGTTGTTCAGGTGCTTGTTCAGAGAACTTGTCTGTGGAAGGGAATTAGGGGCAAGATTATCTGTGATTGAGAAATCACTTACGGTCACGCGATCGAAGAGGTTGTCATCATCGTTCTTATTCTCTTTGAAAATCCGGATGTTCTTGAAAACTTGAGGTTCAACCTGGACTCTATTATAATAGCGGATTGAATCCTTTCCCAGGAAGTCGAAGATAATGAAATCTGGAGCTTCAAGGGTAACATGTTCACAACGAAGTGAACAACAACCGACGGTGTCGGCTTCATCCTCGCCTTTTTCGTTGCCAGCACGAAGAGCGAGCTTGTCGATGAAGTACATGGCAGTCGCCCTTTGGCGATCTGCCATGACCTTCGACTTCAAATCACTAGTATAGTTCGCACGGATACGATCGACATGGTTCTGGTTATTCATTAGTAACAACGACGAACAACGTCGCAGAATAGCCCACCTTCAACTCGCGAGCCTTCTCGAATTTCTGCATGTCGCTCTGACCTTTGAGCGAGCTTCCAGCAGCCAGGAAGACATATTTGTGATTACCGTTGATGTTTTCCGTCCAAGTTGCAAGCCAAGTGACAGTCTTATCATGGGTGACAGCCTTCCACTCTCCAGGCATGTTAGGGACCGGTATAGGGGCAGAAGTCCCGAGATTGATTGTAATATCTTCGGGTCGGAGGCGGTGCTTGCGTCCTCGATGTCAATAACCCATGCCTCGTTTCCCAAAGATGCAGCACTTACTTTAAGCGCGCCTTTCCTAGGGTGTTCACCACGGCCTCTGAACAATCCAGGTGGTTCAACTCTGAAGTTTCCTACTTTCTCTTTACGTCCATCCAACAAACAGGTCGCATATTTAGCCTCCATTTCATCTTTCGCTTTTTTGGCCGCCTTTTTCTCTTCGGTAGTCATAGCCTTCTTCTTCACCTTTTCGCTCTCGAAATACTCGAACATTGGACGGAAGTCACAAAGGTCGAAATTCGTTATCTTGACACCGTTCCTCTGGAGTAACTTGAGCAAAAAGACAGATACAAGTAAGGAATAACACTCACAGGCGGGAACTTCTTCAAGACCGTCTTCCAATCCTCGAAGAAGTTCTTGTTGAAAGTTGCGTCTTTCGCGTGGTCTGTTTCAAGAAGAGCTCCATAGAAACCAGCAACTTCCTCTGATTCCGGCGGCAAGTCAACTTCAACACCTATTCCTTGTGTGAGACCATTAACGATAAACAAAACAAATAGAACGTACCATTATACTTCATTTTTGTCGAAGATGGTAATGGCTCGTAGGGTGGGGGGAACAAGACGCCGTGGTGCTCGAGAGTGGTCCATTTGAGAGTACCATCACCTTCGGGGTCTTGATTATCCCACCACCTGAAGATTTCCTCTTGCTCCTCTTGCTCCTTCTCCTTCTTGCTCTTTTTCGTCGGAGATTTCACCTCTTTACTCTCTGAGTCGGCCTTTCTCGCCTTTCCACCCTTCTTCGGCTTCGGGGTCTCGGCTTCAGACTGATCGTCTTCCTCTTTCACTTTCTTTCGTCGTGGTTTCGTTGCGGCCTTTGTTGGCGGTGCATCCTCCTCTGCATCACTTTCGGCCTTCGGTTTGCGCTTCTTAACTGGAGCACGCTTCTTAGAACCGGCAGGTTTCTCGTCCTCGTCAATGGCATCCTTCTCCTTGACTTTCTTTCTGGGAGGTTTCGAAGCCCGACCATTTGCCTTTGGCCTGCTGCGAGGCTCGTCGCTCTCAGATTCGGGTACAACGTTCGCATCACCCCCCTCGACCCTCACTTTCGCCTTTCCATTGGCTTTAGGGGGCTTTGCAGGAGAAGAAGCTAGGGGCGTGTCGTCATCGCTCGAGCTTTCCGCATAAACAGGTTTCTTGCGTTTAAGGTTGCGCGGAGGGAGCGACGTGGCGTCCTTACGAGTTGTTTGAGACTGAGGGAAAGGTAAGTCTATATGTAGGCATGAGCAAATAATTGGAACGGCATCCACATACCAAAGGCAAATCGTCATCGTCACTCATATCGTGGTCGTCGTTCTGGCTGGCACCATTTCCATTCGTCACAGGTTGTCCGTGTCCGTTTGCCTCTGGTGTAGTGCTGGTAGGTTCATCGTCTGAGAACATAGACACATCGTTGGACATAGTCGTTGTGGGAGCTCCAATCGAGGACTGCTAACGCTGTGCGCGTAGTTTAAAATCTAAAGGGGTGGTCTGGCGAGAGGAGGTAAGGGGAGTGGGATAGTTCTATGACGGCCCACTGTCAGGTTCAGATCAATTTTGCCGAAGTCATTTGAACCTGCCCTTAAGTGCAAGATCACGTCCATTTTCCCACTACTGTGAAAGCTGAGTCACATGTCGGTGTGAGCTCGATTCCGTGTGGCATAGGCGCATATTGCGGCGGCACAACTCAGACTCCTCTTTTTGACTCGCTAACTACACCAGTGAGTGCTGTCACAGGTTTATTCTCATACCTCCTAATCGTTCTAGTAGGCGCCATGCCCAATCTCCCTCTCTTTAGAGATCCTTGGGCCAAGAACGAAGCCTGGCGAAGACATCCTGTGTTCTCCAATCGCGTCATGTTCCGCAACATGTTCCCTGGTTTCGGAATCGCCGTTGTGGCCTTCACTGGATACGTTATCGTGGACAACCTGTTCCTCAGCGCTGGAGATAAGCACGCACATCACCACTAGAATGGAATCGAAGTAAGTTTTCTTGGTCACTCCTTGTACCGGTTTCGACCGTGGCATTCATTTCAGATGTACACGCCGGGCCCGCAATGACGATCTAGCAGTCCGCAAGCATTCTTCTTAGTATCCCTGATTCAAGGCGACCATTGCATCAATTAGAGAGGCATTGGCCCATTTCAGGTTGTCAGCATTAACAGAGATTTTGGGCGGAAAGTGAATCGTGATTGACACGCAATGGGAGAGATATGAGGCTTCGTTAGGACAGAACGAACGCTACCATTGTAAATGGAAGATCCACAATCCTTTTATTCACGATACGATGCTCATCCCCGCAAGAATCGTTTGTACACGCTGTTCTCGGTTTCTTCTACGTATGGATAGTCTAGTTTCTGAAGGAACTCGTCAAAGGCGACTGAATCCCCTGGAGGAACTTGGATGCCAGCCAGTATCTTCCCCAGGTCTTTGGCCTTGTCAGTACAAGGTCGTACTGTGGTTCACAACTGGAAACACACCTGCCCCGTGATTGCGATAGTGGAATAGAGAAATATTCCAGCCTTTGTGGAGACCCAACAGGAATTTGCGCAGTGCTCCCGGTCGTTCAGGGAAAGCTAACGCAGTGCTTAAGTTAGCAGCTCTTTTCGAGACCGATAACACGTACAAAATCTGAATATTCTCTCATTCGCGACAGTTTGGCGACCTCCAATCATGTATCTGATATGGCTTTTTGCAAACTCGTCGTTGCTTATATCGTGGCCTTTCATGTCGGCATCTTCTAGAGCCGTCAAGACTTCGCGGACCTCTAGCTCACGTGATGTGGATGCTAAATTGAAAGAAAGCAGGATGTGTGCACGGTCGCCAGAGATATTATACCGGTAGACAAATTCCGTTACTGCACGAGGATGGATGACAGAATGCAAGGCAACGAAGCTGACCAGGAAATGAGCGAATCGTCAAGGTAGAAGTGTGGATGCCACTCGCCTGCCAGGTCTTTCTGGAATATCCACGCTGAGAAGAGCCTCACGCCCCTCTCCCAATTCTGCACGTTCTGCAACAAAGCGGAGACGGTCGAAGTTCATATTGGCACCGCTCACCACTGCCACGAACTTCTTTTGTGCGCCGATGAGATTGCTCTGAATGATATAACGCTTTAAACCAGCAAGCGCTAAAGCGCCAGCGGGCTCTGTAATAGATCTAGTTTCTATATACTATAAAAATTGGGGGAAACTTCAATTGTAATTGCGCTCACCTTCAAATATGTCTTTGATGGCGGCGCAAATTTCATCATTATCAACTTTAACGACGCCGTCGAGGAGTTTTTTGCAGATTCTAAAGGGTTCCTCCCCGACGATCTTGACAGCTGTTCCGTCGCTGAATGGACCAACTTCATGTAATGTAACACGCTCGCCTTTCTCGAGGCTTCGGGCCATAGCATCTCCGTCAATGGTTTCGATGCCGATCACTTGGGTATTGGGACTGCCTATTCTCTTGACATATTCCGCGATACCAGCAACGAGACCGCCACCACCTACTGAGGCAAAGATTGCAGCGAGTTGATCAGAGTCGGGAAGTTGTTTCAAGATCTCCATCCCGACGGTTCCTTGACCGGCAATAACAAGCGGGTCGTCGTAGGGAGGAACGAAAACAAGACCGTGAACAGATGCCAATCGCGCACATTCAGCTTTGGCTTCGTCGAAGTCCATTCCATGTAAAACAACTTTCGCACCTAGGCGCGCGACATTTCGGACCTTGATATCAGGTGTGCCTTGAGGCATCACGATAGTGCAGGGAATGCCCAACCGGGCTCCAGAAAGCGCAACACCTTGGGCATGGTTTCCTAGATAACATGGAAGGTGAGTATATTGTGCGAGTTCAAGAGATGATCTGATCTGTGGGAGGGGTGGTACACGATCTAAGAATACGCACACTAACCAGCACTACATGTGACAACACCTTTCCACCTTTCCTCCTCAGAAAGGCTTGCCATGAAGTTGTATGCACCACGAATCTTGAAGCTGAATACTTCTTGGAGATCTTCCCTCTTGAGCCAGATTTGATTTCCTAGTTTTGCGCTGAGATTGGTGGCGTACACAAGCGGCGTCTCCTTGAGGATCTCATAGACTTTGGAGGTCAGGATCAACCTGAGATAGTCTGGGGTGTCCGACGGCAAAAGATGATGCTTTGCGAGACGGGAGTATGGGATGGGTTTTGGTGCATCTGAGGCGTATTCGATGGTCGCTGCTGAGGCCATTTTGAATTTGGAGAGGAAGAAAGGGGCACGACGAAAATTCGGCTGTGACTCGAAAATTACCCCCGTTTGGGATCATAATCATAATGAGGGTCCCGTGACCGCCTCTGCAGCTTCGGCCCAGCCAGAGGTGGACATTCTCCCAGCACTGCACAATGGCACAAGCCGCCACCATGGGCCCCCCACTCTCCCCCCGTGAAACACGTCGCTCAGGCCGTCGCTCCGCCCCCTCCGTCTCCGCCAGCGCCTCAAAATCACCAGACTCCGACCAGCCATCCATGGGGAAGGCCTCATCCTCCCGTGCCCCCGCCGCATCAGCCAGCAATCGCAACAAACGACTCAAGCAAGAGGATTACGACGACGCTTCCGATGATCGAAAGAACGCCCCCGTCTCCTCAACAGCCTCCTCTACCTCACAGAACGGCAGCAGCACGAATAAAGCCAAGCGGAAGATTGGCAAGGAGAAAGACAAGGACAAGGATAAACACCCCAGCAGCGGCAGCACTGCAGATGCCGACACTGCAGACGCCGAAGGCCAGCCCCAGGACCCGGTTGATGAAGAGGAGGAGCAAGGAATTACGCGATGTGTCTGTGGAAGCGCTGGTGGGTTGCCTTCATCTCCATTCCCCCCACTGTTGTGCTCATAATCCTCGCATAGAGGATGACCCCGATGCCGGTGAATTCATGGTTCAATGCGAAGGCTGTAAGGCCTGGCAGCATGGGCTATGCATGGGATATCAGTCTGAGGACCAGCTCCACGACGATGACTACTATTGCGAGCTATGTAAGCCGGACCTGCATGTCGACCTTCTCAAGTGAGTGCACGTTCTCATTCTATGCACGTCTCATACCGACAGCCTTTCAGAAAACTGGCCAAAAAGCAAATACGACAGGCATCGACTGCCCGTCAGGGAGTTGATGCTCACTCTCGCGTATCCCGTTCTCACTCGCCGTCACACCTGCTGAAACAACCCTCAAAACGCCGAAACACTATGAATAGCAGAGATGCTGCCTTTGACGAAAGTCTGAAAGAAATCATCGAAGCAACAGCTGCAGAGGCGGCGGCTATCCAAGACTCTTCTGCGAATGATTCCATCATACAACAGCCAGACGTCAACGAAAACAAGAAGAAGCGGAAACGGGCAGAGGAAGACACGTATGTTTCAGCGCATATCTTTAGAGACTGTCTATTCATCCATTTGCAGCCATACCAAAAAGCGGACGCGGTCAGCATCTACGGCCTCAGATAGACACAGCGCTACGGCGCCTCCAGCTGAGATCCCTATGCCCGAAAAGCCCGTCCCTCAAGCACCGAAGGCCGCTAGCGCGAAGAACAAACGAGGAGGGCGTAAGGCTGCTGCTGCAATCGAAATCACAGTAGTTGACGCGGAAGAAAGTGAGTCGTCCATTCCTCTTGTCACCGAGCGCCATGCTCAGCTTTATTTCAGTTGCGAGTTTAGCCCCGAAGCGACCTGCTAATAATCAGCGTGCCAAAGCCGCCAATAATGCTAAGAAACCGCCATTGTCACAGTCAGTATCCCAGGATGCCGCGCCTAATACTTTTGAACATATTCATATTTCCTGCAGGGCTCAGGGTGGTGGAGGGCAACACGTTGGAACAGGTATGGCAGATGCGCGCGCCTATCGCAGCTCTCATGCATACGCTGTATCCCAGCCGTCGCTGTATACATCTTGGGGACTTCCAGACCATCTCGCTCATCTAGAACAGATACTGCCGACTGAAGTACCACAGCCATTAGAGGTGCGGGCGGGAGGCTCGAATTCCGGCAACAATGGGAGGGGCGAAAGTGCGGAGCGGACGATGGAAAGAGGTGTTAAAGTTAGATGGCCAACCAAGCGGCTGAGTGTTGGTGATATGAACAAGAGAGTGCGCGCTCTCGTCGAATGGGTCGGCAGAGAACAAGCCAATGCTCTCGATAGAGGCCGTCGTCGTGAGGCGCTCGAGAAGGCTCTGCGAGAGCAAGCAGCCGAGGCGGAGGCAGCAGATCCGGCAGACCACGACGTCCAAATGATTTCTGGCGACTTGAATGAGCAGCAGCGCCCACCGAAGCCAACGTTTGTCAACTGCGCCATGTCCGAACGAGCACTGGAGATCTCTGAGAGGACCATGAAGACGATGGAAGAGCTTATGGAAGAGTTGATAGGATTTCAAGAAAGGTTTGGGCCTGGAGCAAAGAACAGAGAACGCGAACGCAAAACAGCATCATGAAAGATTCGCCGTGGCCCGCGTGTGCACCGCGCTTTCGTACCTGACAGCGTTCATAGGCTTCGGACTTTACTAGCACTTCTTGTGCAAATCTTCTTTGGATCGACAGTCCGCTGCATGTTATTCCTTTGTGTCTTATAGGTCGTCTATCATTGCTCTTGTACTTTACTTTTGCGCTCTGTAAGAACCGTTATAGTGAAATGTACCAAATTAATTCATCACTCTTTCAATGATCGTAATAATAATAATAATCATATACGCTGCCAGGACCCACTCGGGATATACGGGACAATGGTAGGGGATGTAGCTACGTATCTAAAGATACGTAAAAAGTCATCCGATAGCTCATGCTCGCTGATGTCATGAACATCTCCGCCAGAAGACACTGCTGTTCCAGCCCTGCGACCTGACCAAATGAGAAAGACCAAATGGACGAACCTCGCTGTTGAAGCCACCAGACTCCAGTTGAAAACCAATTTCTTGAGCCAAAAAAGTGCTGCGTCATCGGAGAAGCGGACAGGCCGACGAAACCCACAACGGGTACTTAAGACAGTCATTGAAGAATTCGTCACGAAGGGTTACAATAGTTGCGTTGGCCGTGCATTGGAGTACTGTATAATTAGTATTGCATGTTCGGGTGTTTCAATATGTAATTGGCACATACGACAGAGGCGGTCTTGCAAACCTCAATATCGTCAAGTGTGATGTGCTTACTTTTCTCAACAATCGCGCGACGATGTTGGACCTCAATGTCATCACCTTCAAAACCATCTTCTTGGCGAAGTTGGCGAAGTGTGAAATGCTGGATGATGGCGCCGACCAACAGGTAAACAAGGTGATCAACGCGGCGATTCGACGTCCCTCGAGAAACTTGCCTTTCAAGACATGGTGCCAGCTAATGAAGGATGGTTCTTGAATCAGGATAGACGGATCAGATGGAGGAACAGGCACGCTTCAACCAACATATTTGTATCTGTCAATTCAAACACTGTACGGTTCTTTCGATACACCGCCGACCACATCTTGAGGAACTCGTCGATAAGCCAGTATGTCAGATGCAAAGGATCCTTGGCCGACAGCCTGGCGAGCAGAGGGGCCGGCATTCCCAGAAGACCTCGCAGGAAGCGGGGCAATGGTAAACGAAGAGACACAGACGCCGTATAGTAGCCAAGAGAGTCTCCAGTGGCCGGTTGGGCCCCGACGCTCAGTTGGAAAGAAAAGAATGACATCACAGACAGAGCCCAGAGGGTTTGACAAAGAGCGGGCATGGGATTTCACGGAATGAGCATGGCAGGGTGAGGCGTCGACTCACGCGTCGTCGGGGCGTTACGCGGTCATGGAGTCACGTAGGCTTAGTGGATTTGTAACGAGGCGGCGGGTTCCTTTTTTTGGCCTCGTCTCATTTGGGACACCGGCGGGATTGTGTGTGTTTGGTTCTTTCAAATCCGGAAATCCCAGTTACTGCGGGATCTCAAAGCTGGGCTGGCGTTTGACATCACTGACGAGAAACCTGACACTGCGACCTAACCGCGACCGTGGCCAGAGGGCGAACAATGGCTTCTCGCGACACGTCCGATCCTTGGAATGTCCCAACTAGAACGCCTGACATCCTCTCCGAAGATAGCACTCCTGACCATGACGATGAAGAATTCACGTATCCCACCGGCGACTATTCTACCCATATGGAAGAACTCTTTGAAGAGGATGGAGTAGCTGTCACGAATGGGCAGGATTCTGAAGAGGAGGATGATGAAGGCTTTCTCTACAATGGTGTTGATGCAGATGCATCAGTTGGCTATCGAGAGCAGCTACGTGACGTCCTTGGCCAAGATCATGGAGACGAATCCGAGTCCGACGTGCTAGAAGTCGAGAGGTCTTTGGTATACCAGAACTCGCACGAAACATCGGGCGTAGAAGATGAAGTATCTGTGGGTCTATGATTCTCGAAGCCTCCATACCGAAGTCACTTACTTGTACTTAGCATTCTCTGGACGAGGAACTACTGGAGCACTCACCTGCTGCCTCTTCGACATCTCCCAGGACGCCGGAATCGCGTGTCTCATCTCCTGACTCCAAAACTTCCCAGTTCAAGATACCCCGACCATTTCTCCACCCTACAGTATCCCGGCTTCGCTCTTATACCCCACAATCATCACGAGGGCCGTCTAATGGAAGTTCAGTGACTTCTCACTCACATTTCTTCGATGGAGCGTCACCTTCACCTTCTAATTTCTCTTCGCTATCGCGAATGTCTTCCTTGTCCAACCTGCGTGCCGCGTCTTCGAGCCAACCTGACGCGTCACAGAGTGGACAAACGGACATTCCTACAGAGGTATTCCGCTGGGCCGATTTACACGGAATTACGCAGACCATGTATTCCAAAGCTTCTCAAAAGGCGTCTGCGCTACTCGGTGCACCCGTTCTCGGCGCACCGACTGTCTTGGCTGCAAATGGCCTGATATGTATCGGCACTACCGAGGGGAGGGTGGTAGTTCATGATTTCAATCAAACACTTCTCTGTGTCTGCGATAGCAAGATGCCAGGTGCGCCTTCTGCTGTAACTTCGACCTGAAGGCGACTAATGGGCTGTCAGGATCTGCAGTCGGAGCCGTCACGGCACTTTCATTGTCCCATGACCACACCTTCGTGGCTTCGGGCCACTCGACAGGGTACATCCAACTATACAATCTCAAGCACCCCCATACGCCAATACGCACAGTTGCGCCCACCACATTGGCTACAGTGTCATCAGGGAGAAAAGAAGGTCACTTGCAGGGCTCTCGAATCGTAAGCATTGGTTTTGTTGCAGGCCGTCACACCGCCCTTGTATCGGCTGATGACCATGGACTCGCGTTCTTCCACTCCCTCGGCAAAGTGCTTTTTGTGGAAGCCTCCGACATACTTCGCATCCTTGGTCGATATCCTGAGCCTGCCTATCCGGCTGCACCTCTGAAGACACCCTTGGTGTCTTCATCGGTTCCTGCCTTTTCTCCAGCGACAGACGTTCCCCAGCCTCGACGGCCACGATACACGGTGCTGTCGATGGCTCCTCTTCCCTTAGGGACAGCCCCGCATCCAACAGACAACTACCACGTGGTCGCCCTCTTGACCCCCACAAAACTTGTTGCTATTGGTTTGAAACCGACACCAAGAACATGGTTCAAGTGCCCCCGTGAAGGCAACGAAGGTGGCCAGTGGAAACCTCGTTCGAAATGGCTCGGCTCTCTAGCCTGGTTTCCGAGCTTTCCACGATCTTCTGCGACAACGAAGGACAGTCAGCCCGGCAAGAATGATCCTCGCATCCTCTATGAGAATTTATCCACCCCAGTCCTCGCGTTCTCTTGGGGTAGTTCTCTACACTTGATCAAAGTTGTCGAATCTCGCAGTAGGCAGGCTATAAAGAACTCCAAGACAGGCAAGACAAGTGACATCGATGTTGGAGCCATCACCTATGAAAAGTCTGGAAAATGGGTTGCTGACGACGACATTCTGGCAATGCAATGGTTGAACCACAATGTGCGTCCGTTTGTGCGTCTCTGTGAACCTGGCACACCTATTGATTCTGCGTCTCTAGCAAATCATCGTTATGACGCGTGGCACACTTGGAGTATTTGATTTAAGACTGTCGAAGCTTGTCGAACAGATTAAACATAACGGGCTATCTCTGGCATCTCCTATTTCTCCGGCCGCAGGGTCAGGAGTTCCCGATGTTGAAAGCGATCTAGTTGCTCACAGTGTTCGTGTCTATAAGAGCAAACTCTTTTTGCTGGTAAGCTTATCCCTGCACTTCCGGAACGCAGCCTAATATCAAGACATCCAGAAACGGCAACGACTGGTAGTTGGGACCCTCCTTACATGGGCAGATCGGATCCTCTCTCTCGTTGAAGAAGGCGACTTCCTCCAGGCCATCGATCTCACTCGTTCTTATTATGTTGATGAAGCTCTGGGCAATCGGAACAACCTACCCGATGACCTTGCAGAGAGAAAGGAGGTCATTGGAGAAAAAATGCGGCGACTCATGGATGCTTCAACTCATTACGCGTTTTCTGAGGAGAGAATGGCAGATGCAACACACGTCACTCCAGACAATAGGGGCGTAGATCGCACGTCTCTATTTGAAGGCCTCGTTTCTGTGTGTGCGCGAGCATCCGTTGCGCTGGATGACTTCGAATTTTTCTTCGAAGACCTCTTCCAACGTTATGAAGATGCTGGGATCACCTCAATTTACCTCCGTCAGCTAGAGCCCTTCGTTCTGGATAACGAAATCCGCTATGTACCACCACGCATTACTCAAAGACTCGTTGCATTGCACGAGCAGGATGGACGACCAGAGCTCGCAGAGCGTATTATTTGGCACATGGATCCCGCCTGTCTCGACCTTAATCAGGCTATACAACTCTGCCAACAATATCATCTGTACGACGCCCTTATCTACATCTATACTCGTGCCATGCGCGACTACGTCGCACCTGTCGTGGAACTCCTCAGCCTCATTCGCAAGGTTCAACACTTCCGAAAATCACGGGTAGAGTTTTTAAACAAGACGGGCTCGGTCATGTATGCGGACGCGACCATGGAATCTATCATCGTCAACGCCTACAAGGTCTACCCATATCTCGCCAATGTCCTCTCAGGTCTCACTTATCCTAGCGAGGAACCCCTCGATCTAGAAGAAGCTCTTCAAGCCAAGAAAGACATTTACACTTTCCTCTTCTTTGGCCGTTCCAGTGTATGGCCTCCAGGAGAAGGTGGCAAACTTATTCTGACATCGGATGAAGATGGTGGTGTGGAGCCAACATATCCATACGCTCGTCAGCTCCTCCTATTCGACTCTGAATCTTTCCTGCACACCCTGGACATTGCTTTTGAAGATGCTTATCTCAATGACGAATCTCAATCAATCAATCGCTTGATCATTGTGCGAATCGTCCTTGAAATCATGGCCTCAGGACAATTGCCACAAGAAGACGCGACAATGGTCAACATATTCGTTGCACGCAATGTTCCCAAGTATCCCCAATTCCTCCAGATCGCTCCCAGCAGTCTCCATACCATCCTCATTGGACTCGCCGAAGATATTGATCCGCGAACTCGTGAAGACCGACAATTGGCTGCGGAATACCTTCTCTCTGTATACAATCCCCATGACAGCGAGCGAGTCCTTGAACTATTCGAACATGCTGGCTTCTACAGAATCTTACGTTCCTGGCATTATCATGAGCGACGATGGGCCAAACTGCTTTCTACGTACATCGTCGATCCCGATATAACATCCTTGGACATCCTGAACAAAGTCGACGAAGTTCTTACTGCTGCTTTACGCTCGAACAGGGGTACTATTCCTTCTGACCTGGCTCATGTCGTTTTACGCTCTCTCCCCCGACTCTTGCGAGCGGATGTGGCAGCTACCGCCTTGTTGATCGACAAAACCCTTCCGACCATGCACGAAGAAGCATTGGAAGCCCTCGGAAGCGGCGACGAAGCTGACAAGGCCCGCTACGAATATCTCCACGTTCTTCTAGGACTCCAGTCAACGGATGAAGACGATAACGATGCTGTTGGGACTCCTAGTCCGTCAGAGAAAGTGTCTCCACAACTGCGCCAGCTCTTCTTTTCACTTCTCTGCAAGTTCCATCCCGATGGTGTGATCCCGACACTGCTTTATCTTCCTCAGCAGACATTTGTATTGCAGAGTATTGCGGATACTTGCGAAGCCTACGAGGTTTACGATGCCGTGATATGGGCAACTAACTGGCAAGGGGACCCTCAGAATGCTCTGGAGAAAGCGGATGCTTTCCAGAAAGAGATCACGCGCAGGATAGTCCCCTTCTTTGAGAGCGCGGACAAGCAGCCAGTGGACCTTGATCAAGAGCTCCGGACGTTGGAAGCTATGGCCCGCATCAGCCGTGGTATTTGCTTAGAACGTTCTCAGGGGTCAGCCATGGACATTCCACTGGAAGACATGTGGTTCAAGTTGCTGAATAGTCAAATCCATACTGTCCAAAGCGTATCTGCCTTGGTGGCACAGGAGAAAGCGACTGACGCCGCTGGGCAGGTTTCCAGGATCCTGGAGTCATTGCGTTCTCTCGTCCAGGCAACTTTTGGCGCCCTTGTCTCAATCACATCTACGAGGACCATTTCATTCCCTCGACTCTTCAAACGCTTGGTCAATTCAGCCCCCGCCACCGCTTCTCAATACACGGAATTTAGGACGATACTGACTGGAATGCTCGAGTCTTATCATTCCGACGAAGACCTCCTCAGCATCCTGAAGCACCTTGTGGAGAGAGATTTATTTGATGCGGTTCAGCAAGTCACAAGGGAAAGGTCCTGTGGCTGGGTAGCTTCGCAAGGAAGGTGCATTCATTGTCGAAAACCGTTGGCATCGACACTCCTCGATCATGGGACATCTTCACACATTACTGCTACCCAGATTGTAATTTCACGGACGGGTTCCATATGCCATAGTAATTGTAGACCGCCACCTGAACGCATAATTTCCTTGCGATCATGAACTGAAAATATAAATGCCATTACTCTCGTGTCTATTCCGCGTCAGAAGCGTACACCATTTCTTTGAGGAAGAGAAAATGTTGGTTGGTGTCCACTTCAACTTGCAAAGACTGGGCATCTCTTCCAAATGCTTCTACGTCTAAAATCATTTGACTGCGGATTCTCTCTTCGTCCTTTCCTTCGTCCGATGCACCAGCTGAGCTACCAAACAACGAAAATGGTTGTTTCTTGTTCTTCTTCAACCGTCTTAATGATTCTTCTGTTTTCTTCATTGCAGTTAAATAACTGATATATCTGGGAACGACGTCAAAGCTTCACATCACCGAACACATGCAAATGCAAGTGCCCTCACCGTTGCGTCACATTGTTAAACACTTCAGTGGCATAAGGCTTTAGGAATGCATCTTTGAGGGCGCTTCCAGGACCGTCAGCAGCCCCAATGGCAAAATATTGCTTCACAGGCCGGAGTATAGACGAGACGAAATAACTCGGCACCGATGGATTACGCTTATTGGACATGGCTCTGAATTGCGAAGGAATACTCCGCACAGGAAGCAAACCATCGCAACATCGTTTCGTCAGAACCCCGGCAATCTTGCTCGATAAGGGCGCAATGAAGGCTACCAGGCCGTCAAGACTCTCCCGCATGCCATCTGGAAGGCTTTTGAGTGAAGCTAGCGAGCAGCATGGTTCGACGCACCTTCCGTTTGGAGCTCTTCATCATCACTGTCTGGCATCATCATGCTTATCACTTGTCGCCACAACGTGAGCATATTATGTTCGAGAACTCGGATGTCCACTATTGCCGCTGAAGATTGACGTAGTAATGCATCGTCAGCAGCAACAGTTTCTGCAGAAGGCACCTCGGATGCTGACACGGGGGTTTCAGCACGGGGAATATTTGGCGAGGAGACTCTGTCTTGGGCATCAAACGAGTTCCGAGCTCCATTAACTACATTTTCGTCCAACCATACTTTAAAGCGGTTGAGGATCTGTTGGCGACTTGTCAGTACTCGTTGGACTTGCTTTGAGGTAACATGCCTGCAGTGATAACTTCCAAAACCTATGCGACAGCTCCGGAATGTATATCTCAGAACTCCAGCATGCTGAAATGGCGATCCAGATCGCTGAAGCCTGTGAAGTTGCGAAGGATTTATCTGCCATGCTTTAGACTTGTACTATCACCAGCTGAAGAGGCACACCTTTGGATAGTGTTGGCTCAAACCGAGCAGACAAGGCTTCCTCTAGTGCGCCTGCAATTTCCTTCCACCGAAGCTGGAAATAAACGGGGAGCTGCCACCGGCGTTCAAAGGCATGGTATACAGGGTGAGATCGCATAGCTTCTACAGACTGACGAGATGGTGCCAGTAGTTCCAGAGACCTTATGAAAGCTTGTGTCGTTTCATAATTCTAGAAAGATTCGTCGTGATCACGGTGAGGATGACGAGGCAGAGACGCACCTTGCGAAATTCGTTTGGCTGCCCCGCGGCAAAGACAACAGTACCAATCTCGTCCATGATTGCCCTTCCCAATTCATCCCACACCACTCCTGACATTATGTGGAAACCCTTTTCAAGGTCTTCAACCTGGGCCTTTGGGCTGGAAGATGTTTGTGCATTTTGAATATCTGAGGCTTGTTTGACTGACACCCTTTCTGCTATGTTCATGATTCGACAGATGTCACGTTCGACGAAGCGCAGAAGTTGATTGTAAAGTCGGGCAAGGGGGTCGTCGTCATCCAGCAAGTGAAGCTGTGGTGCGTCTGAGGACGAAGAATCGAATGCATTGTACGCCATTTGTTTCGAGATAAATGCCGTGAACGGTGTGTATGGGATTTGGTGTGCAGGAGTAGAAGTCATGGGAGGTGGAGCAGAAATATGGAAAGGGGTGTGTGGTATTATTGGCGAGTGAGGCTCAGCCAGAGCACCTGGATAAATGGTCTACGGAATGAGCCCATCGTTCCATGTTGCTGTCAGAAACTCGCTCACTTTCTTAATAAAGGCCCGGAAAGCTTCCCGTCGTATAACATCTTCTGCATCTCTCCACAGTCCAAGTAAATCATATGTCCGAAGACACTCAGTCAAGTCCGCTATCCATTTGTTCTTTTCCAACTCAGTTCCTCTATTTTCACCCTTGGGGTCTGTTAATGACACCACGATCTGGGCGAATAGCTGGTCAAGATCCGATGACAGGGTGGATTGAATCCTATCAATACGCTAAAGGACTTGAATATGCGCCCCTTTTATATAAAGGCTTATCCATACCCATTGAATTTCAGCGACAAACACGCGGTTTTCGACTTGCGCCTTGTGGACGTGGTACAGTAATTGGGTGTACTCTGCAGCAACACGTCCAAGATGTTTTGCCTTATTTCCTCGGAACCTAAAGGCATATCAGCGAGCCAACAGCTGGCTGATAATTTTGGACATACTTTTCTTCTGAAATCTCTTCACTGTGGCTCGGATACACAAGAAAATTGGGGTTGTTAACTTCAAAAGACTCGCTAAGGTCTTCTTTGGGAGATGTGATCACTAACAAGGACTCTAATCTCGTCACGGAATCCGAAATTTTGAGCAGGAGATGCAGCAAGGCCTGCAATATATAAGTTAACAACGAACACAGGTAATCAACAAATGTCCTGACCTTTTCTTCTCGGAGTTTGGCTCGACTTATTAGCTTATCATAAATAGCATTCTGTATCGCCTTGAGTTCGTGTTTTGATTCCTGGGCGTAAACGTGAGAGATGTAAGATGTAGAGATCGGCAGCCTTACAAGGACATTGGCCTTCAGAGTTTTCAATGGGTGCCTAAGTCGCTCTAGCCGTGCACCTTCATCGCGAAGGTCCGTACTCAGACTGATAAAGGCCTCATAGTCGTCGTTGATAAGTTTCACGAGCTCCTCCTTCAGCTCTGCAAGATATTGACGTAGTTCTGCTCGGAGGTCAGGAAGTGAGGTGTGCGACCGAGCCAGAAGGAACTCCTCTACATCGAAGACCTCTGCAGAGAGATATTTGTCGTTATGGGAAAGTGGTATGTGCTCAGGAAGGTCAGGAAGGTCTTCGTCAAGTTCTTCGTTGAGCCTGAATGCCTGTCGCATCGAGCGAGGATGGGAGGACTCTCTGTTTGCAAGTTCATCCGCAAGGCGATCAAGTTCATAGGGATCCCTTGAGAAGTCCTTTGGAGTAGTAAGAGGTGAGAGAGCCATTGGGACGTTCGCTGACCCGCAGTGGGCGTACTACTACTTGCCAATGGTCCCAGACGCGCTCCAAGTTACTGAAAGAGAAAATGCCAGAATCAATAATGACCGTGTCCCTCGCTTATGACCGGCGTACGTAAATGATGAGGCGAGATCAATAGGGGCAAATGTCTCTCCCTAAATTGGGCACCCAGTCAGAATTCTCATTACATAATTAGGCTGTGTTCGGGAACAAAAAGATGGCTGTCGGCAGCCAGCTTTTCGACCACGTGATTCCCTGATGGGAGCAAGGGTGACCGGTAAACGCCGTAGGTGACAGACCAAAATGGGATGCACTTCACCTGAAGTTGGAAATGCGACTCAGTGTGGGTGTATATTTGGCTACAACTTGAGTAAATGAATTATACATACACTAATACACTAATAACTTGCTAGAAATGCTGAAAATTTATGGTTCGGGCAAGGATACTCGCATATTACACCAAATTTCCTGATTCCTCACAGTGATGACGAGAATGTGGAGGTTTCCTCCCATTTTATCCTCCTTTTTTACCCATCTGTAATAAATAGACATTTACTGAGTGTACTGAACCAAAAATACGGAGGAAATCGTTTTCCAATAGCCAAAGTGCGCCGTCGATACCGCTGACCCTTTGGCATTCCCCGGGGAAATTTGGTGTAATATGCGAGTATCCTTGCCTGAACCATAAATTTTCAGCATTTCTAGCAAGTTATTAGTGTATTAGTGTATGTATAATTCATTTACTCAAGTTGTAGCCAAATATACACCCACACTGAGTCGCATTTCCAACTTCAGGTGAAGTGCATCCCATTTTGGTCTGTCACCTACGGCGTTTACCGGTCACCCTGGCTCCCATCAGGGAATCACGTGGTCGAAAAGCTGGCTGCCGACAGCCATCTTTTTGTTCCCGAACGCAGCCTAAAGTAGTCTGGCTGAAGCATGGGGAGGCGAGAACCGCCCGTGAGAAAGGCCTGAGTTTAAATTTTGAACGCGGCAACCTCGGCTGCGAAGCAATCAAGGTCGGCTCGCTACCAGCCATGTCTTTGTCCTCTACGAGTCTTCCTGGAAGCGACCAGCAAAGTCTCAGGGAGGAACGAAAGTGGAACAGGGTTAGTCGAATTTATCATCTGACTATTGAAAGACTTGAATGTATCATTTGTGCGTCCCGAAGATGAGTGAAAAAATGAGCGGGTTCCACGAGTGGTTTAAACAGGAATGTAAGTCTCGACAGTTCCAAATATTTCGTGCTAATCCAGGTAACTGTGTCTCCTTATTAGTCAACATGCTCTACACCGTAATTGACTTCCATAGGTTCCGTCCCTATCGGCCAGTCAAACTTATATTTCGTAGCTCGCTGATGGGTCCTTCACTTCTCGAGGACTTTCGCTCGCTCACTATCTCGAAACTGCCAAGACGATGAATCACCGTACGTGAACATCCCACATCCAAGCTGCAACCCCGTTTCTGACCTCACTAGATCTGACAATGCATCATGCAATCGAGGAGCGTTATGTTTTTCCTATCCTAACCAAGAAGATGCCGCAGTTTGCGAAAGAAAATGAAGGTGCACATATAATTTCTCATCAAGGGATTCACGAAGGTTCCAGTTTTCTAGACGTCACCCAGAGTCCATCATCATATAACGCACCAAATCTAGGTCTTGTGAAGTTGGAGAAACTTGTTGACAAGTGGACTGACGAGCCTGCGACGTACTCCCCGGAAGAAATGCGTGACTGCCTGGATAGTTTTAGAGATGTATTATTCCACCATCTCGATGAGGAGGTTGGTCTTGTGACAAAATTCCGCTTTATTTTCATCTGAATATTTTGGCAGGTTGAAGACTTACGCGGAGAGAACCTGAAGAAGTATTTCACATTGCAGGAAGTAACAGCTTTACCGATTTGAGCCTACAGTCAGACAGATAGAACAGACGCCCAAGTACATACGGAGCACGAGAATTCATGCAATCACTACTGCTGTTGAGATTGAGATGCGACGACCAGTTCGCAGGGTCTGGTCTCAGGGGTCTGGGCACATCTGACACGAGGAAGCACCTAGTAAACATATAAAATTATTCCACTAATATTACAGAGGCAAAACCACACACCACTAGGTTGCCTCAGGGACTGGCCACAATCAGTGGCAGGTTTCAAGGTGAGGCACGTATCCCAAGGTACATATCAATCGTCCTCGACGATCATTATCTTTGTCGTTTCCAACACCGCCGGGGCTTCCTGGGCGGATATTGGCTGCTTCTGGTTCTCTGCGCGGCCTTTAGGTTGCTGGACCTCCTCTACCTCAGATTCGTCGTCGCTCGTCTCTCCAGGCTTCTTGAAAATCAAACCTTCCCCGTCTGCCAGACGTCGTTTCTTGATTGGCAACTCGGAGCGTTCTGAGCCTTCAGCCTTGGACGCAGAGTCGTCGTTCGCTGGCCCCTTCATCTTTGATCGTTCTTTCTTCTTCTGTCTCTTGGCCCGGTTCTTCGCAGTTTTCGCGTTCGCGATTTCCTCTGCCTCTCGACGCTTGCGCTCAAATTCTTCCTCTATTATTTCCTATTCCACAGAGTGAGCGATATGACGCGGGAAACATTCAAGAGGGTCATACCTTGTGCGAGGCTTCTTCGAGAAGCTTGAGCCGTTCATATTCTCGCCGTCTGCTCGCCTTGTAAACGTGGAACTCGCCACTACCAGCACCAGCACTAGAGCCTTGCACATTTTTCATCATTTCTCGCGCGGGACGAATGTTCTTCTCCTTGGGTGGTGGAGGAATGTATGCAGGCTTCGAAGGATCTTTGAGCAACTTCTCCAGTTGAGCGCGTTGCTTTTCAACAGATGTTAGAGCATGTCGATTGGCAGGAGCCGCAGAAGTTGACGCTGAGGAGTCGGTCATCGTGCACGATTGAATGCACCAAAGGCGATGAGAGTTCGGTATGAGTATTTAAATGGTTGACCTCGAAAACACGCTGGTTACATAAGGGTTCTCATCGAGAGGACGTTCCGTTATTCGAAAGTCCGAGCCGTCTGAGCCGTCCGAGTCGTCTGAGTCGCCGGGGCAGCCGAATTCCCACAGGTGCCTTTGTCAGCAAAGGGTCAGACGAGTCAGACGGGGCAGACACGGACGGCTCGGACTTTCGAATCCCGGAACTTTCTGCTCATCGAAGCCTTTAGAGGCTTTTAGTTCAGTGGCTCAATTTCGTCTCGGCCCTTCTTCCACCGTTCAGTGTTCCCTCCTTCTGGGCTCGCAGCAAATGGATGTAAACGTGGACTCTCTGGCCACCGAACTCGGAGAAGAACTCATTAACCAGATTCTTGCCGATGCACCCATCCAAGACATCTTGAAGTTGTTGGACTCTGGAGCGCCGATCTGGTATCAGAACTCGGCAGAAGGGATCTCGCCTCTCCATGCCGCTGCCTACATACAGAACCTTGATCTTGTCAAAATGCTGATTGACAAGGGGGCAGTGTGGAACGCTGGTACGCCAACTGGGTTTTTCTTATGTAGCACCGCGCTAAATAGGTTCCTTTAGTGAACTACCTGAAACACACTGCTGGAGATATCGCGCTATCATTCAACAACGAGTCAATTTATACCGTCATTAGAGATGCAGGCATTCGTTCAGGTGCATTCAGGACCTCAGCCTGTCTTCGGCCTCACCCAAATGCTGAGTTATCGCAGAACTTGTTCTCGGGCTTCTTGAAAGGCAACCAGAGGCGAATCTATCTTCACTCATTCTTCGTGCGACCGACTCTACTGCTTCTGGGTCATCCCATACATTTCTCGTATCGAAGCTCAAGTACAGCGTTAATGAGAACGGCGAACACGTATGTTCGGTCGATGTGGACGGAGAAGAAGTCGGAGTGATGATGGGATGGGAAACAGACATCATGCGCCAGACTGTTGAAAAGCTCTGTCAAGGCCATTCCAAGTCTAACGATCTGAAAGTCCTGAACATTGGATTTGGACTGGGAATTGTGAGTAGGAGATCTTTCAGTCTATAATATGCAGCTCAACCTCCAAAGATTGATACCTTTTTCCAAGAGCTCCCGAATCCGCCTACTGAACACGTCATAATTGAGCCTCACCCAGACGTCCTCAACTTCATGCAAGAACAGGGCTGGTACGAAAGGAACGGTGTCAAAATTCTGGAAGGCCGGTGGCAAGACTTTATCGAAAGTGACGACTTGACGAAGAACGGAGGTTTCAATGTTGTCTATACGGACACCTTTTCAGAGGACTATAGCGACCTAAGAAAGTTTTTTGACTGCTTGCCAGACATCCTAGCGGATAGCAACTCGCGGTTTGGCTTTTTCAACGGGCTAGGCGCCACAAGTAAGTGTATCCTCTTCGTCTTGGGTTGGGATCGGTCTCATTTTGCGTGATGCAGACGCATTTTTCTACGATATCTACACGCGAATATCGGAGCTCCATCTTCTGGGCGTAGGAATGGATGTTCGATGGAGTGACGTCGATGTTGGATTTGACGCGGACGAGGGTCGTTGGGGAAAGAGTCGCGAATACTTCTCACAGCCCTTCTATCGCTTACCTATCGGAAAAATGAAGGCGTCCTAGCGGTGTACCATAGAAAATTAATGATTCGAGCTTGGATTCCCAATATGCTGCTGTGCAGACCAGGCCAATCGTGATTCAGATCAAGCGAGGCTAATTATGCTAACGTGATAGCGTCTCTAACTAACACCATCATCATCCTGCCTATTGCTTCCCAGGTCGCGCCGACGTATCGACACTCAACTATCGGACGCCCAATCGCAGGTGACTCCAAGAGCAGACTCGCGATGACAATACATAGCCTTTACATTTATGACAGGTGTGGCTAAATCTCCACCAGGATCCATAATGATGGCTCATTAGAACGAAGGCATTGCATATGCGTCTATTATCAGGACTGGCATCGAACCAAGCGTCCAAAACCTGCCGTTGAAGGTGGCATACTTCCAGCTGTTTCCCAGGCTGTTTCTGCTGTACCTCCATCACAGACGGAACCCAATGCCGGAACGTCATCTAGATTCAGCAGTCCTCGCAACACCTTATCTTCCAACTCCGGGGTAATCGTGGCCGCATTAAACGAAAATCCTGCTAGGGTTTCTAATACCCCACTCCTGCAAGCTCCTCCAACCGCCTCTAGGACATCCAGCACAGGCTTGCCCTTCGACGAAGAAGCGAAACTAGTCTATGGTGTAGTGCTATCGCTGCGAAATATGATAAAGAAATTGTCCGGCAGGTAAGCCGTTTCTCCCCTGTTATCCGATGCCACTTCTCATTTGGACTAGGGACGAACAATTTGTTAACTATCGCACATCCGCGTACAAGCTCCATCTGTTCGAAACACTCTCTGGGTACAAGTTTGTTATGCTGAGTGATCCCAAAACCGACTCTCTGCGCTTTGTATTGCGACAGATATACATCGGTCCTTTCCTGGAATATGTTGTTCGAAACCCGCTGGTCAAGATGAACTCTAGGGAATATGGTATAGATAACGAATATTTTAGAGCCAGCGTGGATAGGTTGGTAAGAGGTCTCTCTGTATTTTCGTAGATTCACGAAATATACGGCGTACCAACGTATAAAAGTACGTTCTCTAAGCAAAATGTTCCCATTAAATAAAATATGAAAGAGGTCTAGTGATTGAAAGGACTAGGAGGTTAGCTCTTAGAAGGGTCTGGAGTGTCGTCTGATTGTTCGTTCTCAAGTTGCTGTCTCAACACGTTCATCAACGAGGTCCTCATCGCTCGCTCTGGTGCACTGTCTTCCTTCTCATCACCATCACCATCGCCCGCCACTGCCTCATCGAGGGCCAGTTTAGTCTCGCCAAGGCGAAGCATGTCTTCTTCGATAGTCCCTTTTGAGATCAATTTCACGACCTCGACGTCTCTTTTCTGCCCGATCCGATAGGCTCTGTCTTGAGCCTGGCGGTCGTTGTGAGGGTTGAAGTCCTGGTCGAACCTGTAGTTGACATATGAGAACGTGTAACTGAACAATATGGCAGAGTGCCTACATGATGACAACGGAAGCGGCCGTTAAATTGATCCCCATTCCTGTAAAAGTGGTGAGCAACGAATCAAGGTCAAACGAGACAAGAAGCTGCATACCACCAGCCTTAGTGGAAAGAAGAAAAATAGGTATGGAGTCGTCTTCGGTGAACTCGTCCACCAAAGTTTGGCGAATGTCAACAGGCGTGCTGCCAGTGAGAACCAGAAATTTGACGTCATGGTGTTTCAACACAGCTTGCAGGATATCCAAGATTTGGGTAAACTTGAGCAGGCGTCAGGAATTTTTAACGAGAAGGAGACAGTCACTAACTTGGGAAAAGATCAATATTTTCTTCAACAAGTTTCAACAGAACTTTCACCTTCCCAGCATCAACGTAGCAAGTTTGATTCTGCAGGAACTTCCGCGTCGACTAGATGAATTAAGAATGAAGATCTGCCTTGAGAGCATAAGGCGGACAACTCGCCTTGTAAGTGGCACAGAAGATCTGTAGCTCGGCATCCGTCATGACGGACATATCTTCTTTGACGTGTTCGAACAACGCCCCGCGTGAACTGAAGTCGGGCTCCTTCAAGAGCTGCTTGGTGATTCCCGTCAATGTGTCGTCCGTGAACCTCATACGAAACAACATTGGATGGGAAGCAGCTTTGCGAAGGTCCATGAGAACATTAGAACTGTTCTCTGCGTATTGCTTGTCCTTTGCGCGGGCGCCAGCCTTTGTTTTCTTCGCCGACTTTGTACCACCTACTCCGTTGGGCTCTTCGTTCTTGGGTTCGAGGACGATTTTGCGAGAGCGTTGAAGAGTTTCCCGATAGATGGTTCGTTGAAGCTCGGTCATGTCACACCACTCTATCCGTTCCGTCTTGTTGGGCAAGTCTTTCAGTACCTAGTGCACATGTCAGCCAGCAATTGCACAGTTAAAGAAGATCCATACTTGATCTTTTCGGCGACGTAGGACGAATGGCGTCATCATCTTTTTAGCTCTCGATATGCGCTCCTGCGAAAGCAACGAAACCTTGGTATCTCCCTTGACCTTGAAGATAGCCCGCAGGTCTTCCATAGAGTCCGCAAATTTGTCTGGAAGGATGAAGTTCAATAGCGACTGACGAACAATGTTTAGACTAGAGACAAATGGGGGAAGTAGAATGACTTACAACCAACTCTTGCAAATTGTTCTGGAGAGGGGTGCCCGTCAACAACAGCCTCCAGTTGGAGCCAAACTTTAACAAGGATTGGTATCGTTGGGACTGGAAGTTCTTTAGGACATGGCCTTCGTCGTAGACACAGCACTTGGAGAGAATTAAGAAGCTGTTCACATTGCGAGAAAGGCATTAACATACGTCCCAATCGATCTTGCGGAAGAACTTTCTGTCGCGGTCGTCGCCTTGAGCAAGGTTATATGTTGTGATCAAAACCTCCCATCCCTCCCGCCTTATACTAGATCTCTGAGTGTCCAGAAGAGTCTGACGAAGCATTGGTCGCTCCTTCTTGTCCGCGTAATAAGTTTGAACAGATATCGATGGCGCAAATTTTGAGAACTCGCGACACCAATTTTCTAGGGTTGATGATCTGAGGTGGGGTAAGGATGGGGTCGGGGATCAACGACTAGTAACTTACGGTACAACAATGAGATGAGGACCTTTGTTTCCTATTTCCTTAAGGTATGCAAGGAAGCTTATAACTTGAATAGTTTTCCCTAGACCTGCGGTGCTATATAAGTCACCTTCGTTCAAAGCAACGAGCGTTGACAATACATACCCATTTCATCCGCAAGAATACAGCTTAGGTTGCTGCGATACAACAGATTAAGCCAATTGACACCAAGCAGCTGGTATTCTTTCAGCGTAACTGTATCGGACAGCAGCTTGGGTTGGGTTGTCAGATAGTTCTTCGCGTTGCGAGACTTTAACGATGCCAGGGATAACAGACTTATGGCACCGTCCTCCTTGTTTTCGTTTGATTGCACATTACTCTGGCTCCATGAAGAAATAGTTGCACGAAGTGAGGCACCAATCTTTTCGCAGTCTTCAAGCACATTATCCACCGACCCGTAACCCTTCAGCATCTCGGTGCAATCCTCGAACATTCGAGGACTAATGCCACTGGGACCTGCCTTCTTCTTTCCTCGTCCTAGCTTGTTTCGAATATCGTCGCCGGACTCGAATGGTCGAAGACTAATGATGACCTCGGCTTGCTCGGGGGTACAGCCTAGAGAGTACATTGGTCAATGTGGAGGGTATCCGACGACCAGTAGACCCACCAGTAAGTTCCTGTAACGCATCAGCACCAGAAGTGTTGAGATACTCCAACGCTCGCATCTCGTAACTCGTTTCCGAACGACTGCGTTTCGACCCTCGGTCATCGTCGCTCTCGTCGTCCGCGCCCGATTCAGAATCGGAATGGATGACAAGCTTCTTCGCCCGCTTTCGTTGAGGCCCACGAATTGCAGGTGTTAGAGGTGAAGCGAGAACTCCAGGTGAAGGTGCCGTAAGGTCAATTAGAGGTTTCGACAGCGGAGGAGTGGAAGGTATCTTGGCCTCCAAGACAGGACGGTTGGCGTAAATGAGTGATTTCTTGCCCTTCTCCTTCACTGCGGCTCGCTGTGCCTTGTTTGCTTCTTCAATTTCCTTCACCTTACCCAGATGATCTTTCTCAGGACTTTTGGTTGTAGGCGTCGGTGACCAGGCGGGATCGGACAGAAAGCCTGTAGCCTTCTTCATATCACTGCCGGACTGTGTCCACGCAGCTTGGATTCGAGCCGCAGACTCTAAAGGATGTGTCATTTTGAAACTAATAAACTCCCGGTCTGATGGGGGTTCGGACGTGGATTGTGACTCGGGAGAAGGACTTGGTCGCGTTTTGGTGAGGCGAGGTTTTGAAGGACCAGCTCCATTGCGACTAGATTCAGTGAAGGACTCGTCAGAGGAGAACGACATGGCATCTCCTCCGATCATCTGCACAGTCCGTCGATTTCCCATACGTTGGATAACCGGCGACGGAGGAGACTCTGGAACAGCGAACGCGTCCGCCGATGTGCCTCGGTTGACTTTCTTGCGCGGAGGACCATCGTTGTGATTAAAGTGTTCGTCCCCATTCCATTGGCGACGTAAAGACGCGTTGGATGACGCACCATGGGAGACGAATCCGCTGGGAGCACTTAAAGGGTCCACCATGAAATTACCCCGCGGCTGCATCCAATCCCCATTGTAAAATGAACCAGACGTCGATGCCACGTCGTGGCTACGTAAATGGTTGTAAGGTTGGTATGGTCGAGTTGTAGTATCTTCATAGGACGTTGGACTCGAATTTGGGACAAGGACATTGCCTAGTGTGGACGGAGTGGTCGGGAAAAAGCGAGAGGGAACGGTCGCATCTCTCGATTGTGGAGGTGGTGTAGGGTATTGTGATTGACTTGGTGACTCTAATGCCGTATCAGGTGGTAAAGGCGAGACCTGAGTGCGATTTTCCCGACTATTTTTGCTGAACCTCAGCTGTTCCAAGACTTGACGCTGAGGACATAGTACATGACCATCAGCCAAAAGTGTGGGCGTCAAATATGTGAAGAGTGTACACACCTTATTATCCGCAGTCGACTCCGTGGCGGAGATCATGGATAAAGGATGAGGTAAAGATCGTAGCGGGGGGGATAGAATGGGTGGTCAGAGACGTGTGTGGATGATAGTGCCAACTGAAGGGCACCATGGGCGGTTGCCGATGCTGCTTGTCGGAGAGTCAAATAAGGAAGCCTGTGGCACCCCCCAATCCAATGAGCGACTTCGCTAGTGTATTCGGGTACTCAAGGTCCGGCAGACGATCTTAAAATGTGCGAGGCAAGTTGCTCGAAGACGAACAATATCTCATGCACGATAATACAGGGCTTCACCACCGTAGCATATACTATAACTTAAGCTATAGTCTATTTTGCCGTGCACGCCCGTGCAGGTCGCGTGACCTCGGAGATGCCGAGCCGGCCATGGGCGGGCGTCTTCCGCAGCGCCACTGCCTTACCTCTCTCTCTGAAACCCACCTCCAACGCCAGTGCGCCCTTGTCCCTCGCTGCAGCAGTCTATCATGGAAGCCGAGGGCTCCCCGCCAACATTCCTCGTTCTCACTCTGGCGTTGGCCATCAGCCTCACAGTTTTCGTCCCTTTGACCGGCGCTCTAGTACGACTGCGAGCGAACTACAACCCGAAAGGCCTGCAGCTCGATCCAGAGGGTAGTGCTGTTCCACACACGGGCCCTGTCATTCGCTCTTACTTTGCCATGCTCCTACGGGTATACCGTCTAGAGGTATCTGTCTTGTCATCGAATTCACGAAAGAAGCTTATTTGTGTCTAGGGATGGCCTGGTTTGTATAAAGGACTGAGTACGCAATACGTGGTCTATTTCTGCCCCCAGGCTCACCTTCTCCTCCAGTGCCTACCGCTTTAAGCACCCTCTTTATCAGCCTTATAATCCTCTTGTTCCTTGACACAGACCAGCCTCGTCATGGTAAATACAGGGCGCCTGAGACCGGGATTTTGGTGAAACATCTGCTACCTTGCGCATATTACCACGCTTATAAGATATCAGGGAACCTTGTTCTACAGTCTGGCAATGCTTGTCGTTTCCTTGCCCACTGCGGTTATTACTTATCGGTCAGTCCTCGAGCCTTTCCCTCGCTGCCTCCGTATATTGACGCATTAACAGCTCCATCGTAACACCCTATAAACTGCCGTACTTAAACCCAATGCCAGCTGTCCGCGTCTTGCTTACGCCAACCGAACGACGTCGTCCCTGGATTCTGTATCTGACCCCAGGCCTCATGGCTGCTGAGGTCGCCCACATATTCCTCGTCGCTGTATTCCTTAGTCCTCTTCGACGACTCTTATTACCCTCAATAATGAAGCCGAACGTCACATTGAGCGATTTTTCCGTTGTCAAGCTCGTCATCTACATGATCGTCCTCTGCCTCAGCGTCCTTATCCTCACACCGCTTGAGGTCATTGCGACAAGGCTTGCCGTTCAGCGCAACCATGCCTCACCTGAGTATAATTCTGTCGCGCAGGAGGTTGACGGCGATGCAGAGAATGTCCCTGACTACGGAAATGATGAGGACGTCATCGGGTGAGTCTATGGCTCGTATAGGGTCTGCAGTCAGTTATGCTCATGGAATGCTCCAGTCTTCGAGACGAGGGTGACCCATACACAGGACTTGTTGAATGCGCGAAGCGTATAATCGACGAGGAAGGATTGATGGCGCTGTATCGAGCGTGGTGGATCACGCTATTGGGTAGCGTAGGGAGCGCTTTTGCGTAATCGTAATCTGTTGTGCGTCTTTGTAATGTACTCTTCTATGTTAACATGTCAGTCCCTCCGGCGGCACCTAAACCTAAATCCTGCACCAAGATTCCATGTTCCTTGTTCGTGATGCCTCGGCGTTCCCTTGCACGATCTCCTTCGCGAGGCGTCGAATACCCTCGATCGAAGCCAATGGCCATTTATTTCAGTACTCGACGAGTACCTTTGCTATTGATGTCTGGTTGCCACAGCTCCTCATACATTCAAGGTTGGCCGCATTCCGTGTTAAGGCGCGCCGTTTGCTTCAAGGTCTCCTTCATGGTGAGCAACCCGCTCCTAACAGCTGATAGAGACTGATATGCGTTGGTCGGCGTTGCAGGTATTTCGCGGCTGCTCAAATGCGAGGATAATTTTGGTAGACTTTCCGCTCCGAGGAACGAACAATTATTGGGCTCTTTTATTTTCCAAAGATCCGCTTGCAATTATGTTGCTATGAAAACACTTCAACATAGCTCTCCTGTATTCAGCATATTCCAAAAATAGCCTGAAAAGGAAAATGACCATGCGCCTTGGGAATGGTGAGCACAGTTATAACGCCCTAGACGAACGGAGTTAGCTCAAAAAGTAATTATCTACTCACAGGCCAATACGATGCAATCCACAGGGCAGTCAACACCCTGTAGCTGAAGTTGAACATATCATTGGTGCGGCTCCACAAGTTGAATAGGGCCGATGAGGCTTGAGGAGCTGGACAGGCCTATTGGACGACGACAACTGCATATGGCGATCACAAGCTAGGTATCCCCACAAACTGACGTGCGCGGAGAAAACATGGTGATGAAGAACGATTTTGCTTCCTCCAGTGTCCAGCCCGTCCAGTCGGTGGGACCCACTCGCCAATCGGAGACAGGGCTTGGGAGCTGCTTAGTAGAGCTTGGGAGTCATATCAGGTAAAAGCATCCTCGGCCTTACCGAAAGCAACATCGGTGCCAAGAAGAAGGGGTACAAGGCGCTACCTACCTATATCGCGCGGACGTGAGATATGGTAGCTCAACCTGACAGCTTCTGCGGCGGGTCCATGTAGGCAGTCTCCGTAGACCTTCTCATCGCTACGCTAACCGATTCGTTCGTCTGGTCTCTCCTGGTCTCTCTCTCTCTGGGCAGAACTTGGCCTTGGCCAGCATCCCCCCGAACAGCAGGAGAGATGCCATCTTCGATTCCTTATGCTTGAGGAAGTTCGTTCGGACTTACATGGCGAGAATCAGCCGTCCATTCGATACTATGCTCCTCGAACGCGACACCCGGCCCGTAGCGACTTGTGGGGAAACTCCTGGTCTTGGTCTTGGTTCTCTGACTGGAGGAACAACACTTCCCACCGAGATTCGACTTATGTGTAGGGTCGTAATCCCAAGAGCTACTCCGCGGAATTATGGACCGTGATTCAAAATTGATCACTCGCCAGTCGGAAACTTCATTGTCTTGGGTCAAGGCTGTGCAACCTGAACGACGGGTTTCACGCCGATCTCTTTTAACGCTTTCTCAGCAGACGCATCGGACGTCTGAGTAATTCTGGGAAACATTCGCTCCGATGGAATCTGACGCTCCGGGTTCCCAATTCACAGCAGGGGAAGGATTATGGTTTAGCGATGATTGTGATTATTTCTATTCTCACGTATGACCTCTTTTCTGATATGGACTTCCCGAGATCCTGGAAAGTCGCTATGCTCACGAGTACCCACTCAGAAGGAACTGTGTCCTATCTTTAGGAAGTTCCCCTCCATCGATCGCGATTCTCACAACATTTTCCTTTTACGCAAGCAACGAACGCGCGCCAAGCCCAAGACCGAGTACAAATACTATTTAAGTATCTCCTCCAGCACCCAGCGTCCATTTCCCTCCTACGACCCCTTCTACTCCAATGTCTTCAGAAACAACTTCCACCTCTCGAAAGAAGAGAGCCTCTACGGACTCACAGCCAGCACCTGAAGGAGATCATCGCAAAAGGTTGGCTCCTGGTCCCGAACACAGCGCTCAGGGTCTAATCCTCTCATCGGCAGACGTCGCAACAGGACGACCCAGTCATGCCTCAATTGCCACACATCCAAGCGCATGGTAGGCGTCCAGCCATTCCTCGGAGTTTCAGACATTGAAATATCATTGATTTAGTGTGACAGAAAACGACCGGCTTGCGCTCGTTGCACCCAACTCGGGCTGGTATATCTTGTCAAAGTCTACTCCTCGTCACATTTTCTCATCGTATTCGGTTGTAGACAGGGCTGTGTGTCTATGAGGTCGATGATCCTAGTCAAAGGACCGATGCTCAGGACGAGAGCTCTCGTCTGTTGAAACGAGTTGCCGAACTCGAGGGGGTCATTCGAGAGGTAGTATCTGTCAATCTGATATTAGAATGAAAAAAGCTAATAACTTCTTAATAGCTCAAGAACAAGCCCCATCCCCGATGGATTCAGCCCGCAAGCTCCGGGGAGGATTTCGAAAAATGGCAAGCACGGCTAGCCGCAGGCGACGAATCCTGTTCATCAAGCGCCCCATCGCCTCCAAATTCCTCGCCCTGCTCTGAGAGAGGCGGCTCAGTCTCCGGTAGCGCATCTCACTTCTCCCCCCTGTCTCGCGTTCCGAATGGGACGTTTCCCGTCCATCTGCAGGCGAACCTGGACTCTGATTGCAAATCCCCATATAACCAAAACTCTCCTTTGAACGTCTCGTCTCCGATACTCCTTACACCAAGTGACGAGTACCCTCTATCGACCATCGGAATCGCCGACCGAGGATCGATAGCTCTATCCAATGACTACGACTTGGCCTCGATGTTCCTGACATACCCCAACTTGATGGGGTGCAACGACGGGAATTTTTCATCCTTAGGAGAAGCGAGGCTCAACAAGCACTGCGGCTGTCTTCATGAGACAACTAGCTACAACGCGATGCTTGAACTCTCTCTACGGCTGAGGAAAGCCTCCGACGTCCTTGCACAATCCCCAAGCCATCACGTAGGCAGGTATTGCGCCCTCCGACAGCGTATCTCGGAATTGGACACCTTCACGACGTGGGTGTTTTTTCACCGCGCTTTTTTTTTCTTTCTTTTTTTCAGCTATACTGAACATCTTTTCTAGACATGTCCTGAGCGACATGACCTCTCCTCCCGGAAACATTTCTGACACACTGCATGGAGGCTTCCATGCCATGTACCCTTCAAGACCTCCATTTGGATCACTGCAGAGTATACGTCCATGGGATGCTGCGGTATCTGGGGAAAGCTCCCCTGCTTCGCTCGACGATTCATTCATGACTTGGGAACCGCCGCGGAGGTCTTGACACCAGGTACTTGTTATCGGACATCTGTATCCTCGTTTCGATACCTCTTTATTACTATACCATAGACGCCTGTTTCTCCTTTCAAATCTGTAAATAACGCCTGTTCCATCAGCTGTCTGAAATACCCTACAGGGCTGACATCGATCCCGGAACCAAGTCGCCTCGGACATTCTCAAATCAGCATGCCATATATGGGAATCCACCCAAAAAGGTTATCTATTTTAAGCGCTCGGTAAATCCGTGGTGAACAGGAGATCAACCGGGGTCAATTGAAGGACCGATGGAATGTTGTAAAATGGTCTGCCATATAGAAGTCATCTTTCTTGGCACTCCGTTCATGTCACCGAGTATTTTTATACGGTGTAAATAAAAGGTCCCCGAGCACCTTCGGAAACGTTTGGGGACTGTTCAACCCATGAAAAAAGGGACCGGGAAAAAGAAGCATGGCCGAACTTAACGTATGGCGAGATTCTCCTACTTAATTTCAGAATTGGCCTTGTCTTCTCGTCGCCAAGGATCGCTCACAATACTTAACTGATATTGCAGCTTGAAATCGGGAAACAGTGATCAACCGATAATGAACACATTGACGATGTTGATTAAGCGGCCTATGGAGAATGGGAAGAGAGCAGAAATGCTCTAGTGCGTAGTGTTGCCGCGACTCGGCTAGTCGCAAGTCGACTTGCCGAAGCCGCCAGTAGCCGCGGCTTCGACCAAAAATGTTGAGCCGAGCTGATAAAATCGGCTCAGCTCGGTTTACCCGCCGGTTTGAAGTCGGCTAAGCCGGTCATTCCAAGAAGCGGCCCCGGAAGCAGCTCATGGCACTCAAGGCGCTTTCCGTACCCCCTTTACCCAAAAGGCTTTCATCCAGCATCTAATCAATTTCGTTGTTGCAGATGATCAGGTATGTTTAACGATTCTATCTATTCATCAAACTAATGCCGTGTAGTCATTGAACATCATTGAATGTCCCGAATTTTGTGCTCTGTTACTTCTCTTGCAGGAGGACCTCCAAGACAATGATATCCCCCGCCAAACCAAATTTCGCATATAAGCTTAAAAATCAAAATTAATACAGAAATTAGAATAGAATATTATTGTCCATCTGTACAAATGCCAACTATGTGTCGTCGTCATTGTATTGACCGAGAGCTGCGAGTAGGGTGTCTATATTACTGTTCCACTTGGAGGCCACTTGTCCTAATAAGTCCGTTTTGTCATCGGCAGGCACCAGCATATCTATTTCTGGTGTTTCTAAGCCTTCCATGAAGTTGAGCTGTTTCGTCTTCAGTGAGAACTTGAGCATTTGCAGTGCTTCCATTAAGGTTGCATGCATTCAATTTCGTCGCTTCATATCTGTCTCCGCACTTGATTAAAAAACGCGCTCACAAGGTACTGCCAAGGCTTGGATGGGAAGGTAGTCGAGCGCTATTGCAAAAAGAGTCAGGAAACTTGATTCATGGATCTGAAAAGCATGATATCAGCAGAAAGTCTGGATCAATACATTTGGAATACTTACTTCCCAGAACTTCAGAATGTCTGTCCCTTTCTCAGAAAGTGGCGCCATAAAGTAGGCCGCAAACTCCTCGTCGATACTCTGGTTGCGGCATGTGTTGTTGTCTGTGAAATCCATCAGGTCATCGAGCCCGTAGTGTTCAGCCAGCTCGTCAAGACCAAATCCTTGCCGTGTTGTTGCAGGACTTCGACGAGCTGGCATTTCGGGATTGGCATGAGCATGATGTTCCACCATCTGCGAATTGCGGGTGAAAATAAGAAAGCTATTTACAAGGGTCCAGGCAGCTCACCAAGTCCTTGATGGTTTGGTTGGCCTCATCGATGAATTCTTCATCCCAATTTTTTCGAATCCATGATAGACGGATGGAGGGATTGAGGACTAGTTAATGGGATGAAGTTAATTAGGGTAACAATAACAAAGCATTCTATGTACCCATTGCAATCACGCATGCCTTTGTCAAATCCATTTTATTGTAATACTTGACCGCCCATTCAACACCAACCTTCGTATATGGCTCCAAGTGCGGAAACTTCTCGCCGAGCCTCTCCCATGCAGTCATGAACATCTCAAATGCAGGAATTGCATTCACAAGAATGGGTGTTTGCTCGCCACACATAAGGGTCTGAACTCGATGAGGAATCTGGTCATACATTTAGTATTTTGTTAGAGCCTGAAAGTAAGACTGACACTCAAAATCATCTCGAAATTTTCAAGGACTTTCCACTCACGGTCAGTCATGCAGAACTTTGTTAGCTCCCTGTTCGGGGGCAACGACAGGAAATAATCGCAAGCCTGTCATAGCATCAGTAAAATACTGCAACAAAGGGAGTAGAAACTTACTTGTCGCATCTCCCAGAATCGGCAGATCATCTTGTAGAGAGAGTCCCATCGATGTCAAACATCACAAAGAAGTTCAAGATTCTCAAGCTTGATGATCTTGGTGGGGGCGTTGGCTGCCTTGAACCACTCCTTCTCGTTACTGTCACAAATAATATCCTGGAACATTTTGCGCTGTTTACCAGAGGCATGGATCGCACAAACAGCGCCACGGCATAGTGCGATAGGATCCTGAGCACAAGCCTTGTCAAAGGTTTGTTGACATGGATCCACAGGAGGGAGGGCTGCTGCAAATTTGGCTTCATCGCTAGCAAGAGCTAGATCAGTAAAGCTCTCAGTTACATGTGTTACACATATGTTGATAACGTGGGGAAACACATGATGTGTCTATCCTTTGCATTGAAGGGAATATCCCTTGCTTCAAGAAGGACTTGGAGTTCTTCCAAGAACTTTGCATTCACGGAGGCATTGTCAAGTGTCCAGTGGCCAACCTAACAGTGTGATTAAAATGAAGAATTGCCTCAGAGGGTATCAAGAAAAACCTTGACAGTAACGCCTGCTCGATCGAGAAGGTGAAGGATGATTCTTACAAGCCATTCCGCATGGTGACTACCTCGAATACGGTGAAAAGCCACAAGCATGCAATTGAACTGCAGGCCACCTGTTGGAGTGCGTGAGATCCAATGGGTGGTCATGGCAAGGTGTGGATAACAAGACTGATTTGACCAAATGTCCGCCGTGAACGACACCTTTCTGAGTGCAATCTGATAACAGTTGTAAGCTAAACGGTATTTCAGAGAGCCCAGAAAGCACACCGCGAGATCTTGTTTGAGAACCCTGAAGTAAACTTCCCATGCTTTGATGACTTCTTCTACCGCCTGAACTCGCGACTTTGGAAGCAGGTTGTTCCATCCCTTCTTGGCGCAGAGGTGAAGGTACTCCTCTTTGTGCACGTTCTCCAAGTGGTTCCTGAGCGTGGTGTTGGAGGTATTGGTGGAAAACTCGAATTTAAGCTTTGGGTTCGAGGCGGATTTCTCTCTGAAATCAGGTACTGTTAGTAAATCCATAGCACAGATAAATGTACCACCAACGACGTACTTGCAAAACCTGCAATAAGTTTGCTTACTGGAGGCTTTGGCCGCCTTGACAAAATAGTATGCGATATCCAAGGCCACGTTTCTAGAGTGACTGCTTGACACCGATGGTGCCCTCGTATCCGATGTCACTGTTGTTGCTGCAGCAGGACTGGCTGGGTGTGTTGCAAGGGTTGATGATCCAGCGAAAGTGCTGCCACTTGTGCGAGGGCGAGCCCAAGCTCGAGAGAGTCCACCAGTCTGCCCAAGTTCATCGTCAGTTGAGGTGCTGGGAACACCACTGAAGTCAAACTCTTTGCTGGAGTTGTCGGCCTGAGGAGCTGCTTGGGCAGGTTGGGTGGTGGGTGGCGGCGGTTGGATTGGTGGGGTCAGCAGTTGGATTGGTGGGGTTGGTGGTTGGATTGGTGGGGTTGGCAGGTGAACTGGAGGTGTAGGAGTTGGTCGCTGTCTTCATGCCATTCCGAGTTGGGGGAATCGTATGATGGTTTAGGACCTGGATCACAGTATATAAGTGTTTAGCTATCAATCATAATAGAACAATGAGAACGCACCAAATGACATCCCAATCACGCTGCACCAAGGGGCTCAAACGTGTCGATCTTCCAGCGTTGTTTCCATACGACCCACTGCCTAACTTGAACAACTGCTCCAGATGCTCGGTCTTCATTGTCTCTGCAAGAATGACTTCATTATGGTTTCACCTACTCGAAAAAGGTGCATCTTCAGTATTTCCGTTCCTTGGTCGATCGAATGGACAGCCAACAGGGTGGCTTACCTGGTTGATTCCCTTCCCATGACAAATGACATGCACAAGTCGTGTCTCCCATAGCGGTTGAGTCGCGTCTCCTGTGATGATTTGTCTTGTACACCTATGATTTGTTTAGAAGATGTCATAGTTTAGCAATTTTCATTTCCTACCATCGAATAGGAACATACCAAAACCCTGTGCCAACTTTCCATGCCACAAGGAGTCCAATTGAAATGAAATACATGCTTGGTAGATGTGTACATCTGCCTGGTCCTTCCTCCTTGAGCCTTCCCTCCTTGTGCCTCCCTCCTTGTGCCTCCCTCCTTGTGCCTCCCTCCCTCCTTGAGCCCTCCCCCCTCGTGCCTTCCCTCCTCATGCCTTCCCTCCTTGTGCCTCCCTCCCTCCTTGAGCCCTCCCCCCTCGTGCCTTCCCTCCTCATGCCTTCCCTCCCTGTGCCTTCCCTCCTCCTGCCTTCCCTCCTCCTGCCTCCCTCCCTCCTCGAGCCTGCCATCCTTGTGCCTTCCCTCCTCCTGCCTTCCCTCCTCAAGCCTTCCCTCCTCGAGCCTCCCTCCTTGAGCCTTATACACACCATACAATTGCTCCTTGACCTTTACACACGCTCATCTGCGTTTCATTATCCTCCGCAGCCTTTTTGTTGTCTGTCCACACCGTTCTATGTGAGTCTTTCATAGTTCTACTATTTACAATTGAGGTATAGTACTACTAAATGTAATTAATAACTACATTACGGTCGAATGTAAGGGATGGTGGTGGTACGGGAGCAAGAGTGAAAGCATGTGAAAGCAGCTGGGGGCTGGTTGATGTGGCACGGGATGTTCCAGCGTCGGCTAAGTGGGCCAGTTTGTGGACTGGTTTAGCTGACGCTGGAACATCCCGTGCCACATCAACCAGCCCCCAGCCGCTTTCACATGCTTTCACTCTTTCCACAAGACCACCACCATTGTTGTCGTCAGCACATCCGTTTGTCAGTCCACCTGCCTTGTAAGTCCCTCCCTCCCTCCTTAGTTAGTAGATAGTCGTATAACTACAAATCAAATAAATTCTGTACAGATGAATGACTGGCACAAGTGCCAGACAAATGAATGGCCGAGACAAATGATTGGCCAAGATGAGGGTGCTGCCCTGTGTACCAGGCATCATTTGGGCTCTGGGCAACATGTTCGGGGTCGTTGAAGGCATAACGAGTGAATGATAACATACTGACCACTACCTGATATCAGGTTTCAGAGAACAGTCCACAGATATCATGAAAAATGTACATTCATGTCAGGTTTCTTAGCTGTGCCTCCTGCTCACCATTGTTATTCCAGGTTCCCAAACAGCTGCGACAGTTCTTTGATATCGAGGCGGAGGTGGACAGGGAGGATTTCAATGGTGATGATGAGGAGGATGGCCTCCACGGTGCGTGTCTAACTTTTTTCCTGTTGATATAATCTAATTTACATTCACATCTCACTAGACGACTTCATTGACAACAAGGAGCCAACTGTGTGTGAGCCAACTGAACCACATCCATCATGGAACAACCTTCAAAACGGAGACAAAATCGACAATGTCCTGGCTGGAATCATGGCACAATCACGGTCCTACGCAGCGACTGCACCAACTCACGTCGAATCCAGCGATGACCTTGCCTACATTGCAGGCAGATTACTGAGTGCTGAAGACTATCCGCTTTGGCGTGTTGGCTGCAGGGTAAGGTCGTCCTTCGTAATTCAAGGAGTATTCTTATGATTTCCTCAGCTGGGTCTCGAGGAGGAAGCTGTGTTTTTGCTCCTGCTGAAGGCAAGGGAAGAGCATCAAATCCGTTCTGTGTTCACATGTGGGTCGCTGCGAGGTTGGGTCTACCTGGAGGCCCTCATGAATCCAAATCTCATCCACCTCCTCAAGCGGACACCCGGAATCATTCGCACCAAACAGGGCATTGTACAGCACAGAATCGAACCCTCGGATTGGCTGCAAATGTTGACAATGACGAACCCTGACACTTCCATGGAAGTGAACCAGTGGGTCCAAGTCTGTAAAGGAATCTACAGAGGCGGCGTTGGCCTTGTTGTTAAAGTAGAAAGTTGGGGAGTAGAAGTGCTCCTGGTTCCCCGTCTGGTGGCACCCATTATGGAGCCTTCATTGAAGCAAAAATGATCTGTTGTTCCCCCCAAACCAGCTTTATTTGAACCCAATGTCATCAAGTATCTCTACGACATCAATCCCATCCAAAAATCTGACGGATTGTACACCTTCCATGGACTTCATTTCGAACACGGACTCCTACAGAAACATTATGACTTTCACTCGCTCGCCTCTACTGCTGTTGACATGCCATCTTACTTCTTCCTTCTGTTCAAAGCCAGCGACCACCCCAGCCTTCACACATCCAGATTTCCTCACCCTCAAGAATGGATCTTTGAACAAGGCGAACATGTTATCATCTGTTCTTCAGGCAAAAGCGGCGTAGTGGCTGTTGTTGGAACTAACAACTTGGAAGTCAATCTCAGAGCAGAAAACGGTACAGAAAATTTTCCCTGGAGTGATATCCAGAAGGATGTTCGCATCGGGGATTTCATTACCGTTACAAGTGGACGACTCCATGGCACAACAGGGTGGGTCAACAAGGTTGATGAAGATGTTGTCCATGTCATAGAGAAGCACATTGACGACCATGACACAGACACCAATCTCAGCAGTTCCCTCAAGGTATGTGCAGGCAGCACAGTTCAATCTAGCCTTCATTTATTAACTACTTCTGTAGGAATTCAAAGTCCATCTGAATTGGCTGAAAGTTACCACTGCCCCGTTCCTCCATGCATTGCGCGCACCCAGCCAAGTCCTCCCACTTTTCAAAGACCAAGTGCCATGGATCGGCACCTCTGTCACTATATTCAGAATTGGTCATCCTTACAAGGGATGTTCTGGCGTCGTCAAAAATGTTCTCTGCGGCCAACCGACGGATAGCGGGCTGAGAATCGAGATGCAACTCACCTACCTGGATCTCTCAAAGCCTTTCCCACTCATCGTTGTTGACTATGGCAATGTCATTGAAACAATGTAGGTATAAATTTTATTTAGAGGTGCATCACACTGATCATCCTTTTCAGCACCACGCTACAGCTGTTCAACTACGCCAAACCCACAAGCATCCTCTTCAAGCCAAATGATTACAAGCCACGGCCTGCACTGTTGCAGGCGTCAACCTCCAGTGGGCCAACTCAGACTCCTGCACCCACAACACCTGGCTGGAGTCTGTCTTCGCAACCCATTTCATCGACACCTGCCTGGGATCCTTCATCACGAACACCAATTTCTTCCCCCATGTCACCTGTCACCACCACCAGCAGTACTGCCCTGCTGCTACAAGAATTGCCTCATCATTTGCTTTTGGACCCACGCCTGGTTGGCACAACCCTAAAGGTTATTGTAAATGGTGGTAGCTACAGTGAGAAGGAGCTTTCTGCCACCATCGACGAGGTCGATGGACAGGTCAGCATCTGCCATGTTGTATATAACAAATCGACTGGCCTTCCTCCAGAGTGGGTCTCACCGAAACATCTGAATGCGACACACAATAATGGACTTCTTGTTGTCATCAAAGGTGAACACTGCAGCAAGTATGTTTGACGAATCCACCATAGGCACCACGATGGACAGGTGCTCATGAACTTGGCTGTTGTGAGGAGGTCACCCAGCACAGCGGACACACTTTTGGACAAACAACTGGAACTTATGACAGACTTTCTTTGTGTAGGCTCAGAATCCAAGGAGGAGAAGAAGCTGAATAGTTCTCTAATGACCTCTCTATGGGATGATATGCGCAAACTAGCTCGTGGATAATGTATTTTGTTATATTTCATTAGTATTACATTAAATAGTTGCCATACTAATGAAATTATGTACCATAATAATCTAGTGTATACAGAACACTGCCCTTTTTGCACGCTACTGCTCTACCAGTGATCTAGCAATCGGTTAGTCAACTTGGCACCAGCTACTAACTGAAGCCGTGACTTTAACCGCAATTGGAAAGCTGTGGCTTCCTAAGCTGAACTGAGGCATGGCTCGACTAATAACCGGTGCCAGCTCCAGCTCTAAGTCGGTTCCAGGCCGAAGCCACAGCAACACTATCCAAAACTGATTGCCCAGACTGATGTACTTACTGTGTTGGTGCTAAGTATGTGTCCCAATTTTCACTCTTGTCTGGGATGGTCTATTATTATCTAATCTATAGATAAGATATGGGGGTCTTTTCCCTGTCAAATTGCAGGAAGCCCATACTGACTGCCAAATGACCGCTTGAGAGTGCCAAAACAGTGAGTCAAAAGTAATCCATCAAGGCCAATTTTGGACCAACAATTCATCAGCACAGGGGGTTCCAAAATTATTTTTTTTGGCCCTCCAGGCTGGACTAACTAACCGTCCTCCAGTCCAATCCTGCAATCCTGCCACCCCCTTGTGCAACAAGTTGGAGTAGCTCTTGACATAGGGCTGCTTTTGTACTAGGCTTGAAGGTGAGTAAAACGGTCAAGTAAGACTGCAAAAGCAAGTTGAAGTTCTCATTTCGTTTTGATGGGATTACGAGTCCTATGTAGTAGGTATTCTTCTTTAGGACACAATTTTGCCATCAAAATGCGCCATGGGAAACCTCTGTATCCCCATTTGTGTCCTGCTCTAGGGGCTGAGGTGCTTGTAAGTTGTGAGCAGCCATTGCTGTGCTCAAGGAGCCAAAAGCCACTAAATGCGATATCACGCCCTCAATCAATGGTGCATTTAAGGCATTGGCACCTCCAGTTTTTAGATAGTACAGCACTGAACAGGTTTTTGTCAGACAGTCATCAGAGGTGCTGCACACTGCAGTTATTACTGTTTTGTGGCTAGAGGGGCATGGCTAGGGCTAGGTTGACTCCGACTCTGAAGGGATGTGTGTTTTTATATGAGAGTAGGGATTGTCACAGGTTTTGAAAAGCTGCCAGGTTGGCAGGTAGGGTACACTGGGCAGGAGTACAGGTCAGAGGATTTGTACCCTTGCCAAACCCGTACCTGGGAGCCAGGTTGGCGGGTACTATATGGCGGGGTGATGTTTGTGACACATCAACAGTGACACTTCATCACCCTTGGTCCCAACCACCTCTCCCTCCTCATCGCTGCACTCGCCACCTGCCATTCACAGCAATTTGCACCCATTTGCACCCATTTGTGTTCATTTTCACTCACTCGCCACCCTCCATTCACGCCTATTTGCATTCATTTGCACTTGCCACCGCCATTCATGCTTGATACCATCATTCACACTTGCTGCCCTGCCTTTCTGTTCCCATCTGCGCCCATCTGCACTCGTTACCCGTTCTTCACCACCACAGGCCTTGCTGCCATGTTTGCTGCCCGTCAAGTCCTGTTATCATGGCTGGCGATCTGGGGCAGGACAACAAGGGAGAAGCACACAAGGGGGTAGAATCTTATGAGGGGATACCCAGCAGGGGAGATCCACTTGGTATGCCTCAGCTCCCCCATGCTGAAACCCCTTTCTAATCACCTGTTGCAGATTGGCCTGCCAAGTCGGCCATTTCAAGAGCATGCAGCCCCTTTACTGATTCAACCACAGTGGCTGCACCGTGCATCCACCACCGTGCAAACTGTGTTGTTTTGCCACCACCCAACTCCCGCCCATTTGCCAGTTCGACACAGCGGCACTATGGGTGCACACCTCGCCGCTTCAGCATTCACAAACTCTGGCCCTCCTGCCTTTGAATGCACCCCTGCCCCTTTGCACTGTCACATATGCAGGCTTGACCATTGCAGACTGCGATGCCACATCATTTGATGATGCGGGTTGCTTCTGCGATGCCACAGCTGGCATACCTGCTGCACAGGTTTTCAAACCTGTGGACCCACACAAAACCCATATCCTTACCCACTAAAACCCACACCCCTGAACACAGGTGCAGGTTTTAGTGGGTAAGGGTACAGGTTGCCCCTGGAGTACCTGGGGGTTACCTGTGACAATCCCTATTAATGAGAGGTGTGTGGTGGTAAGTATGTTGGAATATGGATGGCAAACACAAGCCAACTCCATTCCATTTTGGCGCCCCTGCCTCTAGCGCTGCAGTCCTGCCACAAGTATGTACAATATCTCTTTCTTTTGTTCACTCTCCGTGTTACATAGCCTCACATTTATTTGTGTACCTGCACTATTCCTCATGGCACATTTTTCCTTCATTTTATCCCTGGGATATTCAATCCCATTTTTCTCCTGTTTTACTTGTTTCCATCGAGTACTCTATGGATATGGTAGCTACTCTGTATATAAGCTGTGGACTCTCGTTGTCTCCCCTCAGCTGTTTGCATACCAAACGACTGAGGTGAGCTTCTTATCCTTTTATCTACTTATCATGTACTTACGACATCACCTAGTTCTCATGCTAGGTAACTAATTTATCTCTCAGCTGTTTGCGTACCAAACAACTGAGTTCTTGTGCTAGGATTCTTACAAAGTAGTCACTGTGGATGCAACACATAGGATGAGTGTCTAATTTCTGAGGATTTACTTGGTTCATTGCATTCCGGGGCTGAAATGCACAAATGAGAAGAGCATGAGCCTGGTTGGCTGCAATGTACCATATGATTGCAAGTTTGATCATCCTCCACTTTGGACTCGTTTTGCCACGCCATGCGATGGCGCCCCTGCTTTACACTAGTAAGTCATCACTCACATGACACATACTGGGAAGCTATCAGTTCGCTGGTGGCAACTCATTTCGAGTCCCCTAACTTAAGCATAATCCAGGCCATTAGTGTCTTTTATTCAATTTACGTATGTGGGATACGCTCATATTATTTTCCAAAATACCTAAATTATACCCACCTGATGCTTCTGCCCCAATAGTGTAAGTTCCAGCCAAGTTCTTATTGTACCCCTCGAAATATCTTACATTTCGTTCGAATTCGAGTTAAATTAATAATATCTTATGAGTATATTTTAAATAAAAGCCGACTACTGCATTACCTCTACCCACAGGCTTCAAAACTCCAGGCAACATCGGTTTGACATGTTAATAAATTTTTAGAGAATTTAAAATTACAGCTGGCGTGATGCTTGATGAGTGGGTCGTGTGAGTGATGACTCATCCCATCAAAATGAGATAAGACATTGCGCATGCCGAACAGTCTGTGAAGCTTCAATCAGTACGTCGGACTTGAAGTATTTGAACCCCGGACGGAAAGTTCCAGACACTTTTCCAGGCCTTCGGCGCCTACGTGCAACACCGTCCAGTGTCGAAACCAGCATTCGAACTAATGGCTTCGCATTTGGTGAGTGTATCGATCTATTTCCTCTAGGTTGTGCTGACTGGGATATTATCTAGGCTAACATCTTCGGGACTGAGCAAGATCGAGTGAACTGCTCATTCTATTACAAGGTAAGCTCACATCGAATTGACAGTCCGTTTTCTTGCTCATGACTTATATGTTCAGATTGGAGCCTGCCGTCATGGCGATCGTTGCTCGAGAAAACACATTAAACCTCCCTTCTCTCAGACAATTCTTCTCCCCAACGTTTACCACAACCCTGCCCACGACCCGGTCTGCAAACTGACCGAAAAGGAGCTGCAGGAGGGATTTGATGCAGTTTACGAGGATCTATATTGCGAACTAGCAAAGTTCGGCCATTTACTGGAGCTTCATGTGCGTTTAGGGAGTATTCCATCTTACTGGTACAAAGACTCATATATTCTTCTAGGTCTGTGACAATGTTGGGGACCACTTGATTGGCAACGTTTATGCAAGGTACGAATGGGAAACGGAGGCGCAAGCTGCTGTTGATAACTGCAACGAACGTTGGTATGCAGGTATGTGCGTTCAGCCCTCCAAATAGTTCCCTTTTGTCTGACTTCCACTGCCTGCGTAGGCCGACCGCTCTACGCTGAGCTCTCGCCTGTTACCGACTTCCGCGAGGCCTGTTGCCGTCAAAATGAGAACGGAGAATGCAACCGTGGTGGCTTCTGCAACTTCATGCACCTCCGGCTGCCTTCGAAAGACCTGTTGTCTTCCCTGCGGGTGGGCCAGAGGCTGGAGAGAAGGCTAAATCCTACCAAGAACGACGGGGGAGGTGGAGGCTGGGAGCCAAGCAGACGTGAGGGAGGGCGTCAAAGGAGTGCCAGTCCACCTAGACGAGGAGATAATCTCGGCGAGGACCGTTGGACAAGGAAGTGATTCCCAGTGTGGGTCCTTACATATTCCGCGAGTTGCGTTAAAATTAGTGTGTCGTCATGTCTTCTCCTTGAAATAGTACAAATTGTTTTGCGGTTCATACCAGCCACTTGTCATTATTGAACTGCCCATCAGTCCCCCGCTGCCACTGTGTAAGAAAACTTTAAAATTATGAGTGTGCGGTAAAAGATCAGGGAGGGACGAATTACCAGTCAGCGAGAGGTCGGACCAATTTTCCAGACAGTGAAAGTGATTTGACCCGGGCGAAAGTCTCAACATAAATTATGATTGGTGCTGGTAGACCAAGAAACTAGGGAGATGGGGAGAAATATCTTCAGGCTCGTTCTGAGAGTGCGACAAGCGCAAATGGGCCCACCTTCGCAATATAGACAGCAATACAAAGCACGAAACAAGTCCCTGGTCCGTTTAGAACAAGAACATCCGCAAACGTTAACCTTCTGGGAGTCAGCAAAGGCCGTAGTATCAGGTGGTAAATACAAGACAGGAGCGCCCATCCTGAAGAAAAAGGTGTTGTCATCATGCTCTGGTGCACTTTTCGAGCCCGAGGTATTGTAATGATTATAAACTGGAAAGCCATGGTTAACAAATCGCATACGGGTATTATCCCATTACTCACGCAGCCTTCTTCAGATCCAGAATGTTTCGCCTCAAAATCCATGGCCTTCTGGGAGCTCAGGCTATCCCCTTCGCTGGTGATGTATATTCGGCGAGTGTACCGTTGAAAGTTCAGAGAAGACATGAGGGTTAGTGCTTCGCTCGTGTGCCCACCTGTCAATCGAACATTTAAGGGGACAGGTGAAATTGGTATAATAACGACTTGCCTGACCCTAGAAAAACTGCGACAGTGCCCCTCCCTGATCTGTGGGGCCGACGTTTCTTGCGCAGGATGGCATATAGACGCCAGGTAGAGAGGGAGAAAATCAAGGCCACGAAGAGTAAAAGCATCCTACAACGTCAAAGTGAACACACAGAACAGGGTTCGCAAGGACTCAGGAGGCCGGAGTAATAAGGGAGATTGGTATATGTCACGGACAAGCCAGAGTGTCCGCGTAGTACTAGCAATACGAATTCAAGACAAGCACTCGTGATGCAGCTTGCAACTTGAAGTTCAAAGGCCGATGAATAAATGTGGGTCCCACTGGTTGATTCCACTGGGCTTGAAGTTGGAGGCCAGCTCTTTTCGCGGCTTTTTCGGGCCGGTGTAATAACAGACAGCGCAAAGGCGGTGGTCAATATTGAACGCGTACTTCAACCTGCGAGTCAGGGTATGCCACAAGCAATCCAAGATCGTATAGTATGGCACCCTACGTAGCCATTGACGCGCAAACTGTCTCGGAGATCCGTACCGCTGCCAAAGCATGCTCTAGGACAAGCAATCCAAGATCGTATAGTATGGCACCCTACGTAGCCATTGACGCGCAAACTGTCTCGGAGATCCGTACCGCTGCCAAAGCATGCTTAGATAGAGGGCTTGTGGTGGCTGCAAAGTGGTGCGTCCATCTTGACTTGGAACCAAACGCGCCATCTTTACACCCAGACGCGGTACCAGGTCCTCACAACTCTTGCTGTCTCTCCCTCCTGTAAAAAGATTTCCTCCTCAAACGTCTCGCGCACTATCTGTCTTCTCCACTTCTACTCCAGCGAGGTCACAATCACCACAACCTCCCGCGTCGTTCGCAGGCCATTCACCGATTCCCTCTCAAATACTTGCTCAACCCAACCTTTCTGCAACACCTGGGCCCAGTACACAAACTTCCCAAGTCCAAGCTCGGTCGGACGACGCCCGGTCCTTGGAGAAAAGCCTGGAAGGCGAAGATGAAGATGCCTTCGTTGCGGCGCGTGCATGCTTCGAGGCTCGGGACTTTCTCCATGCCGCTCATATCTTGAAGGACTGCAAAAGCTCGAAGTCCAAATTTCTCCAGATATACTGTAGGTTCATTGTAAGTCCTTCAAAGCCAGGTTCATGCATAGGCTCAAGGTCGTTCAGGCAAGTGAAAGAAAGGCTCAAAGAGATTGGCACAAATTGGACAGTAGGAATTTTCTCTCTCTCTCTCTTCGAGACCATAATGATTAAATGAATTCTAGATAATCGGCATCAACCGCCCCTTCCTGTGAACCACTCTCTGATGGATTTATTGGACCTCATAAAGGATTCCAATGACCCATGGTTGCTATTTTTGTGGGTTGAGCAATATTCTTCAGCACCCAGTAGCATACCATACTGACGGTATTCATCCAGGAAAGCTTTACTATTCTCTCGATTGTCAAGACGCGAGCAAGCGATTGAATGTGTACTGCTTTCTATTGCCGGGTTCAGGTGGAACTGGTCAGCGTGGACCCTTTTGGGCAGCTGCATCGGAGATGGTGAAGAGGTAGTTCAGATTCGCTCATCCCTGATCGATAATAATCTCTCCCACAGCTTTCTTCTCTTCTTCAGTTGATTCCTCTGCCTTCAGATCACCCCCTTGTCCAGCTCTTCCAAATCAAGACACTCAACGAGCTCCACAATCCTTCTGAAAATGAGATCCAATTGTGCGACCGCCTGTTGGGGGAAGACTTCTTTCCGAACAGCCTGTGGATCATGGCTATGAAGGCACAAACATTATACCATCTCCACGGTCAGTACATGCTATCCCGTGCTAATGCATCTCAGATCTAATGGTAAATTTATCTAGATTATGGCCGAGCGCAGACACAGTTCGAGGAGATTCGTGCCATTGATCCTAACCGTATCGATGATATCGATATCTACTCCAACATTCTCTATGTCACTGAGAATCGACTCAAATTATCACAACTTGCTCACGAATTCATAGCATTGGACAAGGATAGACCGGAAGTGTGCTGTCTCATAGGCGAGTCCTTTCCGTTTACCCAAACCATATCATGCTCAGCTCCGTCTTTCACAAGGCAATCATTACTCATTGCGTAGTGAACATGAGAAAGCCATCAAGTATTTCAGGAGAGCCACTCAACTCGACCGAACATATCTCTCTGCCTGGACCTTGATGGGTCATGAGTACGTTGAGATGAAAAATTCGCATGCCGCCATCGAAGCCTATCGTCGAGCCGTGGGTGCGCATGGACCTCTTCCTTTCGCTTCTTTCTTGGCAGCTCTGAACTGATGACCTGTATTAGATATCAACCGGAAGGATTACAGAGCATGGTTTGGCCTGGGACAAGCATATGAATTGCTCAGCATGCACCACTACGCTCTTCATTACTATCAGCGCTCGACTGCTCTGAGGTCAGTAATCTGGTGTCGTGCTTTGAACCCAGTCCGAATTATTTATTTAGACCGTACGATGTTCGCTTATGGCAAGCACAAGGGATGTGTTACGAAGAGATCGGAAGGTCGGTCTTGCGTAGATTTATACCCCATCCGTGGGGTGGGAAGGGCGCTCACTTGAAATCTTTAGACTCCGAGAAGCCATTGAATGCTACAACCATGCATTGATAACAGCAGATCCCCACGAGATTACGATTCGCCTCAAGCTTGCAAAGATACATCGCACGCTGCTAGAGTCAGCAGAGGCTGTGGCCTATCATCGGCGGGTCATTGAGGTCTGCCAAGCGGAGCGTGAGTGTCAGCTTCCACTTTTCTTGCCGTACTCATTGACACCCCCTCGATTCAGCGCGTCCAATCCATGATTATGCCAAGTCCTGTTTGGAAGTCGCGGAGTACGAGATGAACATTCCAAACGGTGATTTAGCACTCGCGAAGGAATACTTGAATCTCGTTGCCACAAGTAACGCAGAAGACGTTGGGAGAGCGGCAGAACTCCTGAAAGATGTGAAGAGCAGACTAGAAGAACGTGCTGTCCTACAACCCCAAGCGGCCGAGTAAAAATTAAATACAATAGTGGAGTAGTCAAGTCTACTGAGCCCCTTTTATTAGGCTCGGTATTTTGACGGAAGTTACACAGTCAAAAAACGAACGACCAGGACTAGTTCTTGAACCTGTCCATTCTCCGTCTGTTCGTTCCAAAGCCGAGATTAAATCGCTGGCAACTTACAACATTAGCCAAGTGGAGCTTATGGGCCTGTCACAGCAATCTATGATACACATTTGGCCTAATGGTTGCCCGTATTCAACACTATTCAACATATTCTTCTTATTTGGCGGCCTTGCCACAATGGACTAGTTGGGACATTGGCCTGCCCTGAACAAAATTTCAGCGGTCACGAGCACCCGTCTCGTCCAAACCTCGACAAACCAATCCGATTAAAAGATGTCGACGGACTTGAGCAGTGTTCACAACGCACAAGGTACTCAACAGACAGCCGACATCTATGGCCGATCTGCAGGATCTTCTTTTTCCTATGGTCACTTCCCGTCTGCTTCTTTGGCGGTAGCGTCGTCATCCGCCTGGGGTGCAACGCCGAGAACGCTTAACCCTCGCCCTGTTTCTGTGAAGAGGGCTGTAAATGTCAAGAGGACACCCGAAGAACTGGAGGTTATGAAGGAGGCGGCGAGTCGGTGCGCAAACCGTTTCTATGATCCCCTGTACATGTTGCTGATATAGGCCAACATTTCCAGACTAAGCTCCCGCCTTGCTGAAGACCAAGCCTCAATTTCACAAGTGGACATAGATTCACCCTTTGTGGATGAACTTGATGCCCTCAATCGTCTTCTTCCGTATCATGTGTTCCAACAACCCCGAAAAGATCTGGAACAACTTGTTGCAAGGAAGGGGAAAGAAAAGGCTGTGGAGGAAGACTTGGCAGCTGAGATCTACGGTCCGTCATCGCCTGTGCGCTTCCCTTCTTGCTCTAACATTCAGACAGACACTAAACTGGCACTGGAGTTTCACAAGCGACGGAGCGCCATTTACGACCGGTGGCGCAAGCTCAAGGTCCGTTCAGGGAAGGTAGGCTAACGAACCATGTGTGATGCATGCATCTTTGACAGGGCTATCATTAACAGCGTGAAGCTGCAGATGACCAAGCCTACTATCTTGCGCAAGTCATTCTCGATGCCGACCGATCTGAGAATGCTTGGCTTGCAAACGAATTGCGCAACGCGAGGACAGAAGTTGAAAGGATAGAACGAGAAAAACGTGCTGCCAACGCATCGCGTGTGACACACTTTTCCTCCGCTCCGCAGCCGGTTATGCCGACTATGCAAACCCAATACTACCGTCCTTACCCATACGCATATACGCACACGCAGGCGTATGGAGCTGCGATTCATCAGCCTACTGTTACAACATTTCCGGCCTCCCCCGCCGCCGCCAGTTATGTCCCATATCAGCCAACTGCCGCAATACCGGTGCAGCTACCTGTCACATCTCTACCGGCGCTGCACTCTCTGGGTATCATACCTGTCCCTGCCGCGTCTAGCCCCCCAGAAGGGCAACCACCTGCAGCTGTATTACGAGGATCGACTGCCGACGGTTCGATACTGAGCCTGGAAATTAACGTTTCTCTCCTGCAAGGCTCACAAATGAGCGGGCTAGCCATGGTCCTAAATTCCTTGGTGGCGAGAGGCAACGCTTCCTCTGGGACAACCACCAACGCAACTGCGAACACTCACTGCTCCAGTACAACCTCAGGCTCCTGATCCCGCTCCTGATTCGACTTCATGATCTTGGCGCTTGTAGGGACCATATACTCTACCAAGCAGATTTCTAGGTTTCATTCGTGGAACATAAACCTTTTGGTACACTTAGTCTTTTGCCATCGGGCTTACTCCGATCTTTCGACTGGTTGAAGATAGGTAGATGATATTTACTTACACTAGTACTAGTGTATCAATAGGGTTCACAAGTCAGAGGGGTTCGTCAATAGAATTCCCCGTATCTTCGATCTTCCACATGAGACTGGTTTGTTTGACAGGAGTTGATGTGCGCCTTGGCATCGCCAACTGTTGCCTCATTTGGTTGTCTCTTGGTAAACGAAGTCGTTGCTAAAAGCCACAGAACTCCGGTGTTGTCCTAAATCTCGCTCTCTCTAAGACCATCCGGAAGGTGAGCATTGGCCGAACAGTACAACGTCCACGTCTTCATCCATATTCTTCCAGGTCCATGCCTGATTCGGAGACGACTATACCAGCTGGACCAGATGGGACAGAGTGGCGTCAGCAGTCGTTGCTTCGAAAGGGGAGTAGTGCGACAGTGCCGGCTGCGACCGTGTCATCCAACCTCGGGAACCTTGTAGCCAGCGAGGACGGAATACCATCCCAAACAGAAAGCACCCGTCTTCACCCATCTGATGGAGCCAATTCTTACGGGACACTACCCGCGCGCCGTCGCTTCAAGGCATCTGGTGCTCGCAGGAACCTGTCCCAACTGTCTATCCTAAACCATCTGCACCGGGCTCGGTCCAACTCACTCACAAGCAGCCCACCATACTCTGCTGCCAGCGGATTCCGCGATCTCTCGTTCGCACGACTAAGCAGTGCACGGCCGATATCAGCCTATGATGAACCTCTCCGCCCAAATGACGGTGATGCAGGTGACGCCGATGCCAAGGTGAATGGCATTCGGGTCTGGTATTCGTCTTACACCTCCATCGACTGGCTCCACGACGCCATAAAAGACTCCGTCCGCTTCGCAAGACTCAGGAGAAGGCGCAAGTCCATCCGATCGCGTTTACGATTGGTGTTCGACAAGAGCCTTGGCTGGATTATCGTGACCATCGTCGGCTTTCTCACAGCCGTCATCGCATTCTTCGTCGTTCGCAGCGAGCAGCTGCTATTCGACTTAAAGGAGGGATATTGCAACACTTCGTGGTTGAAAGCAAAGCGCTTCTGCTGCCCTCTTTACGAGGATGGAGAACTGTCGCGACTTCTATTGGAAGAGTCATGCTCTGCATGGAAACCGTGGTCCGATGTTCTATCACCAAATGAAGGAGAAGAAGAGTCCCATCTCATCCAATATATCTCCTACACTTGCATAGCTGTAAGTTTAGTTCAATCTCCATCTATAAACATTGACCACGTATCCTCTCAGCTGTTTCTCTCTTTACTATCATGCCTTCTAACTCTCTACCTCACAAATTCTACGACTTTCGTCACTCGCAAGGAAGTTGGAAATATGTCACCAACATTCGACCAAGATACCAAAAGACAGAAGGTTCAGGCCGAGCCTAAGCGCAAGGTGATGTACTACGTGGGCATCTCTTTTCCCAGTGCAGTGGAGTGTTCTTCAAAACTCAAAAATCGAACTTAGGCTGCCGGCAGTGGAATTCCAGAGATCAAGACCATCCTTTCTGGTTCGTCCCCTTCGTATACTGACCGCTTCTGTGCGCATATATCTAATCCCGGGACCAGGCTTTGTGATCCACGGCTATCTCGGGGGGAGGACACTGTTTACGAAGTCCGTTGGCCTTGCACTTTCTGTCGCATCAGGTTTGTCGCTCGGTAAAGAAGGGCCCTTTGTTCACATTGCAAGCTGTGTTGGTAACATTGTGAGCCGCATCACCCCAAAATATGAGAATAATGAAGGTGCTTCATTTTTCCTAGGAGAAGACGTTTTCTCATTCTCTTCTCAGCCAAACGTCGTGAGATCCTGAGTGCTGCTTGTGCAGCCGGAGTTGCTGTGGCCTTTGGGGCTCCTATCGGTGGAACATTATTCAGCTTGGAGGAAGTGTCGTACTTCTTCCCACCCAAGGTAGATTGTCCAATGTTAACCCTGAGTTTTGAAAGCTAAAAATATCACAGGTTATGTGGAGAAGGTTTGCTCATGCCTTTTCCGAGATAAGCGCCTTGTAATCCGGAGATATTCGTGTAGTTTCTTCTGCGCGATGATCGCTGCAATTACCCTCAAAATGCTCGACCCATTCGGTACAGGGAAACTAGTTTTATTCCAAGTGACTTACGATACGGTATGTTGCAGCTTATGAGTCAAGACTGTTTGCCAACCGCGCTTAGGATTGGCATGCTTGGGAATTGTTCCCCTTTGTCATTCTGGGTGTTTTGGGGGTATAATTCTTCGTTGTTTCCTTCACTGCCTTTCTTGATGGGGCATTCTGCCAGGGTATTTATGGTGCCTATTTCTCGAAGCTTAATTACCGTTGGAGCAAGCACGTTCGCAACAAGACATTCCTGGGTGCGCATCCTGTTCTAGAAGTACTCTTTGTAGGTCGATGCACTCGTCTGCTTGAGGCCAGTCCGCTGAACCGCCCATCCTAGATCACGTTGTTGACCTCCATCCTTTGCTTCCTCAATCCTTATACAAGGATGGGTGGCACTGAGCTTATCTACAACCTCTTCGCAGAATGTCGACCTGAGACGGGTAATACTCATTCGGGCCTCTGCATTGTGGATCCCAGTTCGGCTGCGGCTGTGTGGCCAGTGGTCAGGTCGATCCTTGTAGCCTTAATCGTGAAGGGTGGTTTGACGGTCGTTACGTTCGGCATTAAACTACCGGCGGGAATTTTCATCCCCACTCTCGGTGTCGGCGCTTGCGCTGGGCGTATCGTGGGAGTTGCGATGCAATGGCTTCAGTTAAATTACCCCAATTTTGGACCGTTCAACGACTGTGGAGGAAATTGTGGGACGCCTTATATCTTTATGTTGCGATCGATTATTTATCGTCAATCTTTCAGGCATAGTCCCTGGGCTGTATGCCATGGTTGGAGCAGCTGCTACTCTTTCTGGGGTCACGGTGCGTTTTCAGTTGTTTATGAAGCATTCATTACTCACTCGGCTCAGCGCACAACCGTTTCATTGGCTGTTATCATGTTTGAGCTCACGGATACCTTGACTTATGCCGTCCCGGTCATGCTTTCGGTCCTCGTTGCCAAAACGATCGCAGATGCTCTAGAGCCTAAAGGCATCTACGACCTTGTCATCGAGCTTAACCAGCTGCCATATCTGGATACCAAGCATGAGTATCTGTGGGGTAACCTCCAAATGAACGACGTGGTTCGTGCTTTCCAACCTTTCATAGGAGCATAGACTGAGTGCGTGATAGGTTGCCAAGGACGTAGAGGTTATCAGGCTTGATGAAAATAACACCGTCAAGAGTCTCCGTGCTAAACTCGACACCTTGATTTCATCTGGCGCTGATGACAGTGGGTTCCCGATTCTACGAAGAGACTCCAATGATGAGGGCATGCGCATGGTTGGATATATTGGTTCCAATGAGCTTGAACATGCATTGAGTATGTCTCGTTATTTGCCTGTTCATACCGTCATCTCCAATCGTTTCACAGATCAAATACCTTTCGACGCGGAAGAGGAGATCCATTTCCATACAACTTATGGCCACCAACTGGGGTCCGCTTCGATCACGTCGTTGCAAGATCCTGGCCAAATTGCAGCAGGGGATGATCCATTCGATTTCACACCTTACATGGACCAGGTAAACGACCTTTCGTGTGCTTTGCCCTTGTATTCTAACCTTGACTTACAGGCCCCACTCACGATGGCAAACAACTCGCCTCTGGAGCTTGTCCATCAGGTCTTTGTTAAACTTGGAGTCAGATACATCATTGTTACAGATACCGATGGATTGTGTACGGTCCTATTCCACCCTTGTCGGACGTTGACTAACCAGTGGACATCCTAATAGATGAAGGGGTGATCGATAAAAAGACTTGGCTCGGATTCCTCAGCGATTTGGAAGAGCGCTCATAAACCAAACAAAATGCTGCATTTTCGTTCTTCATCTAAGCCCCTGCTGTTCAAGCCGCTCAAGCCGCATCATCCAGTGCATGTCAACCCAACATCCAAGAAGAAAAATGAAGAAAAACCCTCAAAAAATCGTTATATCTTCTACCTTTCAATGCCCATTTTTCTACGCTATCATTCGACTCTGCACAGAGCATCCCTCAGTGTTGTACCTTGCTACTTATTTATCTCAGATTTTGCAAGTTGATAGGGACTCTCAAACCTGTTTGCTCACACACAAGTACTTCGCTATATTGATACTGACACAGGCATCCTGGACGTACTAAGTAGTATACCAATTCATGTTTTTTTTAATGCTAAGTCGTCCGGACGTTTGAACTCCCTTCAAGTTTTCGGTGCGGATTATGTGATCCATGCTGTTGATTCCGCTCCGTCGTGCCAAACACGCACTCTTTTGAATCTCAGTTCACCGTCGAGAGCTCATAACGACTCAACTATGGCCAGCCAAGGACTGGGTGTCCCCGTCAAACTACTTCACGAGTCGCTAGGACACATTATCACCGTTGAGCTGAAAACGGGTCAGCTATACCGAGGAAAACTTGCGGAAGGTGTGTACTCGAACTGTCGAAGGTATCGTGTTGAAGCTCATCTCGGACTTGTGAATTCATTTCTTTATGGCGCTGTTCGTCCAATCCTTCAGCGGAGGATAATCTCAACATCTCTTTGAGAGATATAACGGTTACTGGCCGCGACGGACGTGTATCCCAGCTTGATCAAGTGTACATCAGGGGAAGCATGATTCGGTTCTTCATCGTACCTGATATGTTGCAAAACGCACCGATGTAAGTCACATTTGCAAGTTTTTGTTTGCTGCGTTTTCCTTTAGAACCATCCTTCGGTCTTCGGTTATTATGAGGGGTGGGCTGTTGCTGTTGCTGTAGTGCGAATCGCTCACTGGCACGTTTGTTTCTTCCTACTTTTTTCGCAGGTTCAAGAGAGTGGGACCGAATGCGATGAAAGGGCGGGGTATCGGTACAGCGCGCGGACGTGCGACTATCATGCGAGGTGCGTATTGTTACCCATGGTGTTTTCTCCGAGGACCGAAAGCTAATCCGGGCGTCTTTTTTGCTTGTCTTCTTTTCTCCCTTGCTGTCCTCATTCCGTCGATGGATGATTTAATTGTTTTAGCAAATGGTATGTGCTCGCGTTCCCTCTGCCCTGCCTGCGTCCACGCCACTTCTTCCATCAGAACTTTTTTGGCTAACAAAACCTTTTCGTTCTGTGTTCTCCTTACACAGCACGCCGTGGGCGCGGAGTTGCGCCTCCCGCCAGAGGCATTCGACGATAGCGGGCGACAGCCGTTGGGATTTCTCTCAAGACGTGCAGATATCGGACACATTAGAATTCTAACCGTGCACTATTTCATTCACTCTCTCCTCATACAAAACGTCAATTCCTCCTCCGTACGCGGCCTTTTCATTGGTTTCTGTATGGCAAGATGAAAACTCCGCCATTTCTTAGCGTTGGTGTACTACCTATAGCATTTCTGTTGTCCACGTTTGTAATAACTCACTTGTGTTGCACTCTATCTAACAAAAGCTTTGAACGCTAAGTTGCAAGTGCCATCCCACAGTTCGCTTTTGGTGTGTTTCCTGTCTGATAAGGAGTTGAAGGAAGGAGAGTGGGAATGTCGGAAAGGTGCATGGAAGCATGAGAAACGGAGAGCTGGTGAATCTGAGGTCGGTATGCCTCGGCAAACTGTTGCAGATGTGATGTTGAGCGACAGGGGACTCGATGAGCAGTACCTGGGATCGGAGAGCAAAACAGGACTGGGAAACCCTGACAAGCGGGGCGGACTGGTCCACGGGACTGTTAATGAGGGAATCGACGATATGTCCACCCGGCAGAAGGAGAGTACGCGATGGAAGATAGGTACTCGGGACTGTGAAGGGAAGAAGTGGGTATGAAGATGTCGGCGGTGAAGGGCCCAGCCAAGAGAATGGGAAGACTGAGAAGAGGCGGGTGGGGATGTGTGGGATTGGAGAAGAGGACATTCTCAGGGCGTTGAACCCAGATGGTAGATAGGTGGCTGCCTGGAGAAGAGGGCGGTCGGTCCGCGGAGTGATAGTGATAAAAAGGAATCTACGACGGTGTACATGTGAGCATGGTGAGAAGGCGCAGGTAGCTTCTAGGGCGGAGAGCAAATGAAAACGAAATAATTCGGTTGGTGTGTGTGTGTTGGAAGTGAGTGGGTGGTCAGAAGTCGGAGACCCTGCCCTTGAAGCTCCAATCGCCTCCTGGATCTGCTGCCCAGCGCTTGACGGGCTCGCGTTTTGGTCCGCCCTGCTCGCCGGTGGTTGGGTTGACGTCGCCCTGGAAGTCGGGTGGTGTGGGTGGGCGAGCGTCGGGGTGCAGGGCGAGGACGAGTTGTGGATCGTGGGATGCGGAGGGTGCGAGGGGTGTCTGTGCGTTGCGGAGGAGCTGCTCGAACTCGCGCTGGTCGCCGGGAGGAAGCGGTGGTGGTGCGGGGCGGTTTATGGAGACATTGCGGGAGTGTCGGCGCAGGATGGGGGCGAGTCGCAGGATGGGGGCGAGTCGCAGGATGGGGGCGAGTCTCAGCATTGTGGTGGAGGCAAGTCTATTGAGGCGCACGTGCCTCTGGCGAAACTTGGATGCGCGCCATGACCGAGGCGGTGAAGCGAGGCAGGCGGGATCGAGCCTGCGATGCCTGTCGCCGCAGAAAGACAAAGTGCGACGGCCCGTGGATGCCAGCCGCAGTCTGTACAAACTGCATCCAGTCCCGCAAGTCCTGCACATACGTGTGAGCACCCCCCTCCCCATCCCCACTAAACCCCTGTTCAATCAGCATCCCCCTCCCAGCGAGGAGTCCAAACCCCGTGGTCCCCCAAAAGCGTGCGTCTTCTCCGTTGCTGGATGTGCCTGTTCACCCTCCCCAAGCTATGTCGCAGGGCTCGAGGACAGAATGGTCGCCCTAGAGGCCCTGCTCCAACAGGTCTGCTCCTTCACTTCCTGTCCTATCCCTTTCACGACCTTCTGTTCACCCCCCTGCAGGTCCGCCCTGGCGCCGACTTCGCCGATGAATTGGGCCCCCCAGTCATCCTCGGCTCCTGGAAGGACGAACCAGGTCCATCTACCGTGTTTCCCCCCAATCCTGCGGTCTCACTGCCTTCCACCCTAATCTCTTTCAACTCCGAGAGGCATGATCACCCCATCCACACGCTCGTCACCCCTTCCTCAAGAACGTCCCATCTCTTCCGGCCCCACCCCCGCTCAAAACGCCATCCCCCCAATTTCCATGCATATCGCGACGCCAATCCCATTTCAGACGACGAATCAGACGACAACTCGGCCTCTTCCTCCGAGACAGAGGAGGAAGTCGTCGTCACCTCTTCTCTGGCGGGCAGGACAAACATCACCCTGGTCGCATCCGAAAACGATGACACCGCAAATGATAACAATATTCGCTTCCATGGGAGGAGTACTACGGCTGGTCTCGTTGAGGCGACACGAATATTCAAACACATGCATATCAAGGAGACTATGAGCCAGATGAAACGAGACGCGTCTCCGACGTCTCCAGATAACGCAACAGTCGCCCAGACACGGAGACCTCAATTCTGGGCAAAGCCGAATGTAAGTGTCCACCGCAGTTCCACTGATGATATCGTGGCTCAGAACGATACATCTCTCGATTCAGTGGGAGTTCGAGTACGAAGGTAGGGGCCCGGACTCCCAAGAGCAGCTCCAAATATTCCTCGAGTACCTTCCACCGTCCGATCTCGCAGATACCCTAATCGACCTCTACTTCAAGCACACGAACCTCCTCTTCCCATTACTCCATCGTCCGACCTTCGACCGCCAGTGGCGTGAACAACTCCACCGGCGGAACATCTGGTTTGCCTGTCTGTGCTTTTCCATTTTCGCAGTCGGGAGTCGGTGGTCGAACGACGAACGCGTCTTGATTTATGTCGCTTCTCGCGGAGACCGTGGGGAGCTCGATTGGCGCAAAGCGGGGCGGTTTTACTTTGATATCGCCATCGGTAAGCACGTTTGTACCCCATTCCACACCCCTGCCTCCCTTGACGCCCACAATCTATCGCAGAGATTCACCAACCACGATGGAGCTCATTTCACCCCGCCGGCCTGTTTGAGGTCCAGACTTTCACAGTACGTGGTTCTTGCTTTTGTGATATCGAGATAAATATAGACATTGACTGGTGCCTCAAGCTGCTCTCTATGTATCTGAGAGGGACGAGCCAGTATCCCGCGGCTTGGTTTGTCACCAGTGTCGGGATTCGGAAGGCCCAGGACGTTGGTGCACACCGAAAGAGGGCGTATCAGGCTGACACGACCGCTGACAATGAGCTGTGGAAGCGCGCTTTCTGGCACCTCGTCGCGTTTGACCGTCTCGGTTCAACGAGTTTGGGCCGGTCGTGCACTGTGGTGGAAGAAGAGTGGGTTTTTCGAGCCCTGTGATCGTAGTTCATCGTGTTGATTATATTCAGTTTCGACATTGACCTGCTACTCGAGGTCGACGATGAATATTGGGAAGGGGTGGATGACCGCCAGCCATTTACGCAGCCGCCTGATGTTCCTTCGTTAATAGAGTCCTTCAACCAGTTCGTCAAACTTACAAGGGTCATAGCCTTTGCGACAAGGACATTGGTAGCGTTTACCTTCCCTGACTGTCCCAGAAAGCTTATACCCTCATGTATAGTATGCTGTCGACAGGAGGAAATTGTATCGAGGTCTGGCGCAAGTGGACCGACAGAGTGTTGTGAAGCAGCTCATTCCTGCCCTGGAAGCATGGACAAAAAACCTTCCTGACCACCGTATGTTCGACCTCCATCCCCTTATCTTTCCTCTTATTTATGCATAGGCTATGACAGTTAGATGGAAAGAGAACATGGCCCCAAAGTTCGCCAACGAGGCCGCCAGCCTCGCGATGATCTTCCACGTCGTCCAGATCCTCGTCTACCGCCCGCTCATAGCGCCCACATCTCTCCGCGCATCCTCAAAATCACCCCTCTCCGAGCTCACACCTTCTCCCCTCTCCATCGTCTCCGACCCAGCTGTCGAGAGGTGCCTCCAGGCAGCACACGCGTGTGCCCGCATCGTCGAAGTACAGCTCCGGCAGGGCATTGCCAATTTCTTTGTACCAGGCTTGATAAATGCCTCGTACGTCTCGGCTGCGATGCTTCTGTGGCATGCATGGAACCTCAAGGTAAGGGAGGGCCTGATGGTGAAGGCGGGTCTGGATGTGGATATCAAGCCCCCGATTGCGCAGCGTGTAGAGGAGGATCTCGCGGATACGAAGGTGTTCATGGCTGCGCTCGAGGAGGTGAGACCGCGCTGGGATGCCGTGGACTTGCTCCTGTGTGTCGTATTTTTGGTTATCTTGTCGAAGGTATTCTTATATCTCATTGTAGAGAGGAACTCAAAGCGTCTTTGCCGGGTCTTGAGAGTCGAGTGTCGACTCACGAAGTGCCTATTACCGAGCCATACAGTGATCCAACGCAATCGTATTGGATGGGCCCGGACCAACCACAGAGCGAGCATCGCCCACTGTATTCTGCGATGCCCCCACCTACCCTTCCGCCTCCGTCTCCACCATCCCAACAGCCCCTCGCACGACCGAGCCTCTATGCCTCCTCTAAATTTAGCCACTCGATGTCCGACCTCAGCTCTGCGTCCGCTGCACCTGCACGGCCGTCGCTCAATGTCCAATTAAGCGACAGCAATAGGACCCCAAAGAGCCACGGCCATCGCCAACCACAAAGTGCCGGAGCAGCCGAGCAGCCTCTACACTCGCTTTCACCTGCGCCTGTGCCTCAGCCCATGCCTCCGCCTCCGCCTCCTGCGTACCCACCCCCAACGTACCCCGCTTCAAACCCACCTACCCACGCCCAACCGCATGCGCACGGTCGGACACGATCATCGTCAGTGGCGACAATCCCGATGGCACTGACGTCACACGAACGGGGCATGCCGCTCATCAGCAGTTCGATGCGTCGGACGTCGGTGCCAAACATGGCCGCGGCTGCGAGGAGCTCGCAAATACAAACACTAGCGCAAGTGCGATCACAGCCCCTCGTCTCAGCGGAGCCGACGCTGGTGCGGTTCGAGGATGTGAACATGCATTTCGAGGGGAGTCCGCAGGCCTCGAGCAGTCAGTATGGTACATACAACCTGCAGGCTCAGGATGGTCATTCCGATAAGCTTAGTCTTCGGTACGTGTCCGAGTCGATGGTTTGTCCTGCTTGACGCTGAAGAGATATCTTGTAGAACGGATGCTTGGGGTGGGCCTGCCGGAATTTCAGGCCAGTGGACAGGTCCTATAGCATCGTCTCCCGTCTCGCCCCACTTTTACACTCACCACAACCACTCTGCATCGAGTCTCAATATCATGCAAGGCTCTGTACCAATATACCACCCTTTCGGTTAACCCTACACGCGCATAACTTAGTTATCCTTTTCCCCGTTGGATGTCTTGGGCGACCTGCAGTGTTCCTTCTCCGAATCCCTGCAATGTGTTATAAGTATTATTGTATTAATAGTTTATGTCATTTGTGTTGTGCGTTATCTTTTCTGCAGGTTTTATTCCTTATTATCATTGTTGGGGAGCACTGAGATGGACGACGGGCTTGATCATGTAGCGGGGTAGTAATGTAACCGACGTACTCGTGAAAATGATATTGTGTGCAGAGTGAAAATACAGCGAATGTGGACCCAAGGAGTCTGGAAAGCTATGCAAAATCATACGACTAAGAATTGAGATCAGTCAGAGGGTATGGTAGTGGAAGGCGAAAAGACGTACGGAGAACGGCATTGATGCAACCATCGTTTTCAGGATTGTTCGTGATTTGAGCATATTTGCCGAACACAACTTTTCCGCCAGCTGTAACGAGACCGAGTTCTGAGACGTTGACCTCGATGACGGTACCCTTTGTCATGACGCCGAGCTGGGTGTACATGGGCGACTGAGGGTTCTTTTTCACCCCGAGGATTTGGAGTTGGAAGGTTGCTTTTAGGTCCGCTATGAGGCTGTAAGTAGGAAATTCAGGAGCAAAAGGATAGGAGCGCACGATGTGTGACATTCGCTTTCTTGTATCGCAGAGCCATCGGCCTGATAAACCTCTCCATCTTCACAGGTTTTCTTGTGAAACCCTCTCCAACAAATGTCGCCTTCGTGACCATCCGCTTCCAAGCCTTGCTCTTGCTCTTCCCTGTCTTCAACACCTTGAACATCTCGTCCTCCGCAATGCCTCTGACTTTCGGCAGCGGTACAGCATATTTGGCTGCCTTGTCTTTCCGTTTTTGCTTGATGGCACTCGAGAGGCTTTTGGCGTCCTTTTGGCCCTCACGATCCAACAGGTATGTGGGAAGAGCACCGTCCGGCACGGTTCCTGCATCTGGTTGCTTCACATTCCTCTCGTCGTGCGCCTTAAGCGTCTTCTTCATCTGGATCTTCTGTGCATGGCGCTTGGCATGTAGCAGTTTAGCCTTGATGCCGAAAGCTTTCTGAGCAACTGCTGAGGACTTGTGGACAGCACGCGCTTCGCGCTTCCGCCTGAAAGATATGAGATAAAAGACGACTCGTTCCAGTCTTTGCGACGCACTTCTTTTCAAAGTAATCAAGACGGCGACCATGCCGCTTGATGTGCTCCTCGATGTATTCGTTCTGGGTGACAGTACTCAGATGTTGAAACGACTTATAATAAACGCTCTACCTGAGGCTGTAATGGAGAGTTATCATCAATTCAACTTCTAGGAAATGAGTGGACGGCGGACATACCATGGTTGGCGGAACGAAAGATTGGGAGCAAACAAGGATCAACAGCGCAGGGAGAGACGACCACGTGCTCCACGACACTCACTTCAGAATCACTGACGTCGCAAGTATGTGGCAGCAAGACAACACCGGTCCATACAACGCCCCCGCCTCGACCTCCTACTACACCCAACAAGAGCCCCTGCAGTTCTATTCTCAACCCCAAGATTATTATGCCGCTTCACGAACAAGTCTCGATGGTCAAGTACAGGGCGCTATGGCTCAGCAGCCAGCTGGGTTCGGAGGCAATATGCAAACGCCGGGGGCGTGGTGGACGGCCTTTGGTACTGGTGGGTTCGAGGGGGAGCCTCCACTACTAGAAGGTATGTTCAATCCTTTTTGCTCTCTGCGTCGCGTTCCGCTAATCTTTCCCATTTCGCTCATGACAGAACTCGGCATCAATTTCCAGCACATACGCGATAAATCGCTGACCGTGCTGAACCCTCTGCGCGGCATTGACGAGCACATCATGGACGACGCTGACCTGGCAGGCCCAGTGTTCTTTTGTTTTTGCTTCGGCATCTGTCTCCTACTTGTCGGTGGTTTCGTGTCACTTCCACGTTTTCTCCGCTGATTTATGCCCGCAGTCCGGAAAATCGAATTTTAATTACATCTACGGTGTCGGCCTTTTTGGATCTGCCTCAATATACACCCTTCTCAACTTGATGTCTGAGAAAGGCATCGACGCGTATCGCGTTGGCTCAGTTCTTGGTTACTGTTTATTACCAATGGTTGGAGTAGGTGCAATAAGTGTTCTAGTCGCGCTAGAGTGCGTGTCCTTTCTTTCTAATTCTTCTTGAAGTTTACCCATGCTCTTTTTAGTGGGATGTTTGGATACATATTATCTACCCTATCCATCCTATGGTGCACGTACGCTGCCTCGGGCATCTTCGTCGTCGTTCTGCGCATGTCTGATCAGAGGCTGCTGGTCGCGTACCCAATTGGCCTATTATACGGATGTTTCGCTCTCCTCACTATCTTCGATGGAAAACCGTAGGGTAGATGGTTTTTTGTACGTATGTTGAGGTTCTATTAATGACGAGGCGTATTAATATTGTATACAGGAAAAAAGATTATTTATGTCGCGTCTGAAGATGACCTTCGAGCTTTCTGCGCCCCCGTCAGAAGCTGCTGGCTGTACAACTTCATGAGAACCTCCATAATTTCTTCCAAGGGCGTTGTGGCATATTCATGCACATATTGCGGCAGGGAATCCTCGAGACTGAAGCCAGCCTTTTTCATGAAGAATGGATGCATGACATCTGGAGTTGCATCTCCCAACTGTCGCATAGTGAGGCGTTCAATATGACGGTTCCGAGGTTGGTAAGCAATGGTGCGTCGCTTTGGAGGTGCTTGCGAAACTGGCTGGTCTTCAGGATTCTCTTGACTGGATGGAAAATGGAGAGGAGTCGGTGTAACCTGTCCACGAGGAGATAGATATTGGTCTCGAGAAGTCTGAGGAGTGCGATTGTGATCCATCCAAGTATAGCGAGCTGACGATGGGCCAGGCGGTGATAATGAAATCGTGCTCGCAGAAGGAAGGGTTGCTGAACGTGGGACGTCAGTCAATGATAAAGGCTCGGGTGCTTTCTTCTTCCGCTGAGACCCTGCGGTAGCTAGAACTGTTGAGACACTGCTCATAGACGTCCGCCAATCTTCCGTTGCTCTGACTTGCTCCATTTCTCGGGCCAGGTTCTTTCGAAGAACGGTAAGCCACGCATAGAGCGACATGTTCAGCGTGATGTAAATGTCCTCGAAATCCTTCATGCCGACTCGACGAACGAATTCGCTGTGGAAGTCGTAGACCAAGGTCCGAGATGATTCATCGTTTGCTTCTTCACTTGTCATGTGCATCATCATGGATGGTAGCCCGACAATGGTGGCCTCATTCGCGTCTTTGAAGATCCTGGTGAGCCACTCTCTTGCGCCGTGTTCATTTACGCCTTGAGGAGACGACGGTGGCTCATGCGCTACCTGCGTGTATCTGGAAATGATCATGGAGGAGAAAGACAACTGCAAGTCGCGCTTCGACGACACAGTACCGGACCCAATGATGCCATCCAAACGAGCTGCGACATCACGTCCAGTGAACTGAGCAACCTCTAGGTCTCTCATCGTTCGAGGGAAGACCGCCAGCCGCAGGAATCCAAGTCGAAGGCTCATATGCTGTTGGATGATATACGCATGGTCGGACTCAGCTTCCTTGAAACGGCTACGCGCTGAATGAAGCATGGCCTCGGCGACAGCAGAAAGAGGATTCTCTGGTTTAGGTGTGCGAGTGACCCGGAACGTCTGCGACTCTCTGGACGCCCCTTGACGTTGAGCATCTAAGTTGGCCTTGAATTTGTTCGCGTAGGACATCAGCTTTGGAATGGTCCCGATGGTGACGACGGCGACGACCTCTGGACTATTGATAGTAAAAGATAGTTGAGGCGGCTTTGCGTCATCACTCTGTTTTGAATGGCTTTTAGACCAATCATCATAGATTTCAACCTCCAGAGGCTCAGCGCTGAGGTGGGATATAAAATTAGTACCTCCATATAGAGACCAGGGTAAAGGAGCTGACTGATAATGTAAAAGTTTCTGATGCTCGGATTCGAGGACAGCAACTAGGGCACCGCTCGTCAACCTGAGCTCCAGCATCCGTTGTAGACCACTGATATCTCGCAATGGTCCTCCAGTTCTTCGTATTGTCTGGAAAATGCAAGAAGGGACTTGTAGGCGGCCGGAGATGTTTCCCCGGGCAGTGGTAGATACATCGCCTACATAGAAGAACACCTCGTTGAGGATGTCCGCCAATTGTGTTCTGAAAATGGTCTGATTCAACTCCAGACTTATCCGCGTAATGGATTGACCAAGGTCTATGTCCAAAGCGATTCGCCGGATTCGAAGGAGAATAGAAGTTGAGAAACCTCTTTTGGGAGCGGCCTCCATTGCCTGGGAGGATGCCGGTCGAGCTGGAGCCTTCACTTCCGTTGGCATTTGGGTATTGTTATTAAGGATCGGAATCCGATCTAACCAGACAGCTTTGAAGCACAAAATATCCTGCAGTCGGGAGAATCGTACACCTCCCGAGAACTCGGTGTCCAGGGCAACTGAAATGCTGTTGATGATATCCCCAACTCCCATGTCTGTCTTCGCAAACGAGACGGAAAAAGTGAGATTGCGAGCGTCCAACTTTACGCAATCCTCACTCAAGAAACCGTGCTTCAATCCAACCGTGAGACCCCCAACACTTCCAGAGAATGCGACCTTCCGTGCACCTGGAGAAACGTTAAGAACAAACCCTCCACTTTCCCAGTGCAATCCAGCAACTACATTAACATCCGGCTGACATGTCAATTCGAGCTTGGATTGATCGATGCGAAGGCTGAAGCAAATTTGCATGCTCGACATAGATTCGATATTCGGGTCCTTCTCGGGCAAAGAGGCGCCGGGTGGAACAGCCAGCGCGAGAGAAGGCGCGAGAGAAGGCGGCCGCGACACACGAGAGCTGACTTTGCGCATCCGCATCTCAATTTGATTGACTAGCTCAGTCATGAAAGGGAGCAAGGTAGGGCGCAAGGTATTTTGGCTGGAAGATACGGTGCTGTTGAAAACGAGGAGGTCGGAGGGGGCATGTTCCGACATCGAGATTTTCTGGGACGCCGGCGTTGTCCTATACTCTCCCCAGACAGACACTACCGGAAGATTGAAGACTTCGACGCCGAGATCAAGTGCCAGGTCGTCCGATAGATCGACAAGACTGCTGGCTGAAATTCTCTTCTTAAATTGGTCGCTCGCAGAGCCGCTGTGGAGTCGGACTTTTCCACTCCTAAAAGTCAACTTCACAAATATGTTGGAAGTAGGTATAGTCGTATAATGTTTTTCTGGTGAGGGCTTTGCACTGTCCGGAGTCGATGGAGGGCTTAGCGGTGTTCGCGGCGCAATCGCAGACAACCGATCGACTCGATCTTTACCCTGCCTGTAGACATCGATTAAAGCAAATACATAGCTTGGAATTGTCGAATCGATGTCGAGCACGAATCCGTTGACCTCAGCTTTGATCCAAAATTTCCTTGAAAGACCGACGCTTGAGGATCGGAGCTGAGCCTGCATCTCTGGATAGAGCAAGCAATTGGATGTAGAGTGATTTTCGGCAGCGAAGTCTTCGGGGGATGACTGTCTGAACCTAAAGCTGGGTTAATGCCGCAGAAGAGATGGGATTTAAATGCACGCTTACTGCGAAACAAATTGGAAAGACAGCCGCTTCATCATCGCCTGCCCGGTTTCCCCGCGATGGGACTCAAATTCGATCGACTTGATGGAAAATAGGAAGGCTCGAACAGCAACAGATTCTTTGCTCCTGGTCCGTGGAAGTTGGAGTTCTTCGTCGTGACTCAGCGGAAACGCTACTCCAATGTTGCGAACAGATACAGAAACAACTAGGTCATTGATCCATGAGGACTTTTGAAACTGGGCATCATTGATGTTAACGTCGAAGGTCTGGAGGATGCTTCCCGTCTTTTCCTTGAAAGTAGCGAGCTGCAAGGCTCGCTGTTCTTGTCGTTCGAGCATCTCAGCCTAGATGAGGTGACAATCAATTGACGAGAACGAGACATTCATCCAGGGCAACTTACCTGCAAATTGTCAATGAAGTCTCCGAACTCTCCAATAGAACTAGGTTGCATAACTGCATGGGTTTTCGTCACCGAGAGATAAATACTCTTTCCGTCTCGACCATCGATGTTGGATCCACCGATTTTGAAGTCAATAGTCACGAAGGCGGATCTATGATTGCGACTGAAAGCGGTACTCGTCTTTCCAGTCATTCGAGGAGCAAGTGAAAAAGCAAGGTCCGATAAGCCAACATCCCATTTCCACCCCTCTTCGCTGCTTATGCCTCCGTTGATGTCCTGGCACTCTAGATACACAACCGAAGACACGCCTTCTAACCCAATCCTAAAACCCTGCATCTTGAACTGCCCGACGTATTGGAAATTGTTGTTTTTCCCTTTAGTCAAAGGTTTAAAAGAAGGGTCTTTTCGGCGTGTCTTCTGCATCAAGGCAACGAGGTCATTGAAGTCCTGCCCAAATTTCTGTTGCACTGCGAGAATGGTGTCCCAATGAGACGGCTTGACTTTGATGTCAATGAAGCGTAGAAGAATGCGCATGTTGATGTTATATCCGTCGGACTGGCCACCAAGTGATAGTGGGGGAAGTACAAGTTTTAATCTGGAACTGGGGGCAACATCTTGAGCATTTGGCTTCGAAGACACGCTCACGATCATGGACGCAGTCTGCAGTCCAAAAGAATATGACGGATTCAGAGCTGCACTGGACGATTGAAAGTAGGCGAGGGTATTCTGCACTTGCCATGATAGCCAGGTACCGTGCATAACCTGTAAAGAGATCTCAAAGTGATCAACTTGTCCGTGAATCTGTACAATCGGGCGACGTCTTGATCGACGGGAAGGGGTAGGCGACAGTTCTTTGATCGGCGTCGATTTGTATTCCGAAAGCAGCGTATAGACTGTCGCTTCTATTCCAGGCAGATAGTCAGCTCTCCACTCTTCTACGAACCGATAGAGGCGGAGTGCACTCCGTGGAACACGCAACCTTAGTCCAGATAGACAAAAGATGAGCTTCAGGTCAGTTCGCGATCCAGACTCAGGACGCAAAATAGCGCTTGATCGGCCGCTTGTCAAAGCGATGGAGGCCAAAACATCCTGATCGCTCTCCTCGGCAGGATTGGCCGGGGAACGGGCTTGAAGGTATATCTCGTCAAAGAGAAGGCTGCTGTTGATAGGGCGGCTTCTCTGGCTTGGGTTCACCAGTACCGTTATTGAGGTCTGAATCCCATTCATGCCCATCACAACCACCAGGTTCTCTGCAGCTGCTCGAATGCGAAGTCGACGGATGAAGGCGATGATCTCGTGGTGCGAGAATTTGGAGACGTAGTTTGAGGATCGATCTGCTATGTCCTGCAGGATGCGATTCGACAGGGATTCGTTCTTGCCGCCTATTTGCTTCTTCACACGTAAGACATGTTGGGCAAAATCCATCAAGTGAGGCGCAATCTCCAGATCTACATCTCCAAAAGAAAGGAGGGCAACAGCCTTCTTGACCACCTTGGAAGTTTTAGAGCGCAAGGATGATTGAGATGCGCCAGAGGGGTTGCTGAAATTGAATTGAACAAGGTCAAGCGACTGGGACTGCCATTTCACACTGGTATTCTTGATAACGAGTTCACTGGATGGGCCATCCGGTGCTCGGACTGCAATTGTCGCCGTCACAATACACACATGAATACTGTTGAGATGTGGGTGGGATTTCTGCAATGTGGTGTCCCTTGGAGCTCCCGGGCTAAACAACGTAGGATCTAATGCCGCCAGGTCACTGATGTTGGAAGCATCTTGATCAAGAAGTGCCAATCGTGCTTCTGTTGAAGCTACGAGGTCCTTTAAACCAATGCCATCACAGTGATTACTTCTTGTCGTCGTTATACAGTTCCGGAGGTGATATAAAAATCGGAAAGACACATCAGCTCGCAGGGAGTGAGGAATGCCGAATTGCACGAGGTAGGACGGTTGTATGGTGGAAAGTGGGTCAATAACTGGCTTGTCCTCCGAAGCATTTAGGAGGGTTCCCATGATGGACCTTTTTTCCATGAGGTCAAAGGACACCAATCCCTTTAGAATGTTTCCGACTTGCGAAAATAAAGGGAGAAGAGCTATGGATGCCGCCGACACCAACTCCGGAGCCTGGTGGCCTATGCTAATTGACATAGAACCTGTATTGAAATCAATGCCGCTGGGGGACTGGCCAAAGGAAGGAGAAGCGATAGATAGTTTAAATACTGCTTGCTTTGGATTTGCAGCTTGGAGGGTACGCCTGTCAGTTGAGATTTCGAACTCGGTGATAAGCTGGTCCACTGAGGCCTTGAAGGTAGGGAGATCACTGCTAAATAGACCAGAGAATGAGATCCCAGACACATCTAGGGTTATGAGGGTCAGAATATCCAGATTAGAGGGCACAGTGGCCGAGTGCATCGATTGAAAGACGTTTGGACGACCATCATTTGACATCGCAATATTCTGGACAATTTGAAAACTGACGCGTGGTATGCTGACATTTGCAACGGAGGACTTCGGGGCCGTGGTATCATTGAATGAGATTCGTGAAATACAGTCGGCGAGCAGAGAATCCATGCACATTTGAGGGTCAGAGGCCTGGGACATGAAACCCGTTAGTCAATCAAAGTTTTTCTTTTCCGGTGCAACTTACGACGCTTTTTATGTCTGCTTCGAATTGAACAACAGCGGGCAATATCAATGGCGTGCACAGAATTTTAGCAGCTTTTCGGCCCTTCAAACGGAACGTTGTGAGATCATTATATTTGGGTAATTGCTCTGGAGAAATTGTCAATCCATGATTAGAATGTTCAGAACCTAGATTGTCCTGTTCGTCACGACGAATGAACGGTGCCCTTCCCTGCAGCAAATCAAGCGCGTCCGTCAGAATTAGAACATTGGTAGAGTCGAAGGCGCGCACCCGTGTGGGAATAAACAACGGTCCCTCCCACAGTCCAGGCGGATCCGAGCGGTTTGCCGCATAGTGCCTTATAATGTTAGAGTAGAAAGACATGAGAGCATTTGTTCCTTCGTCGGAGGAGTCTATAAAATATTTTGATCAATATCCGCTCTCTATACTTCTCAGAGATGTGCATACCACCGATGTCTGACCAGTCGTCTTCTGAATATTCCCCTTCGGTAAGATCGGCATCATCTGATTCATCACCACTCGACATTACATCCTCTTCCTGAACCCGAGGAACGGGAGTAGATGTGCGTGTTCTCCTGTGAAACAGATGAGCAATTGAGCAGCCTGCTCATCAATGGTCCACCTACGCCAAACGGGCGTCACGATCTGCTTCAGACACTCCTTCTTCCCCTTCCGAATCGGACATAGTTGCTAGCGTAGAAAGACGCCAAGATGCAGGGCGTGGATGAGGAGGGGGTTGGTATTGGGTCGGGCGTTGCTGTGTGAAAGCATCTGCACGCGAAGGCAGACTAGGCTGGGGCAGGTACACGGAATTCCGATGGGACAGTCGGCCTGTATGGTATTCTAAAGTTGTTCCGTATTGCAAGGAGTGCCAGCAACGTACCAACTTGGCCGGGGCGCCTGTTACGCTGCCTGAGCTGTTCGAAAAGCCTTCTTGCCCTACCAGTGCCTTTATCTTGCTCTTCGATGAACGCAAGTTGCGCACGAGTAAAGACGCGATGTCCCATCGGGGCAGCATAGATGTCTAAATATGCGTCGCAAACAAATTCTGCTGCCTCCAACCATAAATTCCTTTCAACAGATGGAGCCAGAAGAACTTTTGCTGATACGTCTGGAACTCTCAAGCTTGAAACCTTCCGATACTGACGTGTTCCCAAATCGTTGCTGTTTAACTTTAGTCCCTCTGAGAGTTGCACTAGCAAGGCGGCATGACCAGCCTTCCACGTCGCCTCAAACGATTTGATAGTGATCTTGTAGAAAGATACTGGAAACCGTGATGTGAATGATTTCTTCCAGGACAGAGATAAATTACCTACCATCAAGTTCAATTGTTGGGACAAAATCTGCTGCTGGAGCATTCACCAGGTCCACGAAATTTAAACGGAAGGAAGTCAGGGCTGCTGTAAGCATCTGGGCATGCCGTGCAGACATAGATGCCTTCGTGCGTCCAATCGTTATTTCCCAAATGCAAACATACGTCGCGGTCCTGGGCTGGGGTCCAAATAGACGGTTGGCTGTGATGTCAACGCCTGAATAGCATATCAATGACTAGGAAATGTATAGGGTATGGGCTACAAGACAGACCATCGATCATAAAAATGTCTTCAGAAGTCGTTCCAGATCGACTCAACGCATGTCCTAATTGGTATCCTTCTTTGATGTATCCTCTCGCTGTGTCCAGCTTCAATGTCATTTCTTGAAGGCGCGTCAAAGAAAAGTTGGCACGGTCAATTTATGCACGTACCCATATAGTAGTCGTGCATTCGAAACTGTAGTCGAATGTCAGGAATGGCGAAGGTAATGTCGTGGCCAGTGGAGCCAGCGCATCCGACCAGAGTTGTGGGCATTAAAAGGACGGCTTGGTCTGCATGTAGCAAAATTTGGGTTTGAAGCATGTTCGACTGACCACAACCCGTCTGTTAGCAGTATTTAACAAGGTCTTTTTCTTGACTTGCCTTCCCAGGCCGATACTTCAGCCCTATGGGATCGCCAACAGGCTGATTTTGCTTTCGTTTGCCAAGATATTCAGACAGAGTTTGGAAGTGGGTGAAGGAGCCCAAGTAGTTGTCTCGCAGCACCATGAAATAACGAATGGACCAGCCATACATTCGATAAAGAGGGGCTTTCATCTGGTGTTCAGGTTAGCAAAGTGAGCCCAGAAGCAGAGTGTGTAACTGAAGACTTGCAGAAATATCAAGCTTGAGCTGCTCAACATTTTCGTCGTGGACCTCAGCAAAATAACGATATGATGCATTGATTTGGAATAACTCTGTCGTGAATAGAGGGATTCCATCCTTCAGAGTGGGCAGTGCATGCGTATTCCATCGAGGCAAGAAGAAACAGGCTGAAAGGTCCGGTGCAATCACAGTGAAAGGAATAGGGGTGGACTCCGGGCGAAACACATTTGAAGGTATTGTCGTCGAATTCTTGAGATGAGGTCCTCTAAGGGATATCATGGCTTCGAAAATAAGTCTCAGAAAATGAACTTGATGAGATATATATGAGGCCTACCGTTTTCTTCCCGTATTAATGGTTTGTCGATTATATTTTGGTCATTTGCATATAGGTTGAGGTCGAAATGATGCATTTCAAGATTAATGTCGTATATCATAGGGATGAACTTTTGGTAATCCGTCGGGGGTCCAGACACCCAATCTCTGCCAAGGTCGGTGAACATATTGATATGGTCTCGTAGAAGGAAGAGGATAGGCTGGCGAAGAAAGATGGAGAATGTCCATGCACGTTCTCCATCCCAATTAATACAGGCAGGCATTTCACCACGAACCTAGATACAATTTAGATGGATCCAGAGTGATTCCTACTAGCCACTCACTCGACAGGATTCCCCTGATATTAGTCGAATATCATTCAAGCTGGAGGTGACTGTAACGGCGTCGAGGTGGACTTCAAGAGTCGATTCATAGCCAGATGGACCAACGAACATGGGCATAACATAATTTATCGATGACTGGTCGCCAACTGTCACGCTGATGAACGCAGACTCTCTCCTCCGGGGCCGTTGAGGAACTTCAACTTGTCCGTCCCATTGCCAGTCCTATAGGTAATGTCAATGGAAGGTGGTCACTCAGAATATGGTACGACTACCTTGGATGCTTCACGGAACGGGATGTAGAGAGTTGTGTCATCACGAAGTTCCACGAAGACCTGTAGAGCACCCCACGCCCGTTTATCCCCCGGTCTAAGCTCGGGAGATAACTCATTATTTTGATAGGTCGGCGGGAAAAATATACGCTGTAATTCAGCCCTAATTTGCATTGCATCAGCATCAAGAGGCCCAACTGGGGGATGTAATCCAACCTCTGCCGGTCGGCCCATGGCCCATAGCGCAGCGTTCCCCCATAGATAACGATGTCGAATCCCCACTCAGGAGATGTGTCGCCTTTACCAACACCATGCGGCCCTTCACACTCCTCAGGAACCTCACCGACAGCATCGATGTAATATGTCAACTCCAAGGCAGGCGCTTCCAAGATTTTGCGCTCTATAGCATACTCATGTGCAGAGAAGTCAATTCCTAGCGGAGTGTCATCTTCGGCACCCTTAGCCTTTTTGAAGCCCGGTATAGATTCTTGGGCTTTGTGTTGGGCTCGGCGAGTAGCGAAGAAGTCTATGACGAGACTGTACAAGCGGAGCTGTCGCCATATCTTCACAAATGCGCGGTGTGGTTGGTAAAACGAAGGCTTTCGTAAGGTGGCATGTCTATAGAGGTGGACAAATCAGATAGTTGTATTATGCAAGCGTGACAATCAGAACTTACTGTCGAATTCGATGATAAATATGACCTCCTAGAGCGGCCATTGGGTCAATGTAGTCTTCATTCTTAATCAATCGAACAAGGGGATGCTGGAATTTGATTCCAAGGACTTGTTTATAGAGATCAAACTTAGACTTGGACTAAACGACACGCAGATCAGATAGGTAGAAACAGAGCCAAGTGACCACATACAGGAACGACACCGTATGTCCCAAAGGCATGCTGAAACTCTGCGACGAGAAGACCAGGTGTTGAAGGGTTTCCAAGGATGATGACGCCGGTCTGTACATCAATGCCGAGAGGCAATAAATCCTTCGGGTCAAGGTTAGGCAACTGAAGCCGCAGCCAGTTCAAGGCATTCGTGATGAAGGTCGGTAGGCGAATGACCCGTCGTTGACCAGAGGGAGGATAGAAAGGTGAAGCTGTCTCTACTGAGCAAGGTGTTCATTTAACATTGGTGCGTAGACTACAAGAAGTCATTCACCTTGACGCGTGAAACGACTCAAAAATCGACGGTTGGAGCTCGAACGAGACGTCGGGCGAGTATTCTTCTCCATTTGAGATATGATATTGTCATAAGCCGCCGTTCTGTTGTAAAGGAACCATTCCACGCCCTGAAACGAGATTTGAATGCGACAGGACCATAGCCAGGCAGAATGTTTCGCTAGGGTAATTGCTGAGCGAACAACACCAGAAACGGGCGCGCATTACTTACCATCTTCGCCCCGGGCCGAACTAATCTCCTCTTCAGAAGTTGGACGTCGAATCCAGTATCTCCACTGAATCTGCCCCTTCAAAATCTTTATGGTCTGGTTGCTCGAGTGATACCGAAGGTCCTTGAAGAGAATTCTCCCAGCAATAAGAGAGAAGTGGATAGATCCTGGTATTGATGGTTAGGCAGTCAATATGAAGTCCAGTCCTGTTCCAAAAAAACGCGCCTATTTCAACCCATATGCTTGAAGCTTCTTGGTTCCAATACAGAATGCGGACGGTCTGACCAATGAGAAACGCAACAAATCGGTTCCAATAGAAGAAGTATAGGGTGAGGGCAGCGACTATGCAGACGCAAGCTACCAAGAGCAGACTGTCGAACATGGGTCAAGGATGAGCTAGGGCTCGCTCAGTCGGAGTTGGGGAGAAGTCTGCGGGAGTCGGTATGAGTCGATAGATAGGAATTCTCCGTGATAATTCTTCATGAAGAATGTCCGTCTAGATGGCTGTAATCTCCACAGCCAACGGAATAGCTAGAACAGTAGAGAGATGCAGCGAGTACCAAGGCCTTATGTCATGCGCGTTCATTACGTAAGCTACATTCCTCGCTACCAAGCCAGGGTATCCTTGAACCGTTCATCTCTCCTCCCAGCTAAGTATCACAGAAGGGCCGGTTATTTATTACGATTGAAGGTGAAGAGGAGTGCTTTTAAATCCGTTCGAATAATATTGAATATGTACTACTGAATCCCAGATGACAAAAGCAACCACAGCAAGACCTCTTCAGCGGTTCGCCCTCCACTCAACCAAGACTTGTGCCACAGAAGCTACAAAATATGGAAAGTGTATCCTCGCCACATACACGGATGTCACCAAGGACGCGTGCAAGGATGAATTCCTTCAGTTCCAGCATTGTCTACGAAGGGCGGTCCGTATTTTGTTCCTTTTTCCCACTGTTCGCCCAACTGAGAGCAAGCAGATGAAAAGTGGTCGTTGAGACCTCGCAGAAATGCCCATGCGCATATATTCAATCGTCGAATCGAAAACTTATTATTATGAGATACTATTATAGGCGTCCGTCTATCCTGGACCTGCCTCCATTGCCCCTGGGACTCTCTGCCGGTCAGTTGGCGTCGTGGACGGAGTTCCTCTGGTCGTCCGAATCTGTCGACCACTCCGCAGGAGCATTCTCAGGCCCGGAAGACGCCACGGCGTAGTGTTAGGGAGAGGAAGGAAGGAGTCCGAGCTTGGCGCGGGAGGAGGGGGTGGTGGTGGACTTCGGAGGCGCATAATGATGGCATTAAGGCGAAGGTCGAGAACGTAGGAAAGCGAGTGTGCAGACGATACCGTCTTCGGCTGGGGTGACGGTGATGGAAGATACATTGGGGACTCCGGTGGTGTTTCGGTTGGCAGACTGAATAGCGGAATTGAGAATGGCGTTGGGGGGTCTGGCCAGAGGAAGTCTTGAGGTTCCAACTGCGCACTCGTGTAGTACACTGAAGTTTCATATGCGATGGTGGTGAGCACGAGTTGGAGGAAGACAATGGATATGTCCAGGAGGAATAATTGCGCCTTTGATGGCGTGTGCGCTGCGCGTTGGCAGGCTAATGAGATACAGATGATTTGATTTCGGCCAGTATTAAACAACGTACCCATTCCGATGAAGTCAAGAATAATCGCTCTCCCTTCGCTTGCTCCCTTGGTGGAGTGGTTCCACAAGCTTGGCACGTTGAGGACGATGACTGTGAAATAGAAGAATCGTAGTGACCGATTCGCGTCCAATTCTCTCGGCCGGGTACATTGAAACTGCGCGATGATTCTACAAACATATATCCAGAGCGAGGGCGAGAGGAAAAAGGACAACGTGTGCAATTGGTACAAGAGGGTATCGAGCTATAGACCGACTGTGAGTTTGAAATTACCCAGCCTTTGCGTAAAACTCACTGAATGGATGATGTGCTGCCGCTGGACGTGAAAGCGCTTGTGCATGTCATGTATCTGAATTGTCGGAATGGCCGAATTCCTCTATGAGACGCAGCGGGCCCTTCGTGAAAGTAACCCCGCTGTGTGTTGTGGACAGGGTTAGCTCGACACAACCGAGCCTGATGCTGCTCGTGGCTATGTGAGCACTCAATCGGGACGCCTGCCTATTCGGGTACCCGTGAGATCGGGGACTATCCAATCGCATTTCGTTGCTGATATTTCAAATGCAACTCGCAAGTTGGTCGTGCGCACGAACACTAGCTCCATAATGCAGAAACCTTACACGCTTCGGTCTACCGTTCTAGGCAAACGGAAAACCAGACAGAACGACAACCTTGTCCTGCACCTAACCAGCCCAGAGTTATCTTCCACACATCTTCCAGACCAATCCGACTCTGAGCCATCCGGCCCACGATCATCGACATCTACACGCGCACCTCTCCTTATAAATGGCTCCCTGGTTGCTCATACCAAGAAGAAATACCAGTGCACTTTCAACGGCTGCGAAAAGGCCTATACCAAGCCTTCACGCTTGGAAGAACACGAACGTTCACATACTGGTCAAGTAAGTGCTCAAACGACGATTCAGTACTTCGCCACTCAAGAATTCCCAGCGTCCATTTGTTTGCGAGACATGCAGCAAATCCTACCTGCGCGAAACACATCTGCACGCCCACGCGCGTTCCCATCTCCCAGAGTCCATGCGGCCTCTCGTGTGCGAAAGAGAGGGTTGCGAGAAGCGTTTCTGGACGTCCCAGCACCTTCATGTACATTATTCCTGGCACGATGGAGCGAAACCGTACAAAGTGCGCCTATTGCCGATAGCATTTTGGGCTCATGTTCATACCTTTGCAGTGCAATGAAGCAGATTGCAGCGAAGCATTTGCAAAACACCATCAGTTAAGGGCCCATATTTGCTCAACACACGCGCCTCCTGGTACAAAGCCCTACCGGTGTGAACATGAGGGATGCACGAAGTCGTTTAACACCAACCAACACTTACGGTCTCACCAGAAGATGCACGACAGTAAGTTTACTTCACGCTCTCTTCATACGCACGGTTATTCGACATCCGTCAGATAACCGTTACACATGTGTCCACCCGTCATGCCTTGCAGGCCCTGACGGGACTCCCACATTCTTTCCGACATGGTCCTCGCTACAATCACACATTCGCAAAAGCCATCCACCGGCGTGTCCGCACTCTTCATGCAACGACCGTACATTCGCAAATCAAGCGAATCTCAGGGCCCATCTAAGATTACATGAACAGAAGGAGCTGGAGCTGGAGCTGCAAGGGATCGCAGACTCGGACAACGAGAATGATAAGCCTCCAAAGAAGAGAAGAAGAGGCGGCGAGCACGGAAGAGACTGGAAGTGCGAGGCTCCCGGTTGTGACAAAGACTTCAAATCCGTAAGCTTTCACTCTACGCCAGTATGTCTCTCTTCTGACTGCCGATGTGGTTGAAGAAAAGGGCCCTTCAAACTCATACCAATGTTTCCCATCTCGGTAAACGAAATTTCGTTTGCCACCACGCAGACTGCAAACAAGCTTTCGGGTACAAGCATCTCCTTCAAAGACACCTCGCCAACGTTCATTCTTTCGAACATTCCGGACCAGATTCCTCCGAAGAGTCTTCTGAGGAAGAATCTCATAAAAAGGAGGAGACGCATGGACACCGACCCGATTTCAACATTGACATGATAACAGGAAACACGTATGCCGAACAAGCCTCAGAGAACCTGAAGCATGCCAGGGTCTTGCAATGCCCCTTCCCCGACTTGAAGGACTTCCCAGTAGAAAGCCCCGCAAATGCTTCTCAAGAAGTGCGAGACACCAGGAAAACCAAGTGCGATTATGTCTTCAGTCGAGGATATGACTTGAGGCGACACCTTAACGCGTTACACGAAGTCGCTGTGTCCAAGGAGGTCATAGATGCTTGGGTTAGACGACACAAATGTACACCATAGATGCTGAAGGTTGATTTCTTGAAACAATCTTGATAGTTCAAAATTCAGTGTGTCACGTTCGAGAAAGGTTCAGTCCTTTGGAAGCAGACCGCTGATTAGTAGACCAGAAGGAAATTCTTCCACGGAGGTGCTATAGTGTAGTGGTTATCACTCAGGATTTTGAGAATATCTTCCTGAAACCCAGGTTCGAACCCTGGTAGCACCTTTTTGTAGTGGCCATATTTTTGGGAATGGCACAACTGACCCATAATTGTCATTTATCGAAGTATATGCTACAAAATTTGCCACCTGGCATAGGTTTATTCTAAACTGCCAACCTGTTTTTCTGCTATCTTCCCCCTTGCCTTCAGAAGGGCTTGAGTACGCTCCACCTCATCCTGTACACGCTCAATTGATTTGAAGTATTTCACTGTCTTCACATGCAGCTCTGCAAGAAGAGGTCCATTTGAGAGATATTACAAGTAACTGAAGAGATCAGGCAACATACCGGCGGTTGCATCCTCATCGACGACAATAAGTGCCCAGGGGTGGAGTTGCAAAGCGGAGAGGGTCCACTGATCCTGCCATCAGCCAGCATCCATTATGGCCATTATATGCGTACCAGATGGTTCACTCCGTCCTCTGTTGACATCGATTAGCCAGAAGATGAAATAGGTTTGGCCTGTACACACCGATCGCTTTGCTAAGCGCCAGCGCCTTTCGCTGACCAGTAACCACAACGACGACCTCTCTCGAGTCAAGGACGGTGGCGACGCCGACTGTCAGCGCCATGCGCGGAACAGCGGAAATATCGTTGTTGAAGAAGCGGGCATTAGCGAGGATGGTGTCATAGGCGAGGGTTTTGATACGGGTTCTCGAGGCGAGCGAGGAGCCTGAAGGAAGATGAATACGTCAAGAAATCGTTTTGCGAGACGAAAAGACAGACCGGGCTCCTGTAAGAGGGAAGCACACAATCAATACTGCATCGTGGTGGTGAGACATGCGAGATGCATACGTTAAATGCAATATGTCCATCTTCGCCGATACCGCCTAGGAAGAGTTCGATACCGCCGTACTCTTTAATACGGTTTTCATAGGTCTTGCACTCAGAAATCAAGTCTTCAGCGTTGCCATCCAGAATGTTCACTTGGGACGGGGGGATATCGACTGGACACACAGAGACGTCAGGGAGACCGATTTGACCCGGAAGGGTGGACGCACTATGGGAGAAGAACTCGCGGAACATGAAGGTATGGTAGGACTCGGGATGGTCGCGGGGTAGCCCGACGTATTCGTCCATGTTGAAAGTGACAACGTTCTTGAAGCTGAAGAAACTGATTGGGCATGGCGATCAACAGCGTGAAAGTGAAGGTGAACGCACGAGAGCTTCTTCTCTTTGACCAGGGCGATAAGGGATTTGTAGGTCGGTATGGGCGAGGAGCCTGTCGGCAGCCCCAAGACAAACGGCCTCTGAGGAGTGGGCTCGAATTCATTGATCCTTCAAGCCAGAAGCGCATACATTAGCAACGAATAAAGGACAGGCGGGTTGCAATAACCTCTTGCAGATATAGTTGGCGATGTAGTCGCCGACCGTGGTGGGATCTTCCCGGATAATTAAGCCTGCAGAAAGCACAAGGGTTGGTGAAGAGCACCAGAGAAGGAGCCAGACCACGAACGCATGGCTCAGAGGAGACAGACCAGGGTTAGACGATGAGGTTCAGAAGCAGAGGAGAACTGGGGAGAACTGGCCAAAACATCACATTATCCTGCAGATATAACTGTGTTGAAGGACCAAACAGGCGACCTAGAATATTCTGCAAGTGGCATAGATAATGAGAGTGCAAGTGCGCTCATCGCTGGTCGGACCATTCGCCGGGGCATCTGATCCAGGAAGCTCCGGAGAAGTTTTCCTTTTGCACTCCCACCACCACCACAGTGCTTTTCTTAGCCTTCGCCACTCCGACGACGCCTCTTGCGCTCGAGGATTCTGCGTATCAAGACATATGGCACCTTTCGATTCGCTGGTGCCACACATTGAAGGAAGCTGGACTAACTGTCAACTATTCTGGAAGGCTTATCGTAGTGCTGGTGCAAGTGCTTACGCGCAAATCAGCTATGCTTGATTGCTCTGAATCCATCTTCACACTAGCACGGAGACGACCCGTTTCGACTCTCCGGGGACTGCACCATGGGCCAGTCATGCGACGTCGTCGGCGATACGCCTCTGCTCGTGGTTCAGCGCCAGAGAAAGAGCACATGGTCTCCATTCGTATGTCACGGCTTCCTCTCCATTCCTCACCGTGTCTTAATGCTATTTCCCTTCGACGTCTCATACAGCTCAATGGGAGTATCCGGTTTATGCTTCGGAACGCGTGAAGGATCGTAAATCGGTCTTCCTCGCACATGCGTCGACCTTGCCGTCAGCTTCGGCACTGCCTCCCTTCATTGAACAACTCTCTGCTCTCCCCGCCTTGAAGCGCGCCACGCACTGTATGTATGCGTATCGCGTCATCCCAGAACCCTCTGAGCCTTCGCGCAGACTACTTGGGCAACAGGATGGAGGTGAAAAAGGAAGCGGAGAACGCCTTTCGCGCTTGCTGGAGGTTCTGCAATGCGAAAACGTCGTCGTTGTAGTATCAAGATGGTATGGTGGCGTAAAGCTTGGCTCTGATAGGTGGAAGTTGATATCTGGCGTCGCAAAAGAAGCGTTGCACAGAGGAGGTTTCCAGGAGAAAACAGTACATACAGACGCACCTCAGAAGAAAAATACGAAGAAAAAGAAGAGATAATAGAGACTTGAACCGCAACCCGCTTTTACTTTCCCGAAATTATCTTTGATAGCATGCTGAAGAATGCCACTTCTAGGCCATCTTTTCCAAACGTCGGCCATGGGTTTCGTATGCAATCTTTAGGTCGTATTGCTGAGGATGCTTTGGTGCGCTTGGGGCCGGTCTTAGTTCGGAACCCGTCGAACATAGGAAATATCAAGGGAAGATAAGTGACATTGAAGTATGGAAGAAGCTTTGGGAGGATATAATCATGCATGTAGACTGTTGGGAGAATGATCAGGAAGACTCATGAGTTAAGTTGATATCCTTTCTCACCTTGGGAATTATAATAGAAAGTCCACGGATCGACCCAGCCTGCATCTCCATCGTGAGACAAGATCGCTGGAAGCAGCGGCACAGTAGTCGGTAAATGTGCCTGTGCACAATGCATCTGCAAATACCAACTGCCTTGCCAGACATGATGAGAGTTACGGATGTCAGGTTCCTCCATGATCGTTTCCAGAGAATCAAGAAGTCGTGGCAAGAACTCGTCCAAGGTAGCATGCAATGCAGCGTTTACCAGGCCATCCTCCAAGGACAAAAAACAGTGACGGCCGAGGCGATTATGTTTTCTGCACAACAGATCAGTGAAAGTCCAGTTGCCAAATGCATCGCTGGAGCTGTACGTAGATGCTGGAGCAGGTAGTGGACCGCGATTCATGACGATAATTTCAGCCTTGCGTGCCTTTCTAAGCCAATAGTTATTTGGCACCCGTACACCAGTCTCCACGTCGATCACAGGCAGATTGTAGGCTTCGCTGTTCATGTCCTTGGAGGTGTTCAGAGTAGTCGAGAAAACATACTGAAGCAAAGCTGACTTGGTTGCCGTTAGCATGGAGTTGCCCGGCATTTTCTTCTTTCTTTCAACTATCTCATCAGAGTTCACCTCTCCTTCGTCAGCGGGTGCCTTGCATATGTGATGGAAAGTGCAATAATCCTGTCCAGGACAGAAGTGTGCGCGATTTTCGTGAACCTCAAGGGAGTGGAGCCAGAGATCGTGCAAGTAGTAAGTCGTCTCTGGTCCAACAAAGAGTACCCTTTTTCCAGAGAGAATGGAACAAATTTCCAGCGGAAGATTGGTGTAGTTGGCCGCAGACCTCGAAGAATTTGCTCTCAAACAGCCTTCTCCGAATGCCAGAGTCGGTGAGGAAGATGAGTCTGCGTTGTCAACTCGCCACCTCGGTTTCGAACGCATGCAAGACGAGGACATTTGGACCGAGAGTATTCTGGCGAGGTCAGGTATATTGCCCCGTCGCCATAGGCTACCTGTAGGGAGAAGCAGGTCGGAAACGTAGTTGTCCAGGGTCGTGTCCACCTGGCGAAGCAAAACGGGTCGCCGTTTGGAGCTGAGTCCATGCCGTTTTAGGGGCCCAGATATCAGCCAGATACAGGAAAAGAGACCAATGAGAATTGCAAGTCGGCCAGCGAGACGCCTTGCTCTCCTCATGCTTGCGCTGTGCAGGGTGAGTTCAAGTGCACTTTGCACCTATGTAAGGTTAGGGTTGATGAAATCACGGGTCTGTCGGACCTGTCCTATTACATAATTGGAGTGGACTGCTCTTCCGCTCCACCGTAATCCCGTACCAGACATCATTCGTTTTCTGCTCACATTCCTTAGAATCGATCGACCGCCATGCATCCCAGCTTACCCTTTTTAGGGAGACTTTCTCTCCGAGATTACATCGCCGTCGTCCTCAGCTTCACCGCCCTCGCTCTAGAGTCGGTCCTCCATATCATCGTCCTATTCCTCCCCAAACCCGTCATCAACTGGTTCTATCGCCGCTCCAGAGCGCTCTTCCACCGTGCAAGTGGCCAGCAGAAGGATCGTTCAGAGGAGAAGAAAGCGTCGGAGCGCATCCTCAATGCCAGGGACTTTGGGGAGTTGTGTAGCATCTATGGTTACACTCACGAAGAGCACGTCGTTTTGACCAAGGATGGATACCTTTTGGGGCTACATCGTCTGCCGTCGAGAAAAGGAGAAAGGACAAGAAATCCTGGCGCTAGCACTGGCAAACCTGTGGTGTATCTCCACCATGGCCTTCTTATGAACAGTGAAGTCTGGGTCTGTGTTACGGACCCTGTTCGCGCTCTTCCTTTCGTCCTTGTTGAGTTAGGATATGACGTCTGGCTGGGCAACAATAGGCTCGTCCTCTTTTCTAGTCGGGCTTTAGTTATTCCAATATCTTACCTTCTAGAGGCAACAAGTACTCGAAGAAATCTATCCATCATGGACCTAACTCCACTAAGTTCTGGGATTTCAGGTTCGCATTATCACCCTTTTGTCCATGTGTTGTTCGATTAATTATTGGCTAGTATTGACGACTTCGCGTGGCATGACATCCCGGACTCGATTGAGCATATCCTAGAACTCACTCGAGCTCAGAAGCTGAGCTACATTGGGTTCAGTCAAGGAACGGCACAGGCATTTGCTGCCTTGAGCATACACCCTCGTTTGAATGAGAAGGTCAATGTTTTCATTGCACTGGCTCCAGCAATGAGCCCACCAGGACTTGCAGCACCTATCGTTGACGGCCTAATGAAGGCTTCGTGAGTGATATCTACTCCTCCAAGGGGCTCACTTTCATAATCTCTTTATTCTGCAGGCCAACATTATTATTCCTTTTCTTCGGACGAAAATCAATACTTTCCTCAGCTACAATGTGGCAATCCATCATATACCCTCCAATCTTCGCGCGCATGATTGACAGCTCCCTCATCTGGCTCTTCGACTGGCACAGCACCAACATCACTATGAACCAGAAGATCGCGGCGTACGCGCACCTCTACTCCTTCGCCTCCGTCAAATCCGTCGTCCACTGGTTTCAGATCATGCGTAACGCCGCGTTCCAGATGTACGACGACGACGTCCTATCGCCCGTCGTGCGCACCTCGGTCAGTTCATACCGCCCTGCCCGCTTCCCAACCCGCAACATCGTCACACCTATTGTGCTGCTCTACGGGGACTCGGACAGCCTGGTGCACATTGAGACGATGCTCGCCCAGTTGCCCGATCACACCGTAGCCAAGGTACTACATACATACGAGCATTTGGACATCCTTTGGGGGAAGGACGTACACAAGGATGTGATACCAGAGGTTGTATCGGCGTTGGAGTATTATTGCTCAAGAACGGATCATGATGATGCAGAGACTGACAACGTCAAGATGGACACTCCTGTGTCAGAGTGACATTGATTGTACTAGTCCAGGATGGGCTGAAGGAACGCTGTGTGTAATTGGAATGATACAACAATCTAATGGGCTAAATCTAGTAGACTACTGTATCAATCTATCGTTATGTATGAAGCACCTCTGCTCGACGTCCGATGCCTTTCCTTCTCCTTCCGAGAATTTTTGGTGCCTTTGTCAGGTTCCTGGGTTTCTGGTCTTTCTGACTTGTGTTTCCTTTTTTCCTTCAGAGTCTTATCAGACTCGTGTGCTTGAACGTCAACATTTTCTTGTACTTCCACCTCCGCTTCGACCTTTTGTTTCTTCTCTTTCTTTTCCTTTTTGTGTCTCTTCTTTTTGGCTTTATCAACGTCTTTCTCCTCTTCGTCCTCGGGCTCTGCCTTCCTCTTGCCTTTCTTGTTTTTCTTCGACCTTTTCTCCTGCGTAGCATGATCGTCTGGTGTCTCAAACTCAGCGCATGCCTCGGCATCCATTTTGCCCCGCTTTCTTTTCTTCTCCTGTTCACGTTTCTGGTCGGTTGGAGTAGGTTCAGGCTCCGCCTCTGAGATATAAGCTATCCCCTCCTCTTCTTTTGGTGCAGAGGAGCTAACGAAGGAAGTCGATAGGGCAGAGTACGAAGTCGTCGACGCATGGAACGAAGAGGACATGAGGGAAGTGAATTTCGACAGGCCTATTCGCCGAGTTTCTTCTTCGATTTCCGTCTCCGAATGTATTTCCAGTCGCAGTTGAGAAGCACCAAGGCCCGTTCGCGGAGCATCGTACGCATCGTCGTAAGTGTCGTTCGTATCGGCAGGAGAATTGCTGAATGCAGGGGATGATGGTGTCGACGTTCCACTGGTCTTCGTAGATCGGGCAAGTAACTTTTCCTTGAAGTATTCCGTGACACTCTTAGTAGAGGTGGTGATCTTTTCAATCGTCAGTCCCTCCGTGTCGGTCATGTCAGTTAGTTTTCCCTGAGAAGGGTCCACACTCTGTTCTCTTGTCGAGGTCGAGGTCGACGGCGCGATTCCCAGAATCTCGGAGATGTGGGACGCTGATTTCGACGAGATATTTTTCGCAGCTATCGCGCGAGCACGATGGCTTGATGATAATGGCTAGTCAATAACCAGCCCATGATATGATAAAGACTTTGACGTACGCACGATGTCGAGGAACAATCGTCTTGACCTGGACAGAAACGGTTTCCGTCTTCTCTTCTACTGTTTCATCGACCTTCATGACCTTGATGGTCTCTGTCTTATCCTTTCTCTTTTTCTGATCCCGTTCGCCATCTCCTTCCCCGTGTCCGTTTCCGTGTTTTCTTTTCTTCTTTTTCTTCTCGCCTTCGTCTCTGTCTTTCTCCTCGACATGTGCATCCTCCCAGTCAGTATCTTCCTTCTTTCCATCAGCAGGTGTTTCTTTGGGAATCGCTTCGTTTAAACGCTTGAGCAGGCTCTCGAAGTCCTTATTCTGCTTCCACGCGAAACCGTTGGGATCCTGCTGATGAGCAGCACCGATACCCAGCATATCGAGTTTTTGTGAGACTTTGATATGGGATGTACGACCTTCTCCATCTACTCCGAGGCCTTTCGAGGAGTCCCATCCGAATTTTGCGAGGTAATTCGAGCCGAACCGTGCGGCATCTATATGTGCCTTTAGTGCACGGAACGTAGTTGAGTCTAGGAGAACACACCATCTGCCCAAGACAAATTTCGGGGATCATTCGGGATGCGCTGCTTAACTTTTCTGCCTGAAAGACCCATGCTGAGTGAGAGGGACAGTGAGATGAGGATTGCGCTTCTGTTCTGGGCAGAGGTGAAGACAATAAAACTCCGGGATGAAAGTTTGACGCTCAATTAGTCAGCAGCAACGCTTCCACCTAGCCAGTTCTCGGATTGTATCTCATAGATGCCAAGTCCAAATATTACAGTGGTGGTACATATGCGTATACACCCTAGTGCGGATAGATAGAAGGGAAAGGAGGAAAGAACTGCGTTGCAAACAAGCTCCAAGCATAGGCCCATGTATATATAAACGAGAGCAGCCTTCAGAAGGGCATCCGACCACCCCCTCCCCAAGCGGTCGCGAGAAGAAACGCCGCGTCAACTACAGATCAGAACACCATATCTCCAACTTGCCCTCAGCCTTACCCTTCGCGTTCTCGCGAGCGGTCTCAATAGCAAGTTCGAAGTCAGACTCGTCGCGAAGGGTTACTTTGCCACCATCTTCGTCCTTAAACTTGAGGCCGAGGTCCTTGCCAAATTTCGCCGCAACCTTGTCCATGAATTCAGGGAAGGGGGTGTCCGGGGATAAGGTCATTCCACGAGTGTCGTCCTGGTAATGGAGCTTCCGAAATGAAATGAATGTCAGCAACGGGATATCTGAATATTGGACAGACACAAACCTTGACGCGGATAAGGCTGAGTTCTAAAGGACCGTCATCATATTCTCCGCTGCCATAACCCTCTTCCTCTTCTTCGTAGGTGCTCTGGATGCGACTGGATGCCCGAGGGTTCCGCCTCGTTCCTTTCCGTCTGAGAGAACCTCCGGGGCCGCCATAAGAACTGGGAGCGTACTGACTGCCGGGAGCACTACGCGAACCCGTACGACTGAGGGGAGGATAGTTGGGATTGGCGTTGTTACGAGCCCAGGCGCCGACACGATCGCTTGGTGGTGGTGCATTAGGAACAGGAGGGGCTCTTTCAGCAGCATAAGAGTCTATGTAATCGTCATAGAACTCCGTAAGACGGTCGTTTTTGTCTAGATGCGTGTAAGCATGGAACTTGACAAGCCAAAGGAAACGTACCTTTAGACGGCGGGGGAGGTGGATTGCTGGGAGAGGCACCGGGCTTCCTGACGCTCAAGCCTCGAACTGGACCGCCGATGCTGGCGTTGGGAGAAGGACGAGCAGGGGTGATCTGAGTATTACTCCTCGTGATACCAGCACCTGGACTAGTTGCCTTCGGTGATAGTCTACCACCACCGAGTTCTCTTCCGGCGCCAGATAGCCCGCCAGGGGTGGTCCTCGAGCGCTCAACACCAGCTGATCTAGGACCTTCTGCAGGTTCTGCACAACGCGGAAATCAATAACCGTTGATCACGAAATGTGAGACTCCAAACACATACTTATTGCAGTTGACACCGGGGGTACGGTTGCGCTGCGTAGGAGACCGCTTGACGGAGCATCATCCAACAAATCTGGCCGATCGAGTCGCAATCCAGCAGGCGATATTCCTTGTTTCAGACGTGTGACACCCGAGAAAGTTGTATATGCATCACTGGGATCCATCGAGGCCACAAGTTTCTAAACAGACACGAATGAGGTAGATGGCACATGATGGCTGTGTCAACTCACGGCTTTGCCCATGTAATCTCTCTGTGTTGAGTTCTTGAGTTTCTTCTCCGATGGACGGTACAGGACACCAACGGGCTGCAAGAGGTTTCAATGGAGACCACAAAGTTAATGGAAACACTTACAATGCTAAACACTGTATAGCCTTCACCGCGGTCTTGAATAGCGTCATCAATAACGTTATGCTCGTCCGTGGCCTTGTCTCTCCGGGCTTCTTCCATGTCTGCGATACCTTCTTGCAGGCGACCCATGTAGATTTGCGAAAGACCCTTGTTGAAAAGGACCTCAGCAGAGAAAAGACGGAATTTGAGTCCAAGCTGCTCGTAGTTTCTGGATATAAAATTGATAAGAAACAGGAAAATGCCCGAGCTAAGTCATGGGCGTACATGGCCTGATTTCCTCTCAAATACAAGAGCGCCTCCTCAAAATCTTTGTGCGCTAGTTCATAGCGCGCGAGTAGGAAGTTGGAAACCCCGCACTGGAAATAACTAAAGGAGACAAGAGGTGAGGACCCACGACCAGGGTGATCAAAATAAGGACGTACGCAACGGCCAGATATTGGTCTAAGTTGGTGGCTTCGATGAAGCGCTCTACGGCCGCCTCGTGTTCGCCCAATGTCGCATAAATGAGGCCCATATTAGTGAGAATCTTCGAGGAATCAGCGATTCGCTGCCGTCCAATACGATGAGCCAGAAGTCAAACTTCGTAAGCATAGGTGACGCACAGAGAACAGGTCCAAAGCCTTCTCGAAGTCCTCCTCGTCATATGCCTTCAGGGCGGCGGCCCATGTTTCAAGTTCGGCCTTCAAGGACATGTCGGGCGTTCCAGACGCTCTGGAGTTGATTGCAACGAGGGACGATTAGAAAAAGAGTAAAAATAAGAGAAAATTAGGGCAAGGAAGGAGAGGAGACGCAGTCTCGGGGTGGGGCAGAAGCGAAAGGATGAGAACCTTTGGTGGGATATTTAACTTGCGGAGAGGCTTTCACTTGTTCTTTGTATCAGTGATTCTGTTGTCAAGATGTATGCGGCAACGGCCGAGGGCAGCAGTCATTCTTGCCATTTCCTTATATATAACCAAGGGAACAAAAGGATCATCGCTGCGGTTTCCGCCAGACCCTTGGCGCTCCTCCGGGTCTATCTAGACATCACTAGATTCCAGCCAGACCCAGCCTACACCGCTAAATGAGTCTTATAGCATCCTCCCTCCCTCCATTAAGGATGGTGTTCAACGTGCGTCGTGGATTTAACTTTTTGGCTGATGTCATGTCAGGTACTGAGATAGCAACCCAAGAAAGGTACTAGGTACCTCGGACCCTTCAGTGGCCTACTGTCGTCAAACAGCCAACCCTCGAGGTCTCATAATGGCACTCAACAGCGTACAACCGTCATCCTGATACTGCGCAACTGACACGGCAAGTTGAGGTGGGTCCTCCGGGCAATGAGGTGGATCAAGTGGCAATCTCAGCGAGCATCGTCTAATATTATTATTCGTGATGGTGGCATCAATAAAGTGAACGTTACATATGGTTGGGAAATAAGATAAGCTGCATGCAATGATATAAATACACTGTCCTGAAAGCAAAAACTCGACCAAAGCAAGGACACTAGTAACCAGTCGGGCGGGCGCTCGTCTTCGAAGTGTCGTATGCGCGGATGATCTTCGCCTGGTCTTGCTTGCCCGCATTCTCCGTTTGTGTGAAAGCAAAGCCACGGTTGCGGCGCATGCGCTGGGTCGCGCGGACCTTTTTGATCGCCTTTTGGAACCTATGGTGTCAAATATATGAAAAGGGATGGCGGGAGGCGGCCAAGGAACTACGCACTGTTCTTGTCTTGGTCGGTAGTCGGGTATGTTGTATTTCTGCAGCTCTTGCACAATGTGGTACGATGATGGCATGTATGTTCGTCGGTAGCTAGAAATGTGGGTCGGATAGCGTTACTTGTAGCAGAGAAATCAACTTACTATTTCCATGTGAAGTCGCGAACAAGGCAAAAGAGAGGAATCATGATTAGGACAAAATAGAAAACACTGTTTGTCCAAAGAACGGGTACAATGCCCTGGTACTCTGTCGAGAACCCAATGGCAGGGGCGACAACCGCGTAAAGGGGGAGGAAGAGCATGGTGAAGATGAAAGAACCAGGTATTGCTAATAGAACATCAGCGTCACTGACGGCAGAAACGAGTCGAAGACACGCACCGGCAACCGTGTATTTGGTCCACAAACTGAAGATAGACGATCAGTCTTTCGGTAACTACGAAGCAAAATAAACGCACTCGGAAATAAGCGCAGCTTTCCCCAGCACGGTCAACAATACCGCAAGGTAGAGTGTCGTTCCCCAGAACCAATGTCCTGAGTCAAGACCATCGGAAAGCTTGAGGTCACCCCAGAAAAGGATGATAGAAAATCCGTAGAGGATCTGGTATTGAATGAATATCTCGTGCTACATAAATTGAAACAAATCCCACTGACCAAGCTATGGTAAAGCGCATTGATGACCCAAAGCCAAAATGAGGTTTTTGTGAAGAATTCGTTTTTCTGGCCCAGGACATATAACTGAGGGTAGCGGTCCAAAAATCTTGCTGATACGAACTGGTCGAATATTCCAATAACGAGGGGTGGCAGGACAGTGAAGACAACATTGTACAGCGACAACGTCCATGATTCGTAGGCGATTTGTCCGGAGAAATTGTTGAAGAACGAATACTTAGCATGGCACATTCACATTATCGCAGGATCTGTGAAGTTCACGGTAGGGGCTTACCCAAAATTGAGTCATGTACAAAACAATGTTCTTGTAGAAGGAATCTAGTAGCGATATGAAAACAGACGTGACAAAATAGACACGCTACTCACAAAGAATCAGTTTTGAAAGCCGTCTGTAACTCCATGAACCATGAACAAGCAGCAGTTTCTTCAAGTAACGGAATTGAGATATCGCGACATCAGCGGAACGAGCAGCTTGTAGACCCTGAGACAACATCAACTTTCTTTCTAAGAATCTGAAGAGGATCGCACCTCAACTCCAGAAATGCCGACACCAACATGGGCAGCTTGAATCATACTAACGTCGTTAGCGCCGTCGCCTATAGCCAGAAGAATAGCCTTCTGATTCTTTTTCACCAGCTTGACGACTAACGCCTTCTGCAACGGGGAGACACGGCCTACAAGGATCATTAGAGGCAACACGAAATGACAAGGGACTTGGGACCCACAACATATCACTGCTTTGCACATGATGGCGAGCTCAAGAAACACTTTTGACATCTCCTTCTGAAGCGCAAACCCAAGGCTTTTACCATCTGGTAAGTTGATCAGAGATGATAGGAACGGTCAAAACCAACATTATACCCACCAATAATCAAAGCTAAATCCTCCAATTCGCCTGTACTCCTCTGGCTCTTGATGGCGGATAATCGTTTTGTCAAAAATTCCTCGGTATCACGGGCGTTCTCCTCATTGACGATGACCTGAACCCACCATGTCAGATAGTCAACAAGACGTAGGGTAAATCCCACTTACCAGATTCATCGACTCTGATATAAGTCGACATGACATCCCTATGTTGATCGCGGTCTCTTGCCTATCACCCGTCAGAACCCAGACCTTGATGCCAGCCATTTGAAGAGTGTGGATGGTGTCTGGAACCCCGTCCTGCAGTTTGTCCTCGATGGCCGTGGCACCCAGCAGAAAGAGATCCTTTTCGATCAATTCTGCCGCTTGATCCAGGGCGTCTCCTCGTCCATTGATGGTCGCTGCGGCTTGATTGTAAATGACAGACCATTGTTGGTACTCTTGTTCGGGGATCTCGCGGAAGGCGATGCAAAGGGTGCGGAGACCTTCAGTAGCGTAGTCCTGTGGAGGATGTTGGGAGAGCCAACTAACAGTGAAGATAACACGCACCTCAAGATGAGAAAGAGTCGCCTCAGTATAAGGCTGATTCTTGCTTAGACGTTCCAAGATAACTGTATCGGCTCCCTTGGTATAGAGTTTAATTTTCCCATCCGGACCTCTGACGACTGTTGACATGCGCTTCCGAGTAGAATTGAATTCGCAGACATTCAAAATCTCGAACTCCTGGGATTGGCCTCGGATAGTCACAAACACGGATTTCGGTTTCCTCGTCTGCGAGAAAGGAGTCAAAGTTTTAAGAGTTAATCAAGAAGATTTTACACGTACCCGGAATTGGAAACCAAGGAGCTCGGCCCCCGCGACCAGTGCTGCTTCGTCCGGACTCGATGCCTGATACACCATCTTCTCGTCTTTAAGTTCTGGGATGACTGTGTGACAGACAGCCAAGAGTGTTAGAAATTCCTGGAGAACCTCTCTTTCTCGTTCCTTCCCCGACGAAGCGGTTGAGGATGATGGCTGGTCCAAGAACGGATTACTGACGCCATTCAGCACTGATTGCAATTCAGCAAAGGTTCGCCATCCTGGTCGTCCATCTTCCCCCTCTCGCTTCGATTCGTCAACAACTTCAGCGTAGGCAATACCAGCGACACTACAACAGCGAAATTCCATCTCGTTGCAAGTCAGCGTTCCGGTCTTGTCGCTGAAAACATATTCAATCTGCCCCAGCTCTTCAACGAGAGATGACGTGCGGCACAGAGCAGGTGTGTCCGTCTTCGCATAATACATATCGAGATCGGAATTAATCAATTGGGCTTGTTGGAATTTGACAACTTCCATGGTGACGATGAGAGAAATCGGGATGAGATTGTTGTAAAGGATGATGAAGGTGAGGATATCTGGCAGAATCAGTACTCAGTACTCGTCTTTCCTCTTCCATCGCCACACACCTTCAATAAATCCTTTCGCTATAAAAAAAAGTCAGAAGGGCACCGATGCTACAGCATAATACTCACCTCGGCCGGAAAGTGACGTCGTCTCCATTAGATACCATTGCGCACTCGAAAAGAACCATGACCGAATGCTGCTTCCAATTGTGGAGCCCAAGGAGAGAGCAAGAAGCAGGATGAATAGAAATACGATCTGAACGTTGACCTGTCTCTCGACAGCAGTGCGCTTGATTGGTGCGGCACTAACAAGAACCTGTCAGCGAAGTCAAAAAAAGGGGCATTCACAGAGAATATCTTACGTTGCATTTCGCATTAATTTCGTCTCGTGCCCTGTAAAGACAGTAAGACCGTAAACCCAAGGGGTATTGCGCAGTTGTGCGCCACGCAAAAGAACCTGGTCAGGCCCGAGAGGGACCTGCCTGGGAACGCCGCCATCCATTATAAGGTCCAATGTACCTTCGTACGTGTACAACGAATTATTAGGGTGCTCTGAGCGTAAGGAACCATGAAGAGAGTTAACGAGCGAAGGATTTGTCAGGGTGGAGGTATGGGTTGAGGCTTGCTTGATCTTGAGATTGGTTTCGCTGTTCCTTGTCAGTGATCGAACCAAACTAGAGGTAGAACAACGACTCACCCATCTAGATTGGAGGTTTCAATGTAGCACAGTCCCTCAGGCTCACTCGAACTTAAAAGCAACATGTCCGCTGGGATGAAGTCATTGCTTTCAAGTCGAACCACATCTCCAACACGAATGTCCTTCCATTTCCTGTCCGCGAATGTCGATTGCGGCGAGAGAACTTTTGCTTTCCGCGAATTTAGTTCGCCGTCTGATTGGTGGCGTTTCTTCGCTCGAGGTTCAGGACATGACGGAGGCATTAAATAGTTGCAGCTTACCAGATCTTCTTGAACTTCTTTAAAAGCCGAAGCCATTAAGACAACTGCCAGTGGAGCAATCGTCGTGTACTTATTTGTAGGTGAAACGCCGGGTATTTGTTGAATGCATGCCGTGAATAAGAAGAATAAATTGGCGTATTTTGAAAATTGTTCTACGAAGGAAGTAAGTTTCAAAAAGCGCAGGACAAGAGGTGAACGCACCAAAGAGGAACTTTGGCAGAAACGTCACAAGATTGTATTTGCTCGTTGAGACGAAATTTGAGCAATATTCCGTATTGGCAATGGGGTTGTTGAGAGCAACCACCCTCTCCCCGGTCAATGCTTGCTCTTTCTCCCATGGCCATCTCCACTTTCGTGATTTGAACCTTGAAAACTTGGAGACAGGTATCGTAGGTGGGTTTGTAGAAGAGGAGCCGGGGTAAGATTGTCCGTTTCCGGGAAGAAAGTCGTCATCGTCAAAGTTCCATCCTTGCGGAAGACCATTGGATGAACTGGAAGGGCCTGTGCCAGCAGGAGGCGCTGCAGAACGCGCTAACGGCAGACCGCTTTCTTTGGATTGCATTGGGGCTGGTCTTCCAAATGCAGAATCGGGCAGGTTGTCATCTTCATCGTCGAAGAAAGGGTCCATGAGTTGCGGCGAACGATCGGAATACGGGCCTGCCGTAGTACTGGCAGTTGAGGGAGGATAACCATTGGCGGGCTGGTACTGTCTTGTCGCAGGATTCGCCTGCGACACTAGCCGTAAAAAGTCCTCACTCATGGTGGTGGAGAACGATCAGGCTGCCTGAAGAGAAGAGAGTTGTATGTAATGCTATGCCGCTGCATGAACGCCGCAGTCTCGCAACCGGTCACGCTCTTGCCACACACCCGCAAATACACCAACCTTATCCCAAGTCCTGTCAGTGTCTCGATGACGTTACGCCAACGTCGCGTGCCGATTAAGTATGGCTCTCCTCACCAAGAGGAAGAATGCCGGCAAATCTGGAGACAAAGCAACAGACAAGACACAGTTCTACGAAGCAGGAACGGACGAGTCGAAAGAGAGGCTACGAGAGGAAGTAACGCAATTGAAGCAGAAAACGGAGGTACGAGCGTCGCCTATCGCGTCCAAACCAGATAAATGACGGGACGCGCAGCGCCCGTTCTATAAGACAGGCCGCTTTCTCTTTCCACTTGGCATTTTCTGTGCGTAATTCTTCAACGGTATTGTCTGCTGAAACCTCAGAATGCGTCAAGTTGGAACACTGCTAGGACTTGCTTTTGTTGAACCTAAAGACATCGAAGACCTTCAGCTTCAAGTCTCAACGCTTGTAAATCAATACGACATCAATCTCCCCCAATTGCCAGGCTTCGACCTCTCTCGAGTGGAAGCCGAGTGGACGCGTTTCCGGAATAGTGTCCCCGAGTTCTGGAAATTCAACAACGATGGTCGAGAATTTCAAGTTGGAGAAGCAATGAAAGCGCGGGGTCTGTCGGCTCAATTTCCGGTGGTTCTCATTCCCGGCATTGTGTCTACCGTGAGTTATGAAGTTTCTTTATGGCGAGAACGCCCTAAGCGAGTACCTCAGGCTCTAGAATCATGGTCAACGGCCCCTGAATACCGTCCTTTCTTCCGTGAAAAATTATGGGGTGGCTTCAATATGCTCTCTCAGGTCACTTTCAACCGGGAAAGATGGATATCTGCCATGATGCTTGACCCTGTTACTGGCCTTGACCCTCCAGACGCCAAAATTCGAGCAGCAGAGGGTATAGACGCAGCCAGTTCTTTGATTCAAGGTTACTGGATATGGTACGAGTTTGTCTGCTCGTCATCTATCTATATCTTCACAATTTTATTTTTTAAGGTCAAAAATCGTCGAGAACCTGGCCGTTGTAAACTACGACACGAATAATCTGTATCTTGCACCTTACGACTGGCGGTTGTCCTATTACAACCTTGAAGAGCGCGATGGGTACTTCTCCAAGTTGAAGTCGACGGTTGAGAATCTCAGGTATAAATACCCTTAAAGCTGCGCGTGCGTGATATCTAGCCCGCTCGTTTACCATACAGGCAGCGCCAACGCAAGAAGGTTGTTATTGCTGCGCACTCAATGGGATCTACTGTGAGTACTTTGACGCGGAGTTCTTTCTGTGAAGCCCAGGGCTGAACGCAGTTATCCAAAGATTTTGTTGGTACGTCATAATGCCTACTGAATCCACTGCTCGCTCACTCGACGCAGTACTTGTGAGAATCGTGTTGCTTTCTAGTTGTAACACCGCTCAAAGTCAAGCTCAGTTTCAAATGGGTGGAATCGCCTGATCATGGCAACGGAGGGCCGACATGGGTAGAGGTAAGGCTCATCCCCTTCTTGGTGTTTCCCCGCTCAGTGTTCTTCTAGGATCATATTGAGGCCTATATCTCGATCGCAGGAACGCATTTGGTACGTTATAAGTACTTGTGTGTTTGTATACTGACTGGTCTCTGGAAACCATCTAACTCGCTGTCGCAAGGGTGTCGTAAGTGACCGCTCAGTCCTTTGTAGAAAATGCTCAAGATGAATAGGCTAAGGCCATGGCTGCCTTCTTGTCAGGCGAGATGAAGGATACAGTACAGATGCACCCAGCTGGTGCTTATGGTGGGTTTAACTTGAAATTCCCTGTAGATATGAACTTAGTGCCTTTCCTGGTAGTTTTGGAGCATTTTTTCTCTCGTAAAGAGCGGCAAAACCTGTTTCGGAGTTGGGCTGGTAGTGCCAGCCTGTGGATAAAGGTAAATTTACCTTGGTACGATTCGCACCCATCCCGAGATGCTGACATGGGTTGTTACCAGGGTGGCAACGTCATTTGGGGCAATGGCACGCACGCAGCTGACGACGAATGTGATGCCTCACATAGTCACGGGGAACTCATTGCGTTCAGAGATACCGCCCTCCCAGATAACGACCCGGAGAGAAGGAACATGACCGCCGAAGACGCTTCAAACTGGATTTTGGAGCATACGCCGTCGACGTTCCAGGTGGGTGCGTCAGGTGTGGCGTCCTTCACCGTCTTACCGGCATATGCAGAAAATGCTTCAAGCACATTATTCTTATGGCATTGAACGTGATGAAAGGCAGTTAAAGCGGAATGACGCCGATCATAGAAAGTGGTCCAACCCGCTGGAAGTGCGGTATGATACTTCAGCTACATTATCTTCCAGCCAACTAAAGATGGGACTCGTAGGCTTCCAAATGCGCCATCTATGAAAATTTACTGCGTGTATGGCCATGGCAAAGAAACTGAGGTGTGTTGATCTCCGCATGCTTCATTCATTTGGTTTCTAATATCCACCGCCAGCGTTCATATTGGTAAGGCTTTCGCGACATTCTGTCTCTATTACATGTGTGCCACCCACCTTCAGGTATGCGCGCGGCCAATATGAGAGAGACGAGATCACACTGGATGCTGTGAACGCCTCGTGCGTAGAACCTGACATGCAAGGCTGCATCAGCTCGCGGCCGCCGTTAGATTTTCCCATGTCTAGGCGAAGTTGGATAGACGCGGCGTACACCAACGAGACTGCCCTGCCGAAGACACGGAACGGCGTTAAGATGGGTGAAGGCGATGGGACCGTCAGTCTCCTGAGTTTAGGCGCGATGTGTGTCGAGGGTTGGAAGCGTAAACAATGGAATCCCGCCGGTATCAAGATCACCACAGTCGAGGTACGTACCCAACACCTTCTATAGAGCTCCTGCCTTCTGAATCGGTCCGGTTAGCTGCCTCATCGCCCAGTTGCGACGATTCCTCGTGGCGGTGCTAATACAAGTGACCACGTCGACATCCTTGGTTCCACAGGCTTGAATGAAATTATTCTCAAGGTGGCAACTGGCGTCGGCCACGAGATAGAAGACAGTTTCGTTTCGAATATCAAGGAATATGCGCGTAAAATACAGTGGGACTGATTCCTTTATGTATGCCTTCTTCAATACCGTAATGGGCGTATAATTACCTCCAAGCCTCCTAGAGAATGGACAAGGTCTACAATAGACAGGAAGTTCTAACCCTACTGCTGCTCGTCCTTCAGCGTGCCGGTGACATATTCGACAACACCATGGACAGTAGCCAAGTAGCTTTCCACCACTTTCTGAAAGGGAGCGTCCATCTTGGGAAGATGCTGCCGCTCTTGTAGTTCCTCCGTTTGAAGGACCTTTTCGTAGGACTGACTGGAAAGGGCATAGAGTAATTGTTCATCTTCGGCATGTTCAAGGAGGCCCACGCAGTGAGATGCTGCAGCACGAAGTTGGTCGATATCATGCGTGGAAAGTGCATAATGAAAAATGTGCGACAGCTTAGCAGGTTTTTCTGCTAAAGGGTCGAGTACAGCGAAGTATTCATTCCACCGAAGCCAGAAATCGGTATCGGAGTCGTGAAACCACACTTGAAGGACATCCTGAGGAACACCAACAGTTAGCACCAGATGGGCTGGGGAAATAAATGCAGGACTCCTACAATCGCGCAGCATATGGATAGAAGTTTCATGAACATCGCGCGCCATTCAGCTGATGAGCCAGTGTCCACAAAAGCCTTGAAGTAACCTTCAGTTTCGTCACTCAACAGCATGACACTGGGATCTGGGTTATCTTGATAGTAGCTCTGGATTGAAAGAGCATTGCTCGCTATATTGATAGCGCGGAGTCGATGAAATTCGGCCATGGTGAGCAAACGAATGAGGCCCGGTATCTGCTCGTAGATGGGTGTAGGATAGAGAATGCCTTTGATGGCATAAAGGATGATGTCGAGCGGCGGAATTCTCGATTTCAGCGCGTCTCCGTGTTCTGAAAGTGCGGCATCTAGTAAGTCTGACGCACGAAGTCAAACCAGTGCTTGTCAGACCTAACATCGAAGGCTGTGCGAGAGCTGAGGCCTGAGGGCTCACCAAGGATGAGCTTCCGAGCTTTTGAGACATCCGAAGAAGTTCCTTTCGAGAGTTCGACATTTTCTATCACAGCTTGAATACCTTTGAGTGGATCCATATACCCTGGGTGTGAGGGTCTGCATATGGAGAATGAATCGAAGGCAGAGTTATTTAGCACCGTCGCGACGAGTCCAAACTTCAACTTCGGGGCTCTTGAGGGCTGTCACGGACGCGTCGACTAACGGTTGTGACACTTTTGTCACGTGACCTTGATATGCTCCCACGTGGCAGTAGTGCCGAAAATCGAATCGGAAGCGGACAGGATCTTGTCTAAGACTCTTCTCCCTCCTCTCGGCTCTGGAACAAGCTCTCGACTTTCATACTAATAATAGTGTGCTCTGGCCTTTCTACTAGAGTACAATAACCGAAGAATGCTCACTCCCCCCCAAGAAATTTTCAACAAAGCTTCGGACACCTTGGCCTACTACGCCGTTCTCAGCAGTGGTGCGAAGTTTGAACTTGAACCTACCCCGAAAGTGTCTTTTGTGATACACGACAGAGGAAATATCCTTTCCTCGGTACTGCCTGTGTGCTCTGCACGACCGGACACTGCCCCCTTTGTTTCATCCGCGGAAGATGTAGGCTTCCAGAAGGACGTCTGTGAAGACATGGCAGTGATCGAGATTTTGGCGAACCTCACGATACGAGGCTCGCACACTTATCTCGTCTCGGAGGAGTAAATATCAGGGAAAGGCTTCGCTGGCCATGCATCGGGCAGGCAAGGTTTAACTGTGCGCTCACTCTGACAGAAACTGTCCCCGAGCATGGGTCCAGCCGGTCGTTTCATGTTTAATCTTGGTTGGAAGAGATTCCCGGCGTCCGCGGTCGACTCTGGCCGGCGCTTTCTGGAAGTGCACGTGGTGCCTTCTGTATTTGGAAATCAGCCTTCCTTTACGAGCCTTCTATATGTCGCCCCGTATTTAATCGCCATCCCCCTTGTGATCTTTCAGTAGTCTGTCTTTCCTTCCCCCCATCTCTTGGATCCATGCCGTCCACACTCAGTTCATCTCTCCCTCCCAGGGTATTTTTTCTTTACGATCGTGGTCGCCACGCGCTCACATCTCTCGCGTTTATAGCACAGCCAAGTTCTTGTCATGGGCGGCGGTCCTGCTGGCTCCTATGCCGCTGCTGCACTTGCTAGGGAAGGGATTAATGTCACCCTGCTCGAGTTTTCTAAATTTCCTCGGTGAGAATCAGCGACTTGTCTTCAGCGGCGCGTCCTGACTGTATGCGGTAGTTATCACGTTGGCGAGAGTCTAATACCGTCTGTCCGACATTATCTTCGTTTCATTGGCGCCGAAGAAAAAATGATAAATCATGGGTTCGTCAGAAAGGTTGGCTTTTGGCTCTCGATTTCTTTATCTCTCTTGATAGTAGCGATTCCAGCCTGGGTCAGCGATCAAGTTTAATCAGTTCAAACGTGAAGGGTGTAAGTTAGAGTCTACCGCAGAAGATACTCCTGACCACAATTTTGAATCTCTCAGACACCGATTTCGTTGCTCTGGGGCACAATAATAATGCATGGAACGTGGTAAATATTTTCCTCTTCCGAGTAGTCGAAGCGCTGACTTCGAAAAAGGTTCGGTCAGAATTCGACCACATGCTCCTGAACCATGCCCGTTCTTCAGGGGCATCAGTGTACGAGCAGACAAAGGTTGAATCAGTGTCATTCTCTTCCGCGGATCCCGACATCCCCGTTGCGGTATCATGGACGCATACCCCTCCCCCTTGTCCTCCTTCTCCCCCACCATCCCCGGTTGAATCAAAGTTCTCTGGAATGTTCTCCTCTTCTCCGGAAAGTCTACAAGCACCCATACGCGGCGAGACTAGTTTTGATTACCTCGTTGATGCAACTGGACGCGCTGGCATTCTGTCCACTCGCTATTTTAAAAACAGGCACTTCAACGCCTCACTGAAGAATGTTGCGGTATGGGGCTATTGGCGCAATGTAGGTGAATATGGAATAGGGTCACCGAGACAAGGATCACCCTGGTTCGAAGCTCTGACAGGTTAGCTTTCCTTTGGCCTCCTGGATATCTTGTCTGCTCACCCAATATTTCTAGACGAGTCTGGCTGGGCTTGGTTTATTCCTCTTCACAATGGAACGACTTCAGTTGGGGTCGTGATGAATGAGAAGATCTACAAAGCCAAGCTGCAGCATCCGTTGCCTCCTTCTCCCTTTCCGGAGAGGAATGCACCCGTGCCACCCGGTTCAACCATAACCGGACGGTACTTGTCTGCTCTTTCCACGGCACCTGGCGTCGTGAAATTGATCACTTGCTCTGGGATGCTGGAGGAAGGAAGCGTCAGGAATGCAAGCGACTTCAGCTATTCTGCACCGTCATATGCTGGAAGAAGGTACAGGATTGTGGGCGACGCGGGAGGTGAGATGAACCACATCCCGGGTGACCCTTGTGACTGACGACAACGATCAGCTTTCATCGACCCCTTCTTCTCGAGCGGAGTTCATCTTGCCATGACGTCGGCGCTATCTGCTGCCGCCACCATTTGCGCTTCTCTTCGAGGGCACTGCCCGGAGCATCTGGCGTCAGAATGGCATACACGACGTGTTTCAACCAGTTACACTCGGTAGGCCTGCCCATTGTATGTGCTGTCCATTTCCTGAACTTTCTGTAGGTTCCAAGTTGTCGTCTTAAGCGCCTATAAGCAAATCCGCTCGCAAAGTGACGACGTTCTATCTGACATAGACGAAGACAATTATGACCGTGCATTCTCTTTTTTACGGCCAGGTTCGTGGCAACGCATTCGCCACCAGTTCTAATATGTTGATATTCTGAAAGTCATCCAAGGCGCTTCAGATATGGGGGCCCGCCTCTCGGAGGCGGAATTGCAAAAATCCCTTGACTTCTGCGTGAAGCTGTTCAATCCAACGTGCCCAGAAGAGCACGAACGTGTTTCCCAGCGCACTGCGGTGGCAAAAGAATTGCTGGATGTCGCAGCCCCGATCGTCGACCCGCGCATCTTTGAAGATACGCTCAACGTTTCCCTTCCCGCCCCTGATGGAGAAGACCCAGCCAACTCGTCCGACAATGAAAGAGCGGTCGAAACCAGAATGGTTTTAAGCAAAATAAATGCCAGACGTGTCGTTCACTTGGAGTATGCTATCAATAATTTCGAACTGGAACCACTGGAGGGGTATGTTGTAAAGCTGGAACGTGGAAAACTAGGTTTGACCATTGCATCTTAACTTTCTTCTTTATGCAGCGTTCTTCATTTTATAGCATGCTGTTAGCTGCTGCTCGTCTGTATCAAAACTACATGGGCGGTTTCATTTTCCTTATCCTTCTGCTTTCTTCGTCGTTGTCTGTCGTCCGTGTAGCATATATGTAGCCCCAAACCCCTTCCCTAGATTTCCACCTGTTTTTGTATCCCTACTTTTCAATCTACGTTTCGGTCGAAATTCGCCAGTTGCTTCAGGTCTAATCGTACCAATAGTTTTCGAAGGCTCATCATTAATCATCGTGATATGCATGAGGGTCGTAAAGAGGTCGTGAGGTGCTAGTAGAAAGAATTACGTGGAATCAATAAAATAAAGGAGGTCACGGTGATGCGGGGACGACTATAGAAAGCCAGTGTGTGGAATATTCCTGTCTGTAGGTTGTCTATTATAGATAGCCTGAGGCATATACGTCCGATCATCTGAGTAAGTAGATGATGGCAGACCTACAGCCGGCCAAGACAGCTGATTGTTGTCGTCACTCTCGCGGGCAGCTTCGCGCCGATGAACGGACTTTCGATGAGGAATGGGCGTACGTTCTTCCTCTGCAAGGGGATGCAGGATATCTTTGCGGGGCGTAGGAGGCGCCAGTCCAACATTCTGACCAGCATCTCTGCTTGGAGAGTCTGGGTTGCGACGAGGATCCAGGGGAGTTGGATAGACCAGGGCTTCGCGTGGTGGAACCCTGGATGATCTGGACCTGTCTTTGAACCGCTCCGATGTAGTGTCGATGGGTCGTGATTCAACTTGATACTGAACACCAGGGATGTACATGTGTAGGGACCGACCGTAGAAAGCGGGACTTTCAGTAAAGCTTTGGAAGTTGGGGGGAGGAGTCCCAAGACCCATCCGAGGCGACCTTGAAGTTCGTTGAGCCGACCGTGGTGGCGGTGACGCAGATACCATCGGCCACTGATCTCGGTAATGAGAGGTCCGCTGTTCATGATCATCCTCGATAATAAGGCGTTCACCTTCGGCGAATAGCCGATCCTGTTCATAATATTGATACGCCGCACTGCTGCCCGCGGAATGGGTGTTGAATGGATGCAGGATGCTTCGAGGTGGCCGATCGTCGATTTTGGGGTCAATATCGCTCGGAAGGTGACGTGCACCGGGACGAAATTGGCGGTTAGAATGCAGCTTCGAGGATTTGCGTTTGGATGGTAGGAGTTCTCGCCCTTCTTCTGGAGGTCCTGACTGAGATATACGATCGTAGATGGAACGCCACCACGAGCCTTGTCGTCGCCTTGCAGGTGGCAGATCAATGTCTGCTTTCAAATTTATCCTTCCAGGACCAACTATAAACGAGCATTAGCGGAAACTAAGGGACTATGGGAAGGCACTTGCGTGTGGGATATCCAAGCCTCTCTAATTCATGATCAATCTGTTCTTGCAGACCCTCGCTCCTCTCTCGTCTTGAGTTTAGGCCATATCGATCGTTCTTCCCTAATCCTAGCCATTGCCGCTGTCCTTCGATATCTACTTCCACCTCCTGGTCGACTTCGATTTCTACAGCCGGGAAAGTTACGTCATTGAGTTTAGCGTCCGTTTTATCCTCTTTCTCTGCCTTCGTGAGAGGTATTCCTAGTCCTGGTCTGGTTCGCCCGAAAGCCGACTCGTAATGAGCCGCTCTCTTTGCACCGAAATCAGGTGTAGGTTCCTTCCCTCGTATCTTTTCGTACATGTAAACACAACCCTCCCAAATCTCTCTAAAGGTCTCCCGGAAGTCCATTGCGTGACCAAGAGATCGCCATTGCGGCGTTTTGGAAGGCGGCGGACCTGGTTTAGAAGGGCTTTCCATGTACGGCTTGTAGGTGAAGGCACGGATGTGTAAGAAGGCGAACAGCCTAGTGATATGTCAACGACAATTATTTTGGGACTTTTCAGGCAGCCTACATCATCTCAAACGTCTCCAGTATAGCACCAATCCCGATGTTGATATCTTCGGCGGTCATGTGTTTCGTCTATGGCATTTGTCAGAGATATTAATACTTATCACCACCAATTGGAAGCCTACGCCTTTGACCACACCAAATATACTCAATACAGATAAGCCGGTGGCTTGCCAAAAAGTCAAAAAGACTGAAGACGCATGTGAGAGCTGTGTATTGATTATTGACCAACGCAATTTGCACTCACCAACAGCTTTTACAGAAAACAATTTCAACAAAGGTTTATGAGGGGCCAACTCTTTCGAAACCGGGATGTAGAGCTGGATGAGGCAGTACATAGCGACAGTGACGGAAATTGAGATAAGCAAAACGATCTGAAGAGGGTATAGTCAACTTCAGTGCATGTGTGTAGGAAGTTCGACGAACATAAACATGACCCCATCCAAAACCCCAGGAGCTCTCGCAGTAAAGACCCATATGATCCAAGATGACGGCGGCTAGGGTGGATCTGGACAAAAATGGACTAAGTTGGGTTTAAACAAAGAGGCAACCTGCACGCACGTAGGCCGTATAACACAGTATTGAAGAACGCCCCATTTCATGAGTTGTAGGAAATAAAGGCCGTCCTAACAACGAGAAATTGAACACTTTGGGCCAGAACGAAGATATCATACAAACCTTAGGCTTCCACTTCACGAAACCCATTGGCCACACCCACTTTGGAATCTTTCCACCCTTCTGTCTAGCCAGAGCGTCTGCCTCCCTCGAAAGACCTTTCTTGAGGAAAATTCGTCTTTGCTCTTCTGGGTCGTGAGAAAGGTACATAAGGAGCAAGTAGAAGAAAGCTGTCAAAACGATTGCTTCATATGCATCTCGGACCAGGATGATAGGCGTAGATTGATTCTTTCAGCAGACCGGTCAGAATACAACGATGAGTGAAAGTCGATAAAACTCACCCAGAACAAGAAAGAAGCGAAACTAACAGTCGCATATAAAGGCACCAAGAAGAGCAGACGAACGATATCTAGTAAACGGTAAGATGGAGCAGGAAGGTTGCGCACTATTTTGGACGTACAGCGTTGTTCGCGTTTCTAATGCAAACAAAAAAAAAACATGAGACGACGATTAGAGGTAAGTATCAGAAAGCCATACGTTGGTGTACCATTGTAGATGCTTGCTGATGAGCCAGAAGGAGACTACCGTGGAGATTAAAGCAAGAACACCGGAGATGATCCAACCAATCTAGTATCAAGTTAGATAGTATCTTTCAGGGAGTGATATGCTCTTTTACGTGGTAGACTATAGAGGAAGCATGAGCTTGCGGTCACCAGTGAGACCTTAACACACCTTGAAAGTTTATATTCCCGTTTTGAAAGAGGGGTGGTGGATCAATTTCCGCCCTGTGTTTAAAACATCGGTCTTCCGAAACCGTATGGTTCGACATGTACGGAGGTTGGGCAAGTATTTATTGGGCGAGTAGTTGATCCCGAAAGGTTCTGATTCTCCAGGAGGATGAGGAAATAAGACTTCAATGGGTAAAGTCGTGAATGGAACAGCAGGAATGCTCGGTGTCGAGAGTGAAAGGGTATCGCAAGGTCGTAGACACAATTAACGAGCGAAACAACCGTCCTATCGTTCCACATGCAGTGTACTAGCACTTCAACCAAGATGCTGCCAAAGGGTCGTGGCCGCGAAGCAGAGAAATGAGACTCTGTACCCTGCTGCCATATCGGGACACCTTGCCCACGGCGGCTCTCAGACAAACGCGCTGTAACTTCAACTTGTCCTCATCCATTCGTCACCATGCACCAGTAGACGCGTCGCGTTCAAGTGGGCCAAGATACAAATTACAATGCTTTCCTCCCCTCGACTTCAATGTTTCCGGCTTCTTGACATGATAACATTCTCAGATTGCTTACCTCTCGGGCCACAATAATGTGCCAGTGGAACTTCGGCCAAATGCCTCTTGCGATTGGCCGTCGCGGCTCATCTTCCGACAAAGCATCCAGTACGGTTCTATGTCTGCACTTCCTTCATTTTTTATATTCTCAGAACCCTCGTCTCCGCGGTGTTGACGTGAATTTCCATCCAGCTCTTCGTCGTCCATGTGCCTCCATGTGCACTCTTTGCACCTGTCTTTGTAAGGTGAAATATTTGTGGATTTGACCCAGTTATTGATGGAATCCTGACCCAAAATTAAATACAGCTCCAACTTATTCGAGACCTTGCCAACCGAAGCGGCTCAATATCAAGCGGCCTTCCCCATCAGCTTTGAGTTGGATCCACTGAACTCTCGACTAGCACAGTGCCTCACTCGATCCGAGCATTTGCTCTACGTCTTAAATCTATAAAACTGGGAGTGTATCGATTTTTCGTGCTGGCCTTTTTGAGGTTGTCGCAAGGGTCGAGCAAAGACCGTATGTGGATCGTTTTTCTCAGAACACAGTGGAGAGCTTTTAGGAATTATTGCTCTAGATGGTACCGGTGCAGCTCATGTGATGGCCTTCCTTTCATTATCTAGCACGACAGCTTGGGATAAGAAGTTCGATAGACATACCCCTTAAATTTAGCAACAGCGGCCCCACCCTCGCCATCCGGTATAAGATGTTCAACTAGTTCTCCTCTGGTGCTGTCGGTCTAAGGGGCCGACCTAAAATCGCCTGGAGATGATTGCCTTGTTGAATATTCTCCTCTTTTTCCTCGCTTTTTGTGCATCGTAACAGCAGTGGACGAAGATGCCTTCGACGGCATGCAGAACGCCATGAATATTCAACGAGAACAGATGATGCGCATGCAACATCTTTCGGCTTCTCCCAAAAATTCGCCAAAGGGTTCGACCATAACCTCCAAAAATCCTTCTGCAAGGCAATTTCTCGTTGACGGGACTAAGATATCTGATGGATCGGAGTCACCGTCTTTGATCTACAGGCCCGTGGCTTATATTCGAGTCGTTCTTCGATGCTGGTTCTTCTCGGGCAGGTTTGATGCCTCTCGGGTGCCAAGAATGAGACTCGGAAATTGTTTTTCTGGTGATTACCTCCGTTGTCCGCTTCATTCTCTCGCTCATACTTCATATGTCCAGGTTTTGGCCGACAAACAATCCTGCAAACACGAAAGACCTGGTCTTTTGGACCAACGGGTGACCTGGATGTTCGTCGCTTGAAGGATTTCTGCAAGAGAACGGTCCTATATTGTTTTCCTCGATCTTTCTGTTTTCCTCGAACTGCGAACTGCGAAAGAGAGAATACTTACTCAGAAAATCAACCTAGTCGTAGGGTCAATCACAGCCTACCCTGTAAGCCCATAAACTTATCCAATCGAGTTGTCGTTGACATCTTTTAGGAACCCCTGGTCTTGGACCAATCTGTCCCATGTACTATGTATGGGTCGAGCAGCCAGTTGGGGTACCTCGTTCCCATGATGGCCTCTTGACATCTGGACTTACTCTTTTGCATTTAGATCGGTTCCAGTCAAGGCGCTCCTAGCATTTCGAACGACGACGAGTTGGCAGCATAGCTGATGGGCTTCTTCGAACAGTTCTTAGATGTCTTCAGTGAGCTCAAGGGCAACAATTTATGGCTTACTGGAGAGACTGTAGGCTTCTGCATTTCCATCCGACTCTGATGTTACGCTCATCATACCTAGTATGCTGGGTTCTGTCAGTACAATTGCGGATCGGGTTTGGGTTTGGTAAGGATTAACAACACCCAAAAGATGTCCCTTACATTGCAAACTGGTACTACGAACACCCTGGATTGGACCTGTCGCTCAAGGGCATTTGGATTCGATCCTTCCTGTCCTATGGTCACTGATTGCCTCGACAAATTTGTTACGTACCCCCCCAGTTAGTCAACTTCCTCTTGTCGGAACAAACGGGACTTTCACGGTGACACCAGAGTGCCGAATTCATTCACCGGTCCAGCCGGCCATTGGAATGTAAGTGTCCTACCTGGAAGATCGGCGAATCATGCTCGATTGTCCTTTACAGCCTCAACCCGGTGTTTGACGTATATCGGTGTGTAGGGTCCTCCGGCCCTATTCCAGTTCCTCTCATACCCCGTGAAAATTCAAGGTGTCAGACACATGGCCAATTCTATGCAAAGCTCTTCCTTGCCCATTGACTATTCATTTAGGGAGCGTGCTCGGATTCCCTCGGTCAACTCAAGAATTCATCTACTTCAACCGGCACACCACTGTCTTCCTAACTGTCTGCTACTCTATCCTTACTCAGAATACAGAACTGATGTAAGGTCTTCCACGATACATTACCCTGCATCGCTCTTCAACGATTTAATAGATCCAAGACGCCATCCATGCTCCCCACAACTTGGAATTCGTGCTCCAACGGCGCTGTCTACGTCAATGAAACGACAGGGGCGCCAGGAAGGGACACCTCGATTCCATCAGCGCTCAGTGTTTTGCCGAACGTCATCGAAAAATCCGTCAGAACCGTCATAGTTCATGGACTAGCTGTTCGTCCCATTTCTAAGTGACGTCTGACATGGTACTGACACAATCTTCCAGGACTTTATCCTGATTGCAGAGGGAACACGTATTGCTATTCAGTGTGTTATAGCACCAGCGTCGACATCATGGAATTGACTGATCGTTGGTATAGAAATATGAGCTGGGGAGGTGCCCAAGGACTCCAAACCCCCATTGAAGATGAGACGTTCACAGTCCAAATATGGGTGTCTACGGGAACATGCACACCGAACGCAAACTCACCTGTGACCCCCATTCATTCCGAACTTTTCTGTAACTGAACCTCTTCCGTACAGACCTCGAGTTCTTTTTCAGCGGCCATATGACGCCTCGTCAGTGATTCTTCCCACTACCAGATGGATCAAACTTCTGATGTATTCCTTTAGAGTTTGTGCCCTGGGCTGCGTTCAACACGATGGCCTACCTCTTGGGAAGGCAGCCCTCGCCCGCCACTTAATTGTACCATTTCTGTACCGAATAGTCTGTGTAGTGCTTGAAATAAGATTTTTCAATTTCGCTTGAGCGGCATGCACGGCATGGGAAAGAGTCACGCTGTCCAAAAAGTCTCCGAAGGTCCAAGGAGGGACGACCGATCAATTTCATGATCATGATCTGACCTTTCCGCCCCTCCTATATCTATCGTTCCATTCTCTACTTGTTCCTCCTAGGACTCCCACCTCAGGACTTCCACCTCCTCTACCCATCATGGCCACGGAAACTCTCCCCAAGCATCTTGCAGAACCGATTGATGTTCTTATGATCGACAACTTCGACTCATTTACCTGGAATCTCTATCAACAACTGTGTCTGCACGGTGCAGGGGTCACTGTCATCCGAAACGGTGCCATTTCACCCTTGCAATTCCCTCGGCTTAGGATACGGTCGCTCGTTATTTCACCTGGCCCTGGTCACCCTCAAACCGACTCAGGTATTTCAAGAGCTGCAATCGAATATTTCCAAGGGAAAGTTCCCGTCCTCGGTGTCTGCATGGGGTTGGAGTGCCTGGTTGACCTTTATGGTGGAAAAATTGGGTGAGCACCGCGTCTTTGTCTTTCAAGACCCAGGGCGGAGAGAACCAAGCGAAACACGCGTCGAGCAACCCTCGGACGCTCGTCTATTTCACTATTTCACTACTTCCTATACGTCTCCATTTGTCTATCGAAGAGTCTTGTCTGAATCGTTCGATTACAGATATGCAGGCGAAATCATGCACGGCAAAGTCAGTCGTATACGACACGACAATCGTGGTTGTTTTAGGGATATCCCTCAAGGCATCAAATCGATTCGATATCATTCATTGAGCGCCGCACACACGACACTACCCGCTGAACTTGCGATCACCGCTGCCACTGAGGAGTCCGGTGTAATCATGGGGGTCCGACATCGAAAGTATACCGTCGAAGCCGTACAATATCATCCAGAAAGTATCCTCAGTGATGGAGGCAATGATCTCATCCGCAATTTCCTCTTATTACGCGGAGGGCTTTGGGAAGATAACCCAGAGGCCAGAGTACTCGACAACACACTTCCGCCATTCCCATATGAGGCGCTCCCCAAGGAAATAAGCTCGAAGCCAGGAGCTACGACCAAAATTCCTTCAATCTTGGAGAAGATCTACACGCAGAGACTGGCCGACGTTGCGCAAGCACAAAGCACCCCGGGCACAACACTGACTGACCTAGAAACACTTCTGTCCCTCAACATTGCGCCACCACTCATCCCATTTGTATCTCGGATAAAGCAGACAGCACCCGGACATCCGTCTCTCTTCGCAGAAATCAAGAGAGCGTCCCCTTCGAAAGGCCCTATCTCTGTCAACACGTCTCCGGCAGCTCAGGCGCTTACCTACGCGCTTTCGGGCGCGCACACAATCTCCGTGTTGACCGAACCGAAATGGTTCCTGGGCTCGTTGCAAGACATGCTGCATGCTCGCCTTAGTGTCGCACACCTCCCCAACCGACCCGCCATCCTCCGAAAGGACTTCATTCTAAGCCGGTATCAGGTTTTGGAATCAAGATTATGGGGAGCAGACACCATCCTTTTGATCGTGAGCATGCTCCCCGAAGCATTGCTTCACGATCTGTACGCCTTCAGTCTGGAACTGGGCATGGAGCCGTTGGTAGAAGTTAACAACGCGAAGGAGATGCAAATCGCACTTTCATTGCCGGCGAAAGTGATTGGCGTCAACAATAGGAACCTGCACGACTTCGAAGTTGATATGAAAACCACCAGTAGACTGAGCGACATGGTGGCTGGCAAAGACGTGATACTGTGCGCATTGAGCGGAATTGCCGGTCCCGAAGACGTGCAGAAATACGCGTCTGAGGGCGTCGGCGCGGTGCTGATTGGGGAGAGCTTAATGCGCGCGAAGGACACGGCCGCATTCATCCGCGAGCTGTTCTCTATCCCTGCTCCCAACCCCATCTCACCCAAGTGGAATTCCCACCCTCCTCTGGTCAAGATATGTGGCATCAGAAACAAAGAAGAGGCGCTGGCCATCGCGGACGCAGGCGCTGACATGCTCGGCCTGATGTTCGTCGAAAGCTCGCAGCGCGCGATCGACATCAACACCGCGAAGGAGATCTCTCAAGCTGTCCGAAACCAGCGCTTCGACGCCGAACCTACCGAGTCCGAGCCTTCCACTCCAGAGGACACCAACGTCCCGTGGTTGTCTGCGCACGCCACGCGCCTCTCACTGTCTGCGCCACACACCCGCCCGCTCCTCGTCGGCGTCTTCCAAGACGCACCACTTGAAAAGGTTCTGCAGATGGTTGCCGACGTCCAGCTCGACGTTGTCCAACTGCACGGATCAGAACCGGTCGAATTCGCTCACCACATCCCCGTGCCCGTCATCCGCGTGTTCCACCTCGGCACCGCGGATAAGGAGCGTGGGGTTGTCCCGAACATCACGCGCGGTGGCGCGCATCACTTTGTCTTGCTCGATAGCCTAAGAGATGACGGAGTGAGCGGCGGCTCGGGCAAGGCGGTCGACTGGGAGCTGGCGAAGAAGATTGTAGAAGACGGAGAGATCCTCTATGACACCGTCTCTGCTGAGAAGGAGAAAAAGAGCGAGGCAGGTGCACCTCAGCCTAATGGCTCGGGGGGTCATGCGACAAACGGAGATGCTCCCATCGAGCTTGCGGATGGCGTCGCGCCACCCAAACAGACCGCATTCCCGCTGCCCATCATACTCGCTGGTGGTTTGACGCCTGACAACGTCTCCGCTGCCATCGCTCAGGTACATCCCTGGGCACTCGACGTCAGTGGCGGGGTAGAGAACACCGACGGATGTGGCAAGGACCTGGAGAAGGTCAGGAAGTTCATTAACAATGCCAAGGGTGTCGTACCCTCTGATTCGGAGGACGAAGAGAGCGGAATAGAGGAGAATGTTCAGTCCGATGAGGACGAAGAAGTCGAAGAAGGAAATCAGGAAAATCAATGAGTGTAATATTTATCTTCGATCTGTTCCTCGTGCGGGCTCGTATGTGGCTTGTATGTAGTCGGTTAATTTCTAGCGGCTTGCGACGTTCGGCACGGTGCTCGATGTACTCTATACATATACCTCATTTTTGACTCTGCTACCCAAACCCTCCCTACGGAGATGGATTATAATCTCTCTAATTTTTGGCTACTCCAGATGCGTACACAAGATGGCACATTCGTAGTCGTGCGGGGTTTCTTCATATGGTAACCGCGCCACGGCCTTCTGATCCGGAATCACTGAAAATCCAGATCCTCTGCCGTTTACTTTGTCGATGTGTGCAAAATTCGCCCGTCTCGTCGATGAGCAACATGTACTACGTAACAACAACGATCGCGAAATCATATGATATACAGCAGGGTTTACATGTACACAAAAAAACACAAGAAGCTAATCGAATCCGTATCGAAACGACGGTCTGGCTAACAGATATCGGCAACACCCACATCCCTAAACTACCACAACGATGCTATCAAGATCGGCAAATGAGATCTGTATCGGGTATCCCTCTGTGAGTTCGCCTCCAAGCGTTTGAACGTCCAATTATCTCCTGGCGTTGTTGATATGGGTACTCGCGAGCTCGCGCTCAAGCTCTTCGCTAGGGTCATCCATGATTGGGCTTGGAGGTCTCGCGTGCGCTTTGGCAGCGGCGGTGAACCCAGACGTCGCCCCATGGTGTGGGCCGTACTCTTGCACGGGGGAGTTCATGATCTCGTCGCGGCTGGGAATGGGGAGGCTTTTGGAAATGAAGGAGAGGGACGATCAGATACGATGGACTTGAATGAATGTTGGATGTGGATACTGACCTGTCTTGTCGGCGGATCTGTCCCGCTGCTCTGGCCTGTGCGCGCACCTCGGCGCGGAAGGAGTTGACCTCGTCGATGATCAGCCTCTTCATGCCCTCGATGCTGTCCTCCTCCTCAAAGCCGAAGTCGAATTTCTACGATAAGAAGCAAGGCAAGTACGCGGTCGGCACCCACCCACTCCAGGATATACAACGAATGAGGACATACCGAGTCACAAACAGGCTCATCTGCGGGATCGTGCCACACCTGGAGGTATGGGTGATTAAGCGCCTGTTCACAGCTCATCCGCTTAGCGGGGTCGAAGCAAAGCATCTGCGATAGAAGATCGATAGCGAGTGGATTTGCTTGAGGGAAGAGCGTCGAAAATGGCACGCGAGGCTTGATCGGGAGCGATCGAATGTAATCTTGCGCCTGTGGGCGATAGAGACTTTCATTAGCGGTATCTGGGACGGGTATGCTATTGAAAGACATACACGGGGTGACCCTACCCTCCTAAGGGTGTCCTCGGATGGTGTCCCAAGGTAGTGCAAAATTTGATTGAGCTGGTCGACATAGCTTTAATTTCACCCCAGTTAGTTTAGATTGCAAAACAAACAGACAGGTTCTGATAGTTATACTCACTCCCTTCCCTTATAAATAGGCTTCCCCCCGAGAAGTTCGGCCAGGATGCATCCCACTGACCAAACATCGATGGCTGTCGACTGTGCATGTTAAGGCGGTCAAAGGGTAATTCGCCGGTAAAACGAGTGGGAGGGAACGTACGTAGTTGGCGAAGCTCAACATGATTTCAGGGGCACGATACCACCGCGTCGCCACGTATTCTGTCATGAAGCCCTGGTTGCCTGCTGCTCTCGATGTTCCGCCGCCAGGGGTATATCCTCTCGCCAGGCCAAAGTCGCAGATCTTGAGCTCGCAATCGGCATTGACGAGAAGGTTACCGGGTTTCAGATCGCGGTGGAGGACGTTTGCTGAGTGGATGTACTTGAGGCCGCAGAGGGTTTGGTAGATGAAAGATTGGAAGTGGGCGTCAGTCAAAGGTTGGCCTGAGCGGATCTGGATCGCGATAGAGATATGAATGAGTAACTCAGTGCAATGAGCAAGAATATAAGCGCTCACGATGGCGTGTAGATCGGCCTCCATTAGCTCCTCCTGTAGACGTGTCATCAGGGGGTCATCTCGAAGACAAGAAACGCGCTCGTACATAGAGATAGACCTCATCGAAGTTGCCGGTTGGTTGGAAGACGATATCCATGTCGTAGAGGCATGTTATCTGGAGCAAGTTCAATCATGGGTGTCGGTTATGGAGAAGCGCCCACTGACGTTTTTGTGTCCACGGAAGTGGTGAAGCAACCTTGCTGGAGGTTAACAACGAGAAGCGATGGGCGGTCGTGATAGCATACCTAATCTCTCGCAGGCATCGCTTAGTGAGGATACGCTGCAGACGCGATTTGAGGACTAGGGTGCGCTAGGAACCCAGCAAGCACAGACCTTGGTATTGATGTTGGTAATCTTCTTGATAGCGCAGCCCTCGCCTGAGCGGCGATGTTTTGCGGCTACTACGCAGCCATAAGCGCCCTGGCCGAGCTCCTTGACGAACTGATACTCTGAATCGACGACGAAGGTGGAGTTGAGAGCGGTGAAGCTGTGTCGCTGCATGATGGCGGTGGACGAGTGTGTAGTGTGGAAAGACGCGCCTGACCGCTTTAGTAGGAGAGATCGATGATCAGCTGTGTCCGACAATCAAGGGCCAAGCCACGCCAAACACCCTGCACTGCCGCATCAGCCCCTTCTTGGCCACCCACCGCCATCAAGCGCCCGCCCCGGCGTCCCGGCGTACTCGGCCGATATAACCTCCGACTCCCGGCCCGCTTCCGCACACCTTTTTGGCTTGGCGGCAGTGCAGGCTGTCCTCGGTTGCCTCGCTTGGGCACAGCTCCCATCTGCACGCCTATAAAACGACCAGACCATTTCACGACCGTAGCTCCTCAACTGTACTACCACCAATAATAATGGCTGCCAAATTCCTATGCTGCCTGCCCCTCCGCCTCGGTGTGGTCGTCATCTCCTTCCTCCAGTTCCTCTTCAGCGGTGCCGCCGCCGGTCTGCTATGGTGGGCCCTCTGGTACAACCACGAGAATGATTGTGAGTTGCCAGCGCCTCCTTCTCCCACCTTCGAGCAATGTCTCACCTGCATGCACCTCAGTGGCTGCCATCACCCAGTCCATGAAGACAACGGTGATCATCGTCGCCGTGATATACACTGTCGCAGCCCTCGTTGGTCTCCTCGGATTCCTCGGCGCCCTCCTGCGCAAGAACGCCTTCGTCAAGACCTTCTACGTCCTCCTCTGCGCCGTCTTCGGCTTCCAAATCGGCAGCAGCATCTGGTACCTCGTCACCTTCTACCGCAACCGCGGCCAGAGTCTCGAGGACTGCCTCAACGGCACAACCGACGCCAACCTCATCGCGTACTGCCAGTCGATGGACGCGTACAAGCGCGTGCCTCAGGGCGTCCTGATCGCTTCTGCCATCGTTCCTATCCTCATTCAAGGATGTAAGCGTGCTCTTTCGTCGCGTTCTGTGCTTCTGGATACTTACGTCCCAATTCCCAGACGCCTGCTACGTTGTTCACCAATACTCCAACCGCCTGACACAACAACGCGCTGAGCAAGCCCGTGCCGCGCAGGTCTTCGTTCCACCAAGCGGCCCTGCCTACCAACCCGTCATGCGCAACGAGGAGACCTACCCACTGACAAACCAAATCACCTACCCCTATGCCGACAACACGCACTCGTTCGGGCACCAGGCCCAGAAATCTGTAGACGCTGGCCAAAAGGTCTAAGCTCAGTTTCCAGTGTTCTCCTGTAGAGTAGTTATCATTCACGCCATCCCTCACGTTACGCAACGCATAATCGGACTCTAATCACATACATACACACGGACTACATACTTACTTATGATACACCTCTGAGGTGTCTTGTTGTGATCAAGTTGTAAAAAATGCACTTCTTTACGGCTTCACAACAAACACGATGCTCCCTTCCTCGCAATCCTAAATGCCTTCTCAACCTCTTCTTCAAGCGGCACCTCATCAATCCAACTCCACTGCCTCTGTATTGCCGCCCCAAGCCTGTCATAATCCTCCCCATACCGACTATCATCTAAAATTATTTTTAAATGTGCTTTTAAGTAAACTCATACATCCGCCCAGACTCATACGACCCCCGCAAGACAGCATTGGCAGCGGGCAGTCGGACCGCCTCGTACGCCTTTAGAAGAGCGGACAGGCTATCCCGTGTCGGGCGCATCGCCTTGGAGAGCAAGCGGGCAAGAATGAACGCATCCTGATTCAAATGCACCCTTAGTTGTGATTCTGAGAGCGACAGATCGAAGGATGGGATCCCAAGTTCCAAGCTGCCACGTTCATGGCATTACCAGGTTGGCAGATATGCGGATGCGATATTTACACCGCCTTCGCCTCGGACAGGGAGAAGTAGATGAAAAATGGATGAGCGGACGACCTATTCTTACCTCGATCGCTTGGCCCGCACCCACCCTGCATAGGAGTCTAGGAGCTCTTGCTTGTCGCAGTTCACGACCCAGTCTCCGCTGTATGGTTCCCCGTGTCTCTCTGGTCGGGAGGTGAAGGTGACGATGTTGACTATGTCTCCTTGCGAGATCGAGTAACTGACGACGTGCTAAACTGAGTCGTATCAAGGACGATATTTCGTGGGTATTCCTGACAGAAAGTACCTTGCTCTTTCCGCAATACTAAAGGATAATTAGCGATCCCGTTGAACCAAGATAAATTCAAATAAAGAGACCCTTACCATCATGGGCGTCTTAATCGTCCTATGTCCTCCCTCGGTATATCGCCAACGCGTACCAAGCCTCTATACGCAATCGTGCCGGTCCACACCGGGCTAATATGATCCAGCAAACCTAGATCTCCTCTCGCCATAGCCGCTTCGCGGTACATCTGCGCTCGGACTCCCGACTTGATCCCTTCCGCGCCAATGAGCAAGTCGCATTCTGAAATGCTACCGTCGGCGAACTGGAGAGATATTGGTTGGAGAGGGCTGGAGAGGCGGATGACTTGGTGATTGTAGGATACGAGACGTTTGCCGAAGTTCGCGATTCCTGGAGGGAGAGCGTTGACGAAGACGTCGAGAAAGTCTGCACGGTGAAACCGGATACACTTTGATTTTCAAATGGTTAGAGACGGCCCAAAAAATTGGTTATCACGGACGTACACCATCTAGATGAAATCATTATTTAGTGAATGAAGAATAATTGAAGATACATTGAAACTCACAAGGCATTTCGACGAGCTTGAATCTAAACCCCTCCTCTGGTTGGTCTGACCTCCGATAATCGAACCCAACACCTTTACTCGAAATACCACTCTTCAGAATTCCCTTCCGTAATGGTTACAACAACAAACTCACCCATCTCTCCCGTCGGCGGTGCATGGGCAATCTTCGCGAACTCACTCGCCAGACCCATATCCTCCAAGATACGCCAAGTCCTCGACCAAATCATCACGCCAGCTCCAATCTCTTTGAACTGACCCGCCGACTCGTAGAGCCGCACGTCTAGGTGGGAGAGATTCGAGAGCATGACGGCGAGGCAAAGGCCGCCGATACCTCCTCCACTGTGGACACAAAGGTTCGTTTAAGCTGTGGCTGAGATAACCGGGAGAATAGGTGTACCATATCGCTACACGTGGCTTTCTGCTAGTCTCTTCACTTGCCATGAGCACAAGAAGATAAGTTTACGAGTTGAAGGGGCCATGTGTGAGACGTTTTTGGAGGGCAGTCTATTTTCGACCTGGGAGCAACCCCATGACCCGACTAACTTGAAGGCACGTAGCCATCCCAGTCAGTTTCTGCAGAGAATTTCAAGAATCATGTTCGCTCATAGCTGTGAGGTTGTTAGTTAGGTTTAGAGCTTTCCGGATGGGAGATCCTGCCGAGGGGAGATAAAGGTGAAGGTAGGAGACGAGCAACTCTCGGAGCAACTCAGTCATGACGCAACAAACGGCGGGCCGGCTGCCCGCGATGACTGCTGATCTTGGCGCGCGACGCGCGTCGATTTGTCCTGAACCTCCGTTCAACGCGCTCTTCAACATCAGGATGCCATTTATCTACCCCACTTCGCAGCTCTCACTTGAAAGGAAGACAGTCATAATAGCAAGTCTTCAGCCTTCTTGTGTCAGCCTTTACTGATACTTCATCCTCCCAGCCAGTTGTGTCCACCGCGAACGTGGGCCAGCTCGCGGTCGATCTGATCATCGCGAGCTTGTCTCTCCAACGCGTCGCAATCCTCGAATCTGGCTATTGCGTGCCCGTCGTAGGTGCAAGGGAGGACGGCCAGAAGGGGATCACGACTGCCCTCGAACGTAAGCAAACATGACTTCACCGGGCGTTGTCCAAGAATTGACGACTCGTCTAATGGCAAGTTTATGGCCATCCCGGCGTCGACTTCGTCGTAATTCAGCAGAGGTCTCCGGTGTTGAAGGTTGGGGCATATTCTCTTGTCTGCTTGGATGCCCGTTCAGCCCTTCGTTTGCAGTCAAGAAAGGAAGAATTCATAAAGGCCCTCCTCAACTTTATCAAAGATTCGAAATTTGGCGCTGTGCTATTCCTCTCAGGCGTCGACCTCTCGAACAGGACCGACTCTCAAATGACGTGCGGTCAAGTACGCTAGCCCGTTTCCACTGAACTCACGGAGTCTGCGTCCAGAACCCCAACCTATCAAATCCGACCCGAAAACAGCCCTACCTTGGCTGGAACCGCCTTACAACGCCTCTCTTCTCTCCCAATTCCAAAATACACTTCACCTGTTTCACAAGAAGCCCAGCCTGCTGAAAGCAGTTCCAGCACCCCATTCATCCCTGGCGGTGGTATCACTCGCAGGATATTATCTTCACTTCCAAGCGAATGGAGCGTTCCAACAGCCAGCATACTCCAATTCGTACTGGAGGGCGACAATCGTGCAGATGCTGGCCTCCTGGCCTCCGTCGTGGTCAAAATACTAGGCAAGGAGGTTCCCCAGTGGAGGCAACCTGGGAGCTGGAGAGACGGGTTGTTCGGGACGCCTCATGATCAAACCTTGTTTGGATAGGCAAGAAACATAAATGAGAGAAACAAAATGTACAGAATATCTATTTCGAAGGCTGATGAGTCAATCATCGTTTTCCTGCGATGCCGAGTGGACCTCTTTTTCCAGCTTTTGTGGCTTGTGATAGTGAGAGGTATGCATATGGATCGAGTCCTCCCTTCCTGACATCGCCACCAGCTTTCTGAAGTCGAAGTCAACATCTGTATAACAAGGTATCAAAGGAGATAAACTTACTTTGGCCTTGAATTCATGTCCGAGCTTCGGCTCGACTTTCTTTTTCGATTTCTTCGTCTTGCCAGCAGGCGCCTCTTCCGGATCAGCCATGTCAACATCCATCGCATCTTCCTCTCGTCTCCGCTTCTTGGTGTCCTTGTTGAACTTGATCTTCCCATTGGGACCACGGGTGAAGCCATCGACTGACGCCAGGCTCTCGCGGTAAGCAGCCCCGGCAACGTCGCTGGCAGCCGCGCGGGCATTTGCCCCCTCGTCCTCATCACTGGAGTTCTCGTCGATGACCATCTTGCCAGTGTCCTCATCCGTCTTGAAATGGGTAGCGTCCTTGCCAGGTTTCCTACGGCGAGATTGGGCAGCTAGATTGAATGTCAAACTTTGACCAGGGACTGAGTAAATAGAGAGACGAACTTGTTATTTTTGTGCCGGCTCCTTGGAGCAAGTCCATAGGCTCGTCGTCGTCCAACCGTAGACGAGCACCTTCAGCCGCGTGCTTTTTATGTGATCCAGACGGCGCCGCGGGAGCATCGTCGTCGCTATCGTCTAGTTCACTTTCACTGCCGTAAAGAACGTCCTCGAAAGCATCTCCAGTGGCAGCTTTTGTCGGTGTAGTCTACAAGATATTCCTCAGATCGTGTGTCAGACGGATGCAAGAAGTATACACACCTCGTCGTCTCCATCCTCCTCAGCCCTGTTTGCCTTCTTCCGCTTGGCCCTCTCCTTCCTCTTCTTGATATTAACAAGTACTTTTGATGCCTCCTCGTCTCTAGCACACGAATACACCTCATCCCAACTGAAACGTCTGAGCATGCGCTGGAAGATGTGCCTGACCTTGAGCTTGAAGTGGTTCTTGTGATCATGCGACCAGTTCAACAAAGCGGGGACCAGGTCCTTCAGATGCGGTCGGATGAGGTCTGTTGGGAGGGTGTGCACGGCGAGTTTGACGAAGCCGAGGATTGACTTGACAATTTCGCGGTTGGCGGAGGAGAGGAACACGAGGAGCGTCGATAAGATCTCGTTGAGCATGTTGGAAGAAATTTGGTCTGAGAAAATGAAGAGATTATGGGGTGATCGCTTAAAGAAAAGACAAGCGTCGGTGTACCTTTGAACTCGAAGACAAGGCGCGAGATCGCCGTCACAGTCGCGCTGATCATATGAGGGCTGGCACCAGCAAGGCCACCAGCGACCATCGTCATGAACTCCTCGATATTAGCGACAGCTAGGAAAGTATCACGATTAGTATCTCACTATCGACAAACGATAAGGTGTGCTGTACCATCTTCAGCACCACCTTCATCCATCCCATCAACCAGACTCCTCTTGACGACACCGCCACTGCTCATTTTCCTGCCCATCGCAAGGACGACCTCGAACGCAGCCGTGCGTGCCTTCTCCGACGGCTCCTTCGTTCCAAGGACAGCCTCAGGTATCAGTGAAGGTATGATATGCATCGCAGTCGGTGGTAGCAAAGAAATCAGCAAGGCAAATAAATTGAATCTGTCCTTCTTTGCAGCTGGGGTCAGACCGTCAGTCAGTTCGTCCAGCTTGCGTAGGACAGCCTCTGCATCGACGGTCACTTTGTTATGCTCAACGAGCTTGGAGAGAATCTTGTAGCCACGCTTTTGGACACCGTTGTCTTTGCAGCTGAGGACGTCGGGTGTTAGTATAAGTGCAAAGAGGGTCTTAGAATCGGCGGCGGAAAGGCTGGGTAGAAGGAGGACGAGGATATCCTGCGAGGTGGTGGTCATGTTACCAATGTCTCCTACAGCGTTGGCGTATGAAGGGTTCTTTTGAGCCGCGGGGAGGTTGGTCTTGAAGAGCTGTACGACCTTGACATAAGCGCCGCGCACTTCCTGCAGAAGAGCATGAGAATGCGAAAATATACTTCTGGACGGTATACGACGATCCATACCTGCTCGCCAGCGATCGAAATCCATGCTGTTATCACATCACCGACCATACCCCTGGAGTCGCGTCCAACACTGCCATAAACATTAAAGAAAACTGCGAGCCAGCTTTCCATTTGTGTCCGCAAGAAGTTGAGGTTTTCTTGAGCTTCTTGTTGCGTGAGAGCTGACGGAGAAGGAGCTACTTCTTCATCTGAGGCCTTTGAAGCAGCCAAATTTGAATCTACGACTGACTTGAGAGCCTTTAGAATCGACGGTCGGAGTTCTGTTTGTCCGTACAGCAGTTGGGACAGAAGTTGGGCAAACTCTGGCGTCAAGGACTGTCATTTGTTCAGAAAAAAACCCTCAGTGAAAATGACTGGGTTGCTCACAGTCTTGAGATCTGCTGAATCGGAACAGTATCCCGCAAGTCCTGCCCATACCTGGCCTACGAGAACACTCCATACCTTTGCCTCAGACTGACGGCCCTCGATCTCTGCCTTCTGCTGCAAATCAAACATCCTCTCACTCAGAGGCACAAAGTAGGACACGAAGTGAGAAAGAGGAGATGAATGTGGCTGAGCTAGAAGAGGGAGTAAGAACGCTCGTGGTTCGGCTCCAGAGGCACTAGGACATGGATTTCAGCATCTTCGCAGTAGAGAAAATGGCGTTGAAACCGTACCGGCTAGCGGGATCAAGATTTAGAGGGAGGATCTTCAACAAGACTTCCGGCCCGAGAATACGCATTGCTACAGACAAAGTGCCATCTGCAGCTTCCTTGTACTCGAATCCCTTCGATATCCTCAATCCGGCAATCTGAACGATGAGGGGTGTGAGGAGAATTTCCGTGGCTGTTGATGAGTTTTTTGACTCCTTGTATTTGAGATTGGTGATGAGAGACGAAGCCACCGACAATAATTCAGGAATTGCCCGCGCATAGTTCAAGGAGTCAATCGCTTTCGCGACTTGTGAAATGATCTTCGAAATGGTACAAGTTACCTCTGATCCCGAGGTCTGCACGGCTGTCTTGATCATGGTCGGAGAGAAACAAGATGCGATTGAAGAAAGAGATTGAGCAGTTGCTTTTCGTGTTACTGCATCTGTGGAATCCAGAAAGCTCCATACGCTCTTCCATATTTTACCGACTTCTCCTTCCGCTTGCTCAGGATCTGCAATCTTGTACGCAACCAATGCACCACCTAAGACCTGCACCCAGCTTGCAGAGAGCGTAAAATCGGACTTGGAAGGAGACGATGATAGGACGGCTTTCAAGACTTCTGACAGCTGGTCACCAAAATTGCTCGACTCGTTCGCTGCTGAAGTAACAAAAATATCGGACATGATGGAGTACGATGATTGCGAAAGATAGGTGTTCCCAAGTCGCGGCAAGGTTAGGAGGAGAGCTGTGATAGAGGGAAGTGACTTTGAACTGCAGAATGAGAAGGGATACCATGAAGAAAAAAGATAGACACGTACGTCGGGAGGAAGATATGTGATTACGGGCCTGAGGAAGGCGAGAATATGAATCCCTACTTCTACCTCAGGATTTGCACTATTCTTCGAGCCTTTCCCTCTGGCAAAAGGACTTGAGCTTGCTTCCGCAAGTGCGCTCTTCACCCATTCAGCAACTCGTTCGGCATAAGGATGTCGCATAAGGGGAGTGGGTGGATTCGCAAGCAGATCTTTGACGACATCGGCAGCCTTCTTCCGCACTTTGGGACGCGGGTCGGCACACAACTGCAAGATAGATGCGAAGGTTTGTCGAACGCCTTGAACTTCCAATTGTGATCGATCGAGAGCCTGGAAGATGGAGTAGTAGAGAGAAAGTTGTGATCGTAAAGCAGGGGCATATTGGTTCAATGCTGGGAACAGAGGAGCGGTCAAGGATAGCAATGTATTCAAATTCGAGCGAATAACGGGTGCTGGGGTGAATGGGGCAACAAGGGCAAGGAGATAGAGTTCGGCGGGTAGAATAGCCCTGTCTTCGAGAGAGATATCCTTCTTCTGTATTGTTCCGTCTAATGTTGTCAAGATCGCTGCGAAATAAGCTGTCGGGGTAGCCTCTGTGTGTTGTTCCTTGAAGGTAGATTCCAGTGCGATCAAGAGATTTGCCGGGTTTTTCTGATGAGGTAGGGAGGAAGACGTATGAGGGCGAATCTTGGCAAGTGCTTCCTCCATAATGGCAGCAACTGGAAAGGAGCTCAAATATCGCGCAAAGGCTCTTCCAGTCTCTCGTCCAACTCTTTTCGAGCGAAGATATCGAAATTTTTTGCTTAGTCATCCATCACTGACTCTTAGGGTCCGATCAGGGTCCCAAAATGGCATCCCAAATGCCTCCGGGGCCATCCCAGAATCATGTCCCGCCGCCTGATACTCTGCCTCTTACCACCAGTTCCACTGTCTCACCGCGTTGGTTGACCCACCGCGCCTCTCGTGGCAATGCCTACGGGGACGCCAACTCCTTGGTCTTATGCTCTGATACGGTGCGCTGCGCGTTTCCGAATCGTGCACCGTTATACTCACTTCACCAATTGTAGATTCCTCTTCCGATTTGTGCTCAAGATATTTTACGGATCTATCGTCGTTGAAAACGTTGATGCCATCCCAAAGAATGGAAGGCCCTGGTGGGACATGCACGTTTCTTCTCCCTGCAGCAGCACTGAATCGCATAAATTAGCATTGTCTGTGCCAACCACAGCAACTCACTTACGGACGCGCTGTACGCTCGCAAATCAATCCAACATGACGAACAACACTCATTTTAAACCATAGGTTACTCGTAACTTCTATTCCGACTAATGTACGTGTTTTCTTGAACGAACAGTGAACTCCGTCTCGAACTGTCTCTAGAAACGGAACATGCTCCGTCTCACCGCGAAAGCGACCCAATTTGGTCATCGAACATTTACAAGTTGGCTTATAGAATCCGCTGGGACGGTTCCCATTAAGAGAAGAAAGGACCACAGAGATGGAAATGCAGACAACTCGGAGGTGATGGAGCACCTTATGAAGGTATAAAACAGAGCGCTGCTGCCGCTTAATTTAACCCTTTGTGTGTAGGCTCTCGAACTAGGAGATGCTGTTTGTCTGTTTCCTGAAGGGATGAGTCGCTACCACCCTACGATCGCACCTCTCAAGACGGGAGGTTAGTGCTTTCAAATGTTTGCCTAGACACGCCTTCTCATCCTTCCTGCAGTGGCCAGGCTTGTCTCCGACGTTCTCTCGAGAAACAGAGATGACCCAGACTTTGAAATATCGGTCCTACCAGTTTCAATCACATACATGTTACCCTTATCCGTGTTCTCCGTCAAATCGAAGGCTGACCTTTCTTGAGCAGGCATCGACAACACTTCCGCTCAGATGTCTTAGTCACCTTCCAATCACCACTAATGTTCACTCCCAAGGTTTTCATCGAGCTTTGTGACGATCCCATTATCATAACTCACACGTTGCATATTTGTAGAACAATCCCGAACTCCTCAGCCCTGTTGAATTCACGAACGTGCGTGAGTTGACAGCTCAGCTGCACGAAAAAATTGCCAGTGGGACGTATGACTCGCCGTCCTGGGACCTCATACGCTGTGCGAAGCTTGCTGCGCGAATGTACGCGCCGCTCGGGACGATGATGACTCTCGGTGATCATGTACGAATCAGTCTTTCATTTCTTGAAGTCTTCAAGTCACCCCAGGATTACCTCCCGGCCGGGAGCGAAACTGAGGTCGAGGAGCTTCGTGATCTACAATCATGTCTCAAGGCAAGCCATCCTTTTGTCTTATTGTTTGAGCGAATCATTGACCGCTCAACCCAGGCTTACCAAGATCGCCTTGCGAAATGGGGGATCAAGGATGATCGCATCCGACGGCCTCTTCCTCGCCACACCATCCTCTCTCGACTCGTCATTCGCTTGATGTGGTCTGTCTGCCTCTTTGCCGTCTCGCTGCCAGGCCAGGCCCTCTGGGTACCTATATTCGCCACCACTTTTTACGCAGTGCACAATTTCAAGAAGACCGGACCCATCTTCGACACCTGGGACGAGATCGCGCAGTACAAGCTCATCTACGGCCTCATGTCGGGAATATGCGTCTGGATATCTGCAGTCGCCCTGACGTGGCCGTTCGCTATTGTCACCGTATTTTTGGTCCCTGCGTTTATGTGGATGACTCTGCGCTGGTTCGAGGACGCAGTTGCCAGTTTTCGGGCCTTCACGGCGTTATTCCGCCTGCTCCGCGTGGGCAAGCCGACATTAAAAGAGATGCACGAGATCAGGAGGGATTTGCATTCTCGTGTCGTAGAATTAGCGGTCGGGAAGTTGAATCTGCCTGAGGATCCCGAAATGTACTTTACCCGAGCGGGCGGAAGGGAGAAAGGGCGGATTAGAGGCAGTTGGGATAGCCGAGCAAGGTATTTTTCGATCAAGAGGAGGCGCAAACGTGACTGGAACGAGACGCTACGCCTATATGATAAGGTAGATTATCCAGAAGACGAATAAACGTAAGCTTCTTGGTCTTGAATTGATCTTTCGCCAAATCGAATAAAATTCTGCCTTTCAAATGAGTGACAACGGTAAGTACAGCGAAAATGACGAAAATACATACATACAATATACAACTATTCTACAACGTCCTCGGCAAGGAGATGTACGAAGTCTTCAAAAAGGGGACGAATAAACGCTACATTCCAGGTAGGAGATGTATAAAGCTACAAGGGTGGATCGCACTATTAGATTCGTGTTGGAACTGGGGGGAGGGGCACTGCTGGAGGATCGGAAAAGATAGGCGGCAGTGCAAGGGTGCGATTCCTCCGCGGGCGAGAAGGAAACATGGCCTGCGCCATCGGTGTAATAGGTGGACTGGTGAACTGACCAGGGTCGATGACCACGTCTTCCGGCCCCTCTTCACGAAGTGGCCAAGGCTGGTCAGAAATAAGACGAGGAGGAGAGTTATCCCACAGAAGGAATGAGTCTCCACGTGCCACTGTGCGACCTTTGGGAAGTTGTGAGTGGAATAAACCGATGTCTCTGGTGACGTTCCGTGGCGTATCCATTTCCCTCGGTAGAACCGCAGCACTTCGACGGCTTGCAGCAGAGGACGCATTCGACGACTGGCTGCTCAGAAGCTGGTCGTGACGGTTGGGCGTCGCGGACGCAGTAGAATACACAGAAGCGGAATCATTGTTAGACCCACGGGAGTTCTGGCGGGAAATTCCCGCTGGAGCGCTGGAGCCATTGCGCAATGGAGAGGGACCGGGCGGTGTGTAGGTCTTGGGGGGTGGAAGGGGAGGTGGTGAAAAGGGAGGTGGGCCGACAGAAAGGAATTGTTCACGTCGGGAAGATGTTCGTTGTGGAGGTGTCGAATAACGGTCGAATTCTCCTAAAGGGGAGTTGTCGATTTCATTGTTTAGAATTTGCCGTTGTTTACGCTTCAGCACCGAGCGGGTCTTCTTCACGCCCTCCTCGGCCGCCCCCTCTCTTCCCTTCGCGCGACTGCGTTGGGCCAAATACCACGCGATGATGATCAGGTAGTTGACGAACAGGACACCAGCCAGCAGGCTGATTAGGACGCCGACACTGAGATTCATGGTTGTGGCAGAATGAAGGTGTGCATAGACAATCTACAACACCAGATGTGAGTGGATTTCATGTCATTGAGCTCGAAATGAGACCCACCAAATAGAGGCACTAGGCGATATTAAAACTCTCATCCCTCAAAGAGTGTGTGTAGTACAGGAGAAAGAGGAGGGAGAGGAAGTAACCCGTCCATGAAGATCGTTGCAGGTAGATATACCTCGGAAGGTTGCCAGCGAGCAGTTAAGCCGCGATGGCGGTTCTCGCGGAAGCACAACGGCGATAGAGTCGAGGTGGAACGGCGACATTCGGAGATAGTTGAACGAGGTCAAGACTCGTTTTCGGTGCCAGTGCAGCTTGGGTTATAGAGGATTGCAGGCAACCGTCAGTTGAGTGAACCGGATCGCCCATCAAATGTCCGGAACACGTGCTACTGGAAAGTTTTATTCGCCGAGTCCGCCAGCCCAGGACTTGCACCTTCCCTAAACCCGCCTGCATCTGCAGCACCGTTGTAACTCGGTATCCCGACAACAACTACAACTAGGCCTCATAACACGCCAAACGCACTTCTAGAACATATCATACCAACGTCGATAATATTCCCGGCCCGATTCTGCAACACCACGATATTTTTTACCACCCTTGATCTGTAATCTCATCCTCTGCAACTGCACTGTATTCTTTCACCTAGATGTCGCCCATCGCCTTGTCCGAACCATCAACGTCTCCATTCCCACCTCTGTTCGAGGCTTTGCGCTCAGCGCCAACTGCGCCAGGTCACCCACTCTGATCATCTCATTTGTTACGATGACTGATAGCGCCTCAGATGCGAAAGCCGCCGCCGATAGACTAGCCCGTGAGGTCGCCAAACAGGGCCCTCAATCCTTGGAGTATGTCCTGAGTGCCCATCAGTAACCAATCTCATTTCTTCATTCGCCAGTGAACTCCAGGTCCTCAAAACTTTGCATGATTTCGCCACCAACAAGAAATCTGGCTATGAGCGTGAATCCGCTGCGATTGCGTTCCACTCCTTCGCCACCATCTTAGGCCCAGCCGTTGCACCTCTCCTACTATCTTCGCTTCCTATTTTATTCGATCTCTACATGGATAAAGGCGACGTCGTCCGTTCAGCTGCATCTACGGCTGTCAAGGCCATCCTCAAACTCTTCCCACCCGAGTCTACACGCATTGTATTTCGCAAGCTCGAATCCATCCTAGAAAGTGGCAAATGGAAGACGAAAGTTGGCGTTCTAGAGTCTTACAAGCCTTTCGTCTCCTCCGCCCGCGATCCTGTTGCCGCCGAACTCGGCGAAGCTCTCCCAAAAGTAGAGGCGGCTATGCATGACACCAAACAGGAGGTGAGTAAAGCAGGATATCTTATATCTGCGTCGACTGAAACCGGGACCTCTCTAGGTCTCGTCCGCGGCAATTAAATGCGCCACATCTCTTTGCACAACCCTTGCCAATCCAGATCTCACACCACACATTCCGGTTCTCGTCAAGTGTATGGCAAACCCCGATCAAGTACCTGCGTGCATCAAAGCATTGTCGAGCACCACTTTTGTTGCTGAAGTCACTGCACCTGCCCTCGCCGTGCTTGTCCCACTGTTACTTCGTGCTTTAAATGACAGGAGTATGGAGGTCCAACGTCGAACGGTCGTTGTAATTGACAATCTCGTCAAACTTGTCCGAGATCCTAAGATTGCCGCAACTTACCTCAGCCCGTTGGTTGACGGTGTACAGAAGATTGCTACTGGCGCTGCTTTCCCTGAGGTCTGGCTATTCTTCCTCTGGATGTCGCACGTTTTTCTGATTTTATGTCCACAGGTTCGGGCATTTGGTGATACTGCCCTGAAGACCCTGTTGAAGTCCGGTGCTTCGTCCTCCGGACCACCGCCTGCGCATCGTGATCTTGATGCTGAAGCCTCCTTGGTCATATTCACGTTGAAAACACTCTTACCTGAACAATTGGCACTGGAACCGCCGAAATTCCCAAACGGTCCCAAGAAGGCAAAATATGCTGCCCTCGATATTACTCTCAACTTCCAAGCAGCACTCATTGCGGATCTAGTCTACAACCGTAATTTCAAGGATACCAGCATTTGGAAGCGCTGTGTGGGCGTCTATGCGTCCATTTGGCTGGATGACGAGCAGGGCACAGCCTTTGGGGAAGCCATTCGTTCTCATTACCATGCCATTGATCAGGTGCGTACTCTGATTGGTACAGGTATTCCGGGCTCAATTTCTACGGATTGCAGGCAAAGCATGCTGTTGCAAAAAGTTACAATTCTGAAGAGGGCGAACTCCTCTGCGACACCCTCTTTTCGCTAGCATATGGCGCCCTCCTCCTTCTCTCCCACACCACACTTCGTCTCATTCGTGGACGACGCTATGGTATCCTTGGAGCTAATGGATCCGGAAAGTCCACTCTAATGCGCCAGCTTCGTGACGGCAAGGTGGAGAATTTCCCTCCGCCGGACCAGCTCCGTTGTGTCATGGTTGAACATTCGCTCCAAGGCGAGGATGCCTCTTTGTCGGTATTAGATTTCATTGCTAGTGGTGAATCTATATTCCATGTGGCACTCGTGGCAACAGCTGACCCACTTTCATCTCAGATAAGGCGCTCTCCAATGTTCCTCGATCGAAAATCCGTGACCAGCTTGCCGAGGTCGGCTTTGACGATGCACGTCAAGCCGATATCGTGGGTGGCCTATCAGGTGGATGGAAAATGAAACTTGAACTTGCCAGGGCTATGCTCTATAACGCCGATCTTCTGCTACTCGATGAGGTCAGTTTACCCTATTTCATCAAAACGAACATGAAAAATAAGTAAACAACCTTTTGATAGCCTACGAATCATGTTGGTGCCATTTGGTTTTCATTTCTTGTCCACTGGGACTAACCCTGTACAGTTGGACCGTGCATCTGTTGCATGGCTTGAGGATTATCTGAAAGCGCAGAAAAACATAACTTGTTTGATTGTCAGTCACGACTCAGGGTGAGCGGTCACTGTCCCGATTCTTTCACCCGACTAACTCCCTACCAGATTTTTAGACAATGTCACGACCGATATCATCCATTACGAGAGCAAGAAAGTTCGTTTTCCATTGCCGCTCCTTCATTTCATTTCACTTATTTCGCTCGTTAATTCAAGCTTGTATATTATCCCGGAAATCTTTCTGCATTCGTCGAGAAGCACCCAGAAGCGAAATCATATTATACGCTCGCTGCCACGACCGTCAAATTCTCGTTCCCACCACCAGGGTCTCTCATGGGAGTTCGAAGCAATACTCGCGCGATCTTGAAGCTGTCAAACTGTACTTTTACATACCCCGGCAGAACTTCACCTAGTTTGTTCAACGTTAGTTGTGCTTTAAGCCTGTCGAGGTAATCGTTTTTCTTCAATCGATTTTCTATCAGACTGTCTCACCTCTTCTTCGTAGTCGTGTTGGGATAGTTGGTCCTAACGGCGCAGGGAAGTCTACGCTGATCAAACTTGTCACTGGAGAGACGACTCCTCAGGAAGGAGTTGTATACAAGCATCCTGCTCTGCGAGTTGGGTACGTCTCCCAACATGCTACGCATCACATCGGCAAGCTATTCTTTCTCTCGAATGGTCCTTTCTCTTGACTTTTTGACGCAGAACGTCATCTGGAGAAGACGCCTATCGGCTATATACAATGGCGTTTCCAGGATGGACATGATCGTAAGTATCTACTCCCACTTGGTGATTGTCGACGATCTAATACTTCCGGTGTAGGCGAGATACTGGAAAAGGTCACCCGCGTTCTGACACCTGAGGAAAAGGCATTACTGGACACAGACTGGGTTGGAAGGGATGGGAGTAAACGGAAAGTTGAGGTTGGTGCTCTCGTTATTACGTTGTGGCGTATCAAGGTATACTGAATACTGCCTTGCAGATGATCATGGGTCGTCAAAAACTGAAGAAGTCTTTCCAATACGAAATAAAATGGCGCGGCCTAGACCACAAATTCAACACCTGGGTCCCTCGGGAAGATCTACTTTCAAAGGGCTTTACGAAACTTGTACAACAATTCGACGATCTCGAAGCTTCGCGTGAAGGTGCAGGTTCACGCGACACGTCAGCACAACTCGTTCGCAAGCATCTGGAAGACATCGGTCTTGACGGGGACATTGCGCAGTACAACGAAATATCTGGCCTTTCTGGTGGACAGAAGATCAAGCTTGTCATTGCTGCTTGTCTTTGGAATAACCCACAGGTAAATCCGAAGTTGCATGTCACTTCTCTCGCTCAATCAGTCCTTTTATTAGATTTGCGTGCTCGACGAACCGAGTAACTTCCTAGACAGAGAAGCGTTGGGCGGATTGGCCGTCGCTATCAGAGAATGGTCCGGCGCTGTGGTCAGAAATTTTTTGGTAGATGCTGTCTCCCTCGAATCTGATTTCATTTCCGCAGGTCATCATCTCTCACAACCATGAATTCGTCTCATCACTCTGCCCAGAGATTTGGAATGTGGAAAATGGTCGGCTTGCTCACCAAGGCAAGGCTGCAGTCATCGAGGACGCTTTCTTGGGTTCCAAATCGCCGAAGGGCAGCGGTGCCAACACGCCTGCTCGATCTCGCATGCAGACACCCATCGCATCCGCGGCTGGCACGCCTGCAGGAAGCGGAGCGGAAGACGGCGCTGCAAAACCCGTGGTGAAGAAGAAGAAGAAACTGACCCGCAACCAGCTGAAGGCTCAGGAAGAGAGGAGGCGACTGAGGAAATTACGTTGGCTAACCGAGGGAGGGCCGCGGCCGGAGGACACTGACAGTGATGCTTGAGGGCAGGTCGACCTTTCCCCATTACGTAATATCACATGTTCCCTTCTGCCCGTCTCCGGGCCGTAGTCTGTTCAACAAACTCACCATGTCTACGACCCATAACATCGCCTTCCTCCTTGCTGTCTCAACGGAAGCGACGTCCTGAAGCATATTGCATAGCAATGCTCGCTGTTCTCGCGCACTATCTCGAAATGCTATGAGGAATACATGCCCATGCTAACGAGATTCATTGAAGATGAAAGCTGATATCTGGCGTTATCCATGATAGGCTAGCATTAGCATCGTGCCGCTAGTGTATGTATAGCCTGTTGGTGGATACGCCTCATCCGAGAGCGCAGGGCTACCTGCCCGGATGCGACGTGTTTGGAGCTCGCTTCGGTACTGCAAACCTGTTGTGGTGATAAAGATCCAACAGCTGGACGCATACGACAGTAATTCCCAAGGCAAACTTATACTCTAGCTCTCGAAATTGCTTAAAGAAACCAGTATGTCACTATGCTGCCGTTGAATAGGACAGCATGACAACTTACGCGCTTTGCCAGTACCTCTGAATTCATTCAGCAAGATAAGATTGCAAAGAAAACGTGTTGACCGTCCTTCGTCGTATCAGCCGTGCTATCCAAAAGCATTCTCCTTTGAACCTCTGGATGCAAGGCCATTGTGTTCGTGGACGTTATACACGCGATATCCGTGCTGGTATCATCTTAAGGAGTATTAAACGTGTAACAAGTGCATGCCTCGTGGTTCCAGTCTGCTATCTGGCGCAAGTCTTATAGAGCCATCCGCCCTTTGTACGGCATCTGTCCAACTGACTACCCCCAATGCCACTGCACTCGTTCCCATTCTTTCCGATAATTTACCTCCTTTCTGTCTTGCGTCTGGCCCTTGCGCACGGTTTTGTACACAGCGTAGTTGTCGGAGGACAGACCTATCCTGGATGGAATCCCTTCTCTGATCCGTGCGTTTTCAACGTTTGTTTTCCAGCTGACCATTCTAACTGTCGTATATTCAGATACACGAGCGGGCCCCCGAAAATTGTTCGAAAGATTGGTAGTGACGGACCTGGTCAGTTAACGTTAGTGCCCGTTTTTCTCAAATCTGACGTGGGCCGTCGCCCTCTGCTCCTAAGTTTCGAATACAGATGCAGACATAGCCTGCCATCACGGCGGAAATGACGGGACGGCCGCTATCGCCAGCGCCTCCGCGGGGTCAGAAGTAACGTTTCAATGGGCGTATGTAAGTTCAACTTTGCCGTTTATCGTTTCATGAATTTGACCTGAAGTTCTCAGTGGCCCGGAGGTAAAATATTCTTCTCTGGATAAACGGGCGTCTATGAATCAGTTGGACTAGACCATCAAGGGCCGGTGTCGACATACATGACTTCTTGCAGCGGTGATTGCTCCAATTTTGGAGCTAACGACGCTCGCTGGTTCAAAATCGACGCCAGTGGTTATGATCCCAGTACTCGGCAATGGGCGGCTGCTAAGCTGATTGCGAGTCAGTTGAATGCCTCTCTCTTCGTGTCGTATTTGCATGAGACTCACGTGTTCTTGTAGATGGCATGTCGTGGACCTCAACCATTCCTGTTAACCTTGCACCGGGACAGTATGTGAGCCCCTTTTCCGCGGGATCTGCTCGCCCTCGTTGCTAACGTTTCGTTGACTCCGAAGCTCATGCGTCACGAGATGTGCGTTAAGCATGGAATTCGTTAACCAGATACCTAGATCCGAAGCTGACGCACCACCGTTCTGGATGTTTTAGAATTGCGTTGCACTCTTCCCCGGCTCAGTTTTACCCCAGTTGTTCGTGAGTTGTATCTCTACAAAGTTGAAGGCAATATGTACTAATCCTTACGCAGTCAAGTTGAAGTTACCGGTTCAGGAACTGACACGCCTTCCGACAGTGCTTTGATCTCCATGCAGGACCTGTACACGGGGGTTACCTTCCCTAACATCTACGGAGAGTCGGTTTCCTTCGCAATCCCTGGGCCTTCGCCCGTGAGCTTCGATGGGAATGGAGGAAGCGCCTCAACTCCGACGACCAACAACACATCGTCGAACACGAGCACGAGAGCGAGCACTAGCACGAGCACGGTCAGCAGAACGGTCCCAGATGCTGTCTCCACTGTCGTAAGCCAGCCGTCAGTCCAATGCCATCTTGGTTCGAAAAGGTTAATCAGACAAAGATCGGGATGAGGGATGGGTACGTGATCACACGCATCGACACATGGCCGGTTTTAATTATCCCATAGTTCGGGCAGTATTCTCCGGGAATGGATTATTTATGGGCTCTTATTATCTGTTATGAATGGGTGTCGTGAGTCTGAGACTGACGATCCCCATGACGGTACTACTCTCGTTATCTAAAGCTTGTTATTTACCTATATCGAGCATCACTTATACTTCGATATTCCCGTAAAGGCAGAACAATACGTCATGTTCATCTTGTTTGTATACGGCATGGCTTATGGGACGTGTCGAAAAGAATGTGGAGTGAAAGAACAAGAGAACTCGGGTACATTCAATCTAGGAGTCGTAGAAGTTTTTCTGAAGGAACGTTCACCATAGGGAGAAAGACTTCCATAGAATTAGGCATGGGCATAAGCACAGTAAGGTATGTATATAGCGAGAAAGAAGCACTGGGGTTATGAACCATAAAAAGAATAAAATGCGAACTACTGTGGGCGCGATATGTAATAAATGTTCGACCAAGAGGAAAATAATGAAAGGAGCAAAAACCGTCCCGTACTCTACGCGCTGTGGAGAATTAACCCGGTTATTCATATTATTAATGGACCAGGACTTTAAGTTAGGTGTCACTTCTAAAGATGATAAGGTCAAGATATAAGAACTGAAGGAGCGGGTGTAACTAAGTCGATGCCTGGGAACAGATTCGGCCGTTTCATGCGGCGCAGAGTGACTTGTCGGACGGGGTTTCAAGGTGGGCCTTCTCAGTCACGGTGTCGATGGCTCGAAGAGGAGGAGGGGTGATAGTAATGCGAGTGTGGATGGGAGTGCGAAGCATGGGATCGAGAAGCGTCTTGTGACGACCCCGTCAAGTACAGCGTGTCGTTCATGGGCCCAGAGCCAGTGTCGTACCCCGAACCAGGGTGCGGGACGAGGTCATCCGCCATGGGATCGCCCTGACTCGACATCGTAAACGGGTGATGAGAGCTAGAGGCCACGGTGGCCGACTGGCGATTGGTCTGCCTCATTGATTGCCTTTTGTTTTGGAACCTGTTCGTAATCGTTAGCCCCGCAAAAAAAAATCGAACATGTGAGAGAGAAACGTCACCAAATCTGCACCGATCGAGCTGACATATCCAGCATCTTAGCAAGAGCGATGCGTTCTTCCGTCGAGGGAAAGGCGGTCCTAGCGTACGTTTCGTTGAGAACTTTGAGCTGAGCAGCGTCGGCGCGCTTTCTCTTCTTTTTGATAGTAGGCTCTTCAGGTGAAGTGGGCGAGATCGGAGGAGGGGAGTAGCTTTGTGGAGGGGGCACGATGCCGCCACCGCTGCGGCCGTAAGGCGACGAGGAGCGTTGCTCCAGTCGGCTGACGTCGTCGTACATGGCGCCATGAGTGTGGGAGCCCATATTTAGGTGGTCTTGCGACATATGATAGGGATAAGGGTTAGCATGGTTCGAATAATTCACGTATGCTGGGGGGTACGATGCCGTTGGCGACCGAATATTGTTGCCAGGAAAACCAGTTGCCTGCTGGACGAATGGCTGTTGGTGTTGCCATCTGTCGCCCGCGGGGGCGGGCGTTGTCGAAAGAGGAGGTAAGCGCCGCGAATCTGTAGGGTTGGTCATGATAGGCGGGGTCGACCGCGGGCCGTACGCAGGGTAGGTGGGCTGAGGCGAGTAGCGGTCGTGATGAATTTCATAGGCAGAAAACCCAGGGGGAAATTGTGGCGCTAGAAAAGAGATGAATGAAATCAAAGGGCTCGATGACGAAAGTAATGTGGATCGTGTACTGACAAGTGCCTGTGGGTTGGTACGGGGCGGCGCCATATAAGGCCTGAGGATTGAGGTCATAACCAAGCTTGTTGGGCGCTGAACGCGGCTGGGTATATGAGTTAGAATAGCTAGCGGGCACTATGGACGGCAAAAAGAAACGGCGGGTTGAGTGCGCTGAACGTTAAACACTACGAGAAGAACAGACCTGGAAAACGTGAGGTTGGAAAGGAGTCAGAAAGAGGAGGCAGGACTGTGCGCCCACCCTGTCCCGTCTGGAAGAAAACACCATGACTGCTCTGTGAATCTCCCGGAGAGCTTCGACGCGATTTGCCTACAGTCGGATAGTAACGGTCCTTGTTTGAGCTCGTCATTATTAGGGAAGGAGATAGTAATAGAAAAAAAGCGACAGGGAGAGGTGAAAGATTAATGGACGAGGCGAGCTGGGGAACTTAAATATAAGGCCGAGAAAAACACGCCCGAGCGACGTTTCCGGCACAAGACGCGAAGGAGTTGTCAAAGGGGCCAGGCAGAAGGCATGTAGTCGGTGCGCCAATGCACGAGGTAGCGATGAGGCTGTTGGGAAAGGGTTGTGAAGCACACAGACGCGTGTGGTGTGGAATCAAAGGCAGATGCTGGAGGCGGTGGGCAAGGAGTTTGTGGCAGAAGTGCAAGGCCTCGGGGGTTGATGATAGATACCCGGAAAGGACAAAGGTGACCAGTTTATTATTGTGGAATACGGGACGAGAAGAGAAGGCACGGAGTCGAGCAAGCTTTACGGGCCTCGATTGGAAGAAGAGCCGGCGATTTGGGTCAGATACGGATAGCAGATTTGACGATGATGCCATGTCAAATGGAGCACGAGCTGCGAATATGAAATCCTCATGTCGCCCAGGATTGGCAGAACAGTCACCGATCTTTTCTCGAACCCACCCGTGTCGGACCTCGTCTCTGCGCACACGTCGCGCGCCTGCGGAGTCTGCGCGGGCTGCCGACGCAGGCTCACTGGATGAGCACCCGCTCGCTGGCAGAGGTCAGCGGCGACGACGAGGACGATCGATCGTGGGACCCTACGTTTCAGAACACGGGAATCTCGATGGAGAGGAGCAATGTTCAGACAAAACACGCGTCGGGCGCACTGTCGCGCATTATGCTGACTAAGCACCGCACGTGATGCTCATGTCGCCGCACCACATCTCTGCCTCCAGGCCCGACAATGCCCAAGTGAGGAGCGCGCTCGCGCACGGATCAATAGCAATCTCTGTCGTCGACGTCGTCCATGGCCGCTCGTCGTCCCCTGCACCAGTCCCCTGAACGGCGCACACCAATGGGCGCCCTAATCAGTATGCCGCAGATATCTACTCACCACACCCCCCCTATTTCATGCCGTATCCGTACCCACCGTACGCCCCTCACCCACCAGACCTCTACGAAGAGCCTGCAACGACCTCGATTCCAGCGGGAACGTTCCTCCATAAGGGCTTCTATGACTTACTAGCCATGATTCCGACCCCTTCTACATCACGCTTGCTCTGGAAGCCTACACCCCCTCTGCCGCCAGAACCCATCGTCGCCGGTCCTAGGTATGAAGAAATTGCTCCTAATACAGGCATAAAGGCTTCCCCAAAGAGAGGCCGCAGGGTCAGCAAGGATATGGTCTCCAAACCCACAGGATTTGTGTATGTCCTCTCATCTCGCTCCCGACTAACGATCTCAAAGTTTTATCAGTCATCTCGTCCATGCTTCAGATGCAGATCAACTCGAGGCTCTCCTAACCCGATGGGGCCCTGATGGAGTAGGGAAGCTTGGAGGTTACCCGCGATTTCTGTCCACCGGGTTATCAGCAAGCTGAGAGATATTTACAGATCCTCGCTGGGCGAACCCAATCAAGAATTATATTAGGCAGAGGAATCAAACAAAGGCTATCAACGAAGTGGTCAACGCCCTCAAACCCTCTCTGAGTAGCAGGTTCGATGGGCCTCAACAGGGCCAGCTTCACGTCGTCAATGGCGTGAGCACCGCGACTTCTTCGTCTCTCACGACAGCCGCCAAAGAGAACGTGGTTCTCAATTCTTCTTATCACGACGGACTCCCAGCAAGGCCGGCTGGTTCTGCCTTTCGATGGGGTGTAGGTGGAGGTCTCCGATCGCACCCCGAAGTCTTGAACGAGGATCAAGATCCAGTTCCTGTGGAAACTGAACAAGTCATACAGCAACCAGCGAGAGTCTTAAACCCCTCTCTAGCAACCCTGGAAAAGGCCGTGGCTGCTCGTATCTACTTTGAGAATCTCTATTTTCCCCTGTTCCGGCACCCATCATCCAGAGAACAAAGAAGGATTGCGATGGAAGCTGACATGGCACAAATGCAACTTGCAGAGGAACAGAAGGAGCAACTTCGGATACGTTGGAGACAGAACGAAACTGAATATTTGCGGGAACGGAGACAGAAAGTCGACGCCAGCGCATTTGTGAAGCTCAAGACGATCGGGCACGGTCAGTATTATCCCTTAAACAATTATGCACTGCCTGACGACTTCCTCCGTGTTGTCTAGGTGCATTCGGTGTCGTGTCTTTGGTAAAAGAGAGGTCGTCCGGTAACCTGTATGCCATGAAACAGGTGTGTATTTCCTTCACACCTCTGACAAGGATAAATACGGGTGCAGTGCTGATGTCAACGTCGACAGCTGCGCAAGGCCGACATGTTGCGCAAGGGCCAGGAGGGGCATGTCCGTGCTGAGCGCGATATCCTCAAATCAGCGTCCCTTGTCCATTCCCCGGGTGGGGCCGAGTGGATTGTACGGCTGTACTATAGTTTTCAGGACAGGGACCATCTGTACTTGGTCAGTACTCGCTATCTATTTTTTTCCCTTTCCCAAACAAGCCGCGGGGACACAGTTCATATCGATTTCATTTCACGTTCATCAATCACTTTTTTGTTTATCCAGGTCCTGGAATACATGGGCGGCGGTGACCTTCTGAACCTTCTGATAGAGAGGGACGTTTTTGAAGAAGGGTTTACTCGATTCTATGTTGCAGAGGTGAAGAGTTTTTTTTCTGTGTCGAGGATCGCCGTCTCAAGTCTTCAAATATTCACCCTCTTTGCTCAGATGATTCTGGCCATTGAGAGCTGTCATCGCCATGGGTTTATCCACCGAGATATTAAACCTGATGTACGTCGTCCTTGGAACATTGTCAACAGCGCTAATCGGGGATCTCGTGGTTTCATAGAACTTCCTCTTCGACCCAGAAGGCCACATCAAGCTCAGCGACTTTGGGCTAGCGTACGTTTTCAACTTCGCTCCGTGCGACACTCCATTGGCTGAGCGGCGTTGCTAAAAATCTTAGCACTGATCTCCACTGGGCCCACGATACTTCTTGTATTCCATTTTTTTCACTCTTCGTGATCATTGTAAGGGACTCACCGCTCTCCTGTTTTAGACTACGAACAACAACGGTTGCATCTTTTGCATAAGCACGGGATCGATTTGGAAGATCCCAATGGGATAGCAGACGGGAAGAAGACTAAACGTCTGGACCCCAAGCAGGTGGAACTCCTGATGGGCGGTGGTGACGGACAGGGTGGTATCTTCACGTGGAGGGAGAAGAATAAAAGAAAGGTGCGAGCTTACAGACGAGTTCGTCCAAGAAGCAGACAGCTTATCGAATGGCTATAGCTCGCATATTCTGTGTACGTCCACTCATGACCCTCAAGTATCCAAAATGCGCTGATGCACTTGACACGATATCAGATGTGGCACAAATTCATACAGTAGGTTCGCCCGGCCGCTTTGTTTGCTTGATGCTAACAGGATTCCCAGTGTCTCCCGAGGTCATTCGTGGACACGGGTACTCGTACTCCTGCGATTGGTGGAGTCTAGGTGTTATCATGTTTGAGTGCTTATATGGGTCAGTCCTTCCTTACCTTCTTGTACCCGTATACGCCAACTCATCTTACGCGGGTACCCCAGTTTTCCGCCTTTCGTCAGCAATTCGGTGAATCGCAGTACCCTTCTGCGCCGATTGCTTGCTCTGACTCCCAACTACGTAGCGACATGTAACGCGGCAGAAGATTCTGAATTGGAAGCAGTCGCTCCGCTTTCCTTCGCGGCCACGCGTTTCGCATGAAGGCGTCAACCTCATTCAGCAGTTGTTGTGCGAGCCAGAAGATCGACTTGGCTCTCAGACTTCGGCTTCCGTGTCGCGGCCCAACTCATTAGTCGTGCAGGCCCGTCGAAGTGGCTTCGTTCCTCAGCCCGGTGTTTCTGCTGAGAATGACGGCGCCCACCTTATCAAGGTAAGAGAACCCTTTCCGCGAACCTGGAATCGAGGCCGGAGGTAACTCCAACGCAGGCCCATCCCTGGTTCAATGGCATCGATTGGCAAAACATACACCGTTACCCTGCGCCCTACCGCCCGGAGCTTCGCAGCCCAGAGGATACACGTCATTTCGACTCCGATATACCAGCCGAGGTGCGCATGCTGCTGGTTTTTTACGCTTCTGTGCAGGAGCCGCTGACATTCGATTCTTCTGCTGTTCGTTTCAGCCACTGGCCCCCGCGAACGGTGCACCTCCAGACGCAACCAAGGACCCTTTGCTTCTGCACAAGGTCCATGGGAAGGAGATCTTGGACGTGCGGAAGGCGCTCGCCTTCGCAGGATTCACGCACAAGAGCCCGCGCACCATCGAATACACCAGAGTGGACAAGGCGTTTGATGCCTGGTCTGGCGGTGATGACCAGCCTACCGAAGGCACTGTCAGGGGTCGTCCCCTCGTTCGAGAAACACGCGACATTGGCAAGGGCCGTGCGATCTCGATGTAATGAAGGTTGTATGCCTGGGGGTGGTGTACTTGTGCGGCTGGAATATACTTACATGTACTAATGGATCGATCTTCCTTCATTTTATTAGGCGAATTTACGATTATAATGTAGTGCTTATTCCAATAAGGGCAACTGTGGACTTCGTTACGCGAGTTGTGTACGCAGTGGACGAACTTGGATACCATGTTGTAGGACAGAAGCGAAAAACGGGTGCTGACTGACTTGAGGCCAGAATTTTAACTCAAAAGCATCCGCCAGTCGATATATGGTGTCTTGCGGCAGCGGCAGGAATCCAAGCTACTTTCACGGAAGGTGGGCATGGGTACCACAATGTGTCAAGCTTTAGCGCTCCAGCACGAGTAGGTCCTTGTATGTATGTGTAAAGACCATTTTAATAATATTATAACGAGAGCGTGTTTGCCCACAATAAATACCGAATAAATAACCGATGGATGCGTTGTCTACATGAATGAATGCAATAGATAGAGAGCGATACAAGTACAAATGATCTGTGTGACGCCACTGGAGTTAACCACCAGAAAACCAACGAGTGAAAAAGGCTGCGAGAGAGCGTGGATAACAACATAATAAATATGAGATAAATAAAGAGCAGAAAACATTGACGAGCGGCCAGTGGAATGTTGCTGTCTATGAGGAGTTAATGGGAACAGAGGTGATGGGGTAGAGGATCGTCTATGAAACGCGCCGAGTGCGTTTTTCAGCCGGGCGATCATAGTCGTCCAGATCGTCAGAGGAGCTACGGCTCCTGCGGGAACTACTGCTGGAAGTCGACGCAATGCTATCTCGACGCGCAAGGCGAGCGGCGAAGAAGCCTTCTGCACTAGAGGCCGTCGAGGGTGGCCCGGAACCGTCATCAGCATTGGGGTCTTGAAGGGGAACGGTGTTGTGCACTCGGGCATGACGGCGCATGTTGCTCAGAACACTGAAACTCCGCCCGCAAGTCGGGACCGGACATACGAACGCTAGCACATATGAGTCTTGGTACAAGGCCAGAGGGTGATCAACTTACGTTTCTCTCCTGTATGGCTGTTCAAGTGTATCTAGGAAGAGAAATGTTTTAGAAAAAAATCAACGGAGAGAAGGTCGGAACAAGGCTACTCACCTTAAGGCTGCTGGGTCTGGTAAAGCCTTTGCCACAGAAGTGACATTCGTATTTCGCGGAACCCAGCGCTGAGCTATCCATTGAACTCCGTCGAGCGAAAGTGGACGGGGGAGGATTAGGCGCAGCAGAAGTGGTATGAGTTGGGCGAGCAATTGGTGTGCGTTCATCGTCCTCCATCATACTCGTACTCCTCGTCACAGAGGTTGATATCGTGCCTGGCCACGGACCACGAGTGGATAATGCAATTTCCGATCTATGGCGAGTCAACGGAATGGGGTCGTAAGAATACTCTGCCCTTCGGTGATCGTGATAGTTGGGGGGTTTATTCCGATGAGGCGGGATTTGGTGGGGTGGGATCTCTCGTAGTGCAGTGCCCAGGACGCTCAGAGGCTGAGAATTGGGCGGTCCGCCGTAGGAAACGGCGTTGAAGGTCGGGGGACTAGCGTTAATGGCTTTACCATACCACGGGCTTGGACGGCCATGAGATGGTGCCCAATCTCCGCGTTTGAAGTCCAACGACGGGTCGGAGTGTCTCGCCGGGAGCTAGCAAAAATTATAAAGAAACAGCTGTTAAGTCAACAAGTGAACGACTCACTTTGCCAAGGCTGTCGTATGGCATTCTGCATGATCTATCAGGCCTTTCCGAGCTCATTCTGTTTTCGCCATCGTCATCAACACGCAGTCCGGCAAGTTTTAAGGTCGGGGATTCGTGGGGAGCGGTGCTTGGTCGCCTTGATAGCTCAAGCTCAACTGGACAGGGGAGATGAGCAACTAGACGGAGGGGATTAGATCTATGTCATTACCTGGGAATAAGTCGCGAATAGAAGGGAGAGTTGGACGGGCGTTCTTGTCCTCGTCATGTCTAGAGGAGAATGACATGCTCAAGCGGGGAGGAGTAAAGGGGGAAATTGAAATCAGGATTTGGGGCGGGTTGGATTGCCTATATAAACGAATTGGAAGGCTCAAACGCCAACTTGGACAATGCAGGCAAGGTAGCGGAAACCTTGTAAATCTAAGTTGGGTGTTAGGTGCATCGACTTTTGTCTCCAACCGAGCGCCTGGCAGCTTGATGGGATACCTTCGCACAGCCATGACTTGGTTTACCCTGAAGTCTTTGGTGTTTTAATCGGGAAGGTTATGATGCGTCGGCTTGTCTGTCAATAGATTGCAAGGATATGTCACTCGTTAAGACACTGATGCGTATGGATGTTTTCAACCTAAAAAGGATGTCTCCCACGGGAAGTAGCCATGGGACCAATCATTCTTTCCTAACTTAGAAAAAAGTTGATGAAGCAGTATTTTGGGAGGCATGATGTATTGAGGGGACGGTCAAAGTTCAAACTGGGGGTGCCGATGTCAATAAAGGTCGGAAGGCATAATGTCTAAAATGTGAAGCACACAGTTCCTCAACTGACCACAAATCGTTGATGATGATCAACGGGTTCCGACGTCACCCTAATTGGGACAGATTCAAACATTTGCTGGAACAGCTGCAGCCTCCGCTTCCGTTTTCGTCTGTAATGAAAGCGCATGCAATCCCTGAGCGAGCTCTTCGGATAGCGCAGAATAAACCATTCGATGACGCTGCATTGTGGTCTTGACAAGTGGTGAGCAGGAGGAAAGCGCGATGAGTGAAAGGAGCTATGCAACCTTCTTCTCGAAAGCGCTCGAGACAATCTGGACAGAGAAATCTACAAGCCAGACGACGCTCGTAAATAGGATGTCTCGTAAATAGGATGTGGCGCAAAGCAAGGTGAACATACGTGTTTCCCCGTTACTGTCCCCCTGCTCACGCATAGCAGTATGATGGCGGTGCTGCCACGAATCATTGGTGATCGAGAGAGAAGTGGGCTGCAAGAGTTTCGTTAGCTAAATAAGGGCATGATTGTCAGTAAATTTTCTGGAAAGAGCGGGAAGAGAAGTCGACAGGAGTTGCAGGACCTTCTCATGAATGGAGGTTTCGACTGGACCTGGGGTCGTTGGAGCTGATTGCATGGTGTAGAATCTCTTCGAAATGTGACTGCATGAACGTATCGAGGTGATGGCCCGGGCAACTGACATGCCAGGACGGTTGGCCCAGCGCTTCCGATGAACAGAAGCGAGGCGGTGGAAGAGGAAGCAGGCAAAGCGACGCAATCATCCAATCATCGCGCTAAACCGGAGCCCACAAGCACCAACACTGCTGACGTAACTCGTCTCTCATGCCAAAAGACAACTGTCTAGGTAATAGTATAATACATTGGTCTATTGCGTACAGTATTCTATCGTTTATAGCAGCCCATTCGTCTCGAGGAGAAGGACGATGCCTGAACGAGAATTAATCAGTTTGATGCAAGATCAGGTATTTTGGGTCGACATACTGTGGACAATCTCTGAGATGCTCTGTTTTGTCATATCAACCGTCAAATCCACCCCCTCGGGTGTCTCGTATACCTCATCGATCCCTGCGAATCCCTTGATATCCCCTCTGCGCGCCTTCGAGTAGAGCCCGTGACGATCTGTCTTCTCACAGTGCTCTAGAGGAGTCGCGACATGGATGAGGAAGAAGTTCGCGCCTGAACCGCCGGTTTGCAGAATGGTGTCGCGCGCGAGCTGACGTGACCGCTCTTGAGGGGATGTTGGGGCTGCGATGACGGCAGCACCTGCCCGGGTCAGCTCGGCAGAAACGAATGCGATACGATGGACATTTTCATGTCGGTCGTCCGCTGAATACCCCAGATCTATCAATTAAGCCAATGTTACTCGAGCGGTCGCGAAAAGATGATAACAACGTTAATTACCGGGGGATAGCTCTTGTCGGACGGTTTCACCCAGCAATAGCGAAACGCTCCGACCTCCTTGTTGATGAAGGGTGACTTGCAAGGCCTTTGCAATCGTATCTTTGCCAGAGTTGTGGAGACCTGTCAAAAAGAGGACGAAGCCCTGCTTATTGCGGGGCGGGTAGCTCTCCCTCAAAACTTTGACCACAGCACTGTGGGGAACATCAATTCAGATAAAACAAAGTGATGCGTCGGAGAGGGACAAACTCACTCATAACTAAACCAATCTGGAATGGAAGCGCCGGTCCTCAAACGCTTTCGGAGTTCGGTCCCAGAGATGTCGAGGGTTTGAACTCCTTTCGGTACCTCATCGACTGGTTGATATTCGTCGGTCGAGGGCAGGTATGTCATCTGCTGGAAGGGGACCATCTCTATCTGTAGCTCATCATGGTACTTGATAACCAGATCTTGCGCGTCGTACGGTCCGTAGAAGTCCTTTCCTTGCGAATTCTTTCCGGGGCCGGCATGATCGCGGCCAACGATAAAATGCGTTGCACCGTAGTTTTTGCGAATGATGGAATGCCAAACCGCCTCGCGCGGTCCTGCCATTCTCATGGCGAGCGGGAGAAGCGCTAGATGTCCCATGCCATTCGGATACTTTTGCATGATTGCCTCGTATACGCGTACGCGAGTGTAATGATCCACATCACCGGGTTTCGTTAGACCAACGACAGGATGGATCAAAACATTCTGCATTAACGACTGTTAGATGGTCTCGAAAGTGACAGAATTAGAGACAGGACCCACAGCTTGTCGTTGACGTGCGGCCCGAACGGTCAGTTCGCGATGGGCTCGGTGCATCGGGTTCCGTGTTTGGAAAGCAACGACCTTGCGCCACGATAGTTTTTTGAAGTGAGCACGAAGCTCGGCGGGGGTATCTGCGCGCATATAGATATATGAGAGAATGCATCAATGATTGAGGTAGAAGGCTTCTTACATCTCAGGGCTACGTAGTCGAAGTGAGCAGGAGCTTTGATAGCCTGAACCTTTCCACCAATGTAAAACTCCTTCACTCGATTGCGCAGGTAAGCGACAGATGGGTGAGCAGGATCGTCAGCGCCGAAGACGTGAATGGCCTCTTTGACCTGGTCGGGTTTGTAGATATCCTCAACTGAGGATTGCCGTGAGATTCGGGGAGCGGGAAGACGGACTTGGAGAAAGTACCGGTGATAATGGCCAGCGCCTCTTCGTCACGAGGATCCAAGAGCGCAATACGGCTTCCTGATGCGATGGCGAGTCGATCAATATCTGCCTGGGAAGAATCAAGGGTGACGGGAATTGGGAACAGAGTGCCATTTGCGAGACGCAGGTTCTCAACAACACTGAACAAAAGGATTAAGAACAAAGTTGTATCCAACAAGTTCACAAAGACTCACTTCTTGTAATCTGCCTCGTTCAGGAAACCCTCCAAAGGACTGAAACCGCCGTTCGTGATGAGCTCCAAGTCGCATAGTTGTCGCTGCGGCGCTGAATAAGCATCGCCATAAATATAGTAAGTTCAACCAACGCACTTCTGTCAGAACAAGATACGGAAGTGAAAGAGATTCTTCTCTCAGTTGCGCGGAGATTGGTTCATCTCTGGCTACAAGATCCTGTCGAAATTCGTCAGCCTCTCGTCCTCCGCAGTCACTGTCTGGTGGAGCCATCACCTTGAGAACGCCGCCGTGAGGAGTGTTGGTCATTGTCAGGGAGGAAAGATAGGGAGATACGACGGTAGCTCGTCCATTTTTTATCTACTTTGAATCATGATGATGTGCTCGAGGAATCGCCAACGATCACGCAATTGCACAGAAATTCGGGTAATCTCTCAAGGCGAATGCTTCGGCAACCTCCGGGCTTTTCTTCTATATAAGGCAATTTTTATGACTGAGCTGTATCCTCCGGAGTATCGCCTGTCTCGCAATGGTACGTTTATGAAGCCTTATAACTCGATAAGGCTATTCAAAGGACTTCAAGCACCCTCTATTTGTCGAACAACGAAATTGCAGGTTTTCAACTTCTATCTCTTGCGGTTTGCGCCAGTACGGTTGTTTATGACGACAGTATACGAAAGTTGCTGGGCAGCGCTTCTCCCTGTCAGGAGCAGTTATGAACGCTCGAGGGCCTGACTCGGCGAAGACTTGGAAGAGATTTAGAAGAACGCCACTCACGGGGACAGTAACAGTCAGCGCAAGTCAACTGGCAGCCAAGAACTTCGATGGAACGAGAGAGAGATGTGTCCATTATGATACAGTGAAAGCGAAAGTCAATAAAAATACATTAAATACAATGCTACCATATATCCGTCCAGTCTTCACTCCATGTGGGATATCAAGTAGGCCCGCCGAAAGTCAAGTTCACGGGACTTAGTGCAGACAGGATCTCCACATAACTTCTAACCAGAAGTTGGTGGCTCAAGGGCCGCTGACCCCATCCCACCCATCCTGTCGCTCTGTTAATGGTCTTCTGATCATATACGATAGTCCGCGATCCTCCAAACGGAGAAACTGCACGTTCTGAGACGGTGTCCTGTACGTTCGTTTGCGACAACTTGGATTGGGCTGAAAAGGAACCTTGGAAGGTCTCGTCTAAAGCGACAGTGGTTCTGCACATGTTGTTTTGCACTTGCAGTTGCACTGGGGCGGAGCAGGAAGAATTGGCGTATGAGACATTCAGGTGGAGGGGTTGGTTGAATGTCTTCACATAGGCCACAAATGCGGGAGAGTTCTGCCACCTGGGTATGGGTGAAAGGGCCTCAAGGACTATCGAAGCATCGATGTCGCTATAATGAAGACAGTCAAAAGGCAGCAGTCACGTTGAGAGAGAACATACCCATCTCCTGTGTCCATACTGAGAATGACGGGTTTCGGGCTCAATCGGCCTTGTGTAAGAGTGATGTTAGAGTGGATGGATCTACATTGAAGCGTTCAGTACTATGTGCAAGCAAAAAGATATGGACAATTACGCTTTGATAGTATCTAATGTTAGTGAGTTAGAAACATTGAAAGATCCTGTGATCGATCCCATGATATTCTTGAACGTGATTTGACATGCCTGCAAGAACTGTGCAAGAAACGTGAATGATTTGGACTTGGAAAGAAGAATACTGAATACCTCGCAAGACATAGGGCGAGCAGCACCTTCCAGCGTGAACTGGGTAACTTCAATTTGCTTCTGGACATAGCCAATTCTGTGCTCCAAGAGAGGGAGATAAACAAGGAATTGATCGATAGATGCTTTACGCTGGGGTAATAATGCGAGGACGTTGAAGGTGAGGAGATCGCCAACGCCAAGGGTGTCAGGGACCTGGGGATCTAGTCAGCGGGCCAGCGTTGTGGCATTGAGAAATAAAACATACGTAAATCGTTAGCCCCCTGCTCGATCCTTGTTCGCTGAAGCATACGTTTGTCTGCAGTCGAACATTGTTACTCGATGACTTCATCGACACATTGAAGATAATATCCTTCTCCTTCTTATCTTGGTTCATGTAAACCCACAGCGTCCCATTGATGTTATCCGCGGCGACCTTCTCGTAAGTCACGTTCGAACGAATGGTAATTAACCCTTGCGGAGGGAGTTGAAAACGAGCGCTGAAAGAAACCAAGCGACAGGTAAGAAACGATCAACAAGTACAGCCACAGAAGGTCATACAATTGAGTATTTTCGATGTCAGGATGTGTATCCCAAATGTTGCATGTCATATTGTTGGTGGTAGTTGGTATCCCAGTCGTCGCGAGTTGAAGGGGACCAGGTAGCACGACGTCTTCTGAGACCCAGAGTGAGCTTGTCGGTGCAAGGCTGAACGAATCATCCCTATCCCTTCCCTTCTGCAAGTAACGTTCGTGGCCATAACAAGAAAATACGATTGAGTGAGCTCACCAGAAGGATGATCGGAAGGCCAATAGCAAGCGACAAAACGGTGTAACCCAGCAGAACTCCGATAACTATCTTCCACACTCGCGCGCTGAAATTTCCCAATGACAGTGTCGACCGCGTGATGACCTTGCGATGCTGGGCTTCCGAGGTATCATAGTCGGGGAGAGTAGACGTAGACGACCGCGCGTGCACCGCTTGGGGATGGCGGAGGGTCAAGCCTGGATAGTTGTCGGAATCTGTCTTTGTCTGTCCAGAATCCAAGTCCTCGTCAAGAATGATCATGACGGTGTGCTTGTCATGAAGTGCCCCGGGACTCTTGAGGGGTTAGTCGTTGTTCACCAGGGGAGGTGTCTTGGGGAGGAGCAGATACGAGGAGAGGGGCGACGTAAGGAAGACTGGATTGGCATCAACGGGGAAATGTATGTTTTCAGCTTCACTTTCTCACACCCCTGAACACGTGTGTTCGATGACATACATGGACCACAGTCGATCAGGGTCGCGGCCTTGCCAAATTGCTTGAACTGGCTTCGTCGCGAAGAGGTATGCGAATTACGTCCACGATGTGGCATATGATACAACTTTTATAACCATATTAGATTTTTAAAGATCACCAAATGCACCTCCTGGCCCTCTTTCCTTGCCCGATGGACGGAAAGCAGATAGCACAGCATTGAATGCCTGACCAAGGGCATTCATCGCCAGTGTGACGTTTTCTTGTATGCTTGCCTTGCAGTGTCGTAGGAGCGTTACTGACTGGGCGCAGGCGGCGTCGAAGAAATTCGTTGGAACAACTACAGGAGAGTGCTTGGCCTGTAATGTTGCTCGTCAAAATGACGCCAAAAGTATTTGACGGGGATAACGTACTTGGGGGGCAGTCATCTTTTCCGTTTCGGAGACAATCTGTCGTGTCTCTGCCTCATCCAGTTCACGCCACATCTTGCGGAAAGTGTCAACAGCCTGCAAACTCTCGCTGAATCTGAAGAGTGTGTTCATCAAGGCGACGACTTCAGAGCGTTGCAGGAGATTGGTGTTGGACTGAGGACTATGGAAGGTAAGTCAGTTGGAAAATAAGAGGTCATGAGTAAAAGTTACGCACTCCAGCGCCTTCTCATCCAACTCGAACAAGATTTTGAGAGCAGTGGCTATTCCTGTGGTTTGCACTTTTCCCCAGAGCCTGCACTTGTCGCAGCCAATGCAATCCATGATACGCGTCACATTTCGGAAATGTGTCTTGAACTCCTCTTTGACGATCTGACGTCGTTTTTAAGTCAGGGAACCTGCGCGCAAAACAGGGTACTTACATTGGCGTTTTCACCGCGGAATAAAACCGATTCGTCGAATTTACCGACCATTGATGCGATGCCGATGACTTTTGACAATGTCATGAGGGTTTGGGTATCGTCTTCATGTGTTCCAGTAGAGCAATAGTCAAAGGCTTCAAGGTAAGGTCCAAGACGCGCGACTGCTCGAAGAAGTAGAATTGTGTTGAAATATATGTATTGTAACCGCTCAGGATGTGAGGCTACGCGTTGTATGAAGCATTTGAGATTCGGATGCTGTGCTAAGATCAGATATTTATCAAAAATGCAAAGGAAAATCGATGCCTACCCATTCTCCAGTCGTCTGATTGAGATATTCGTGGCAAATATGTGTGGATATAGATGCATGCAAACCTATGCATGGTCCATCATAGCGAAAGTCAACGAGGAAGAGCAAAAGCGTACCAGAAATAACTTTGTAATACACCCTCTTTTCTAAGCACTGTGGATCACTATCTTGGTTGTCTTGGTGGAAAGCCTCAGCCATCGTGTCTAGTAGCGAGACCAGACCAGGGGATTTAGAGGACATGAGGTTGAGTTCACTGAGGCCAAAACAGTTCTCCTCGTAGATAGAGCGCCATACGCGTTGTGCATCTTTCCCCGAATAACCCGTATAACGCTCTGGAACGAGCCGCAGATCAAAGTAGTCTCCCTCTAGAAGCGAGTTAGTCTGGGTTTATCTGGCGCGTAGGCTAGACCGAACCTGTATTATCATCCAAGAAACAAAAGTCGGAGTCGCGGTAATAGCACCCCGGTAGTGAATGGCGCTGTATGTGGTTGAGAAACTGCCGTATGTGTAGCATGTCATTTACGTACTTTGTCTATTGACGAAGGATCAACCTCGCTCAATGCCTTTGCCCTCCATTTCTCTGGAACATCACTCTGTTGCAATTAGTGTTCAGTTAGGAAGGACGAGACAGAAAAAGATTACTGACTTCGTCAACCGAGGTTATCGCGCAGCTAGGGTTATTACAGAAGCCCTGGTCTGGCCAAAAAGGACATTCGCGATATAGGTCGACCTGCAAGAGCTTGAGACGCAACCAACCAAAGGAATTCCGGCACTTACTTGGAAATATCGGAAGAAAGGCATGTGTACCAGTTCGGAAAGATTTGAGAACAGTTGCTCATTCACGCTTTCCATAGTTTCGAAGTCGCATAATGTCGTCTCGATTGGACCTGTAAGCTATGGAGATCTTCTAGTTGTCACCCGTCCGGAGAACAGAGACGGACACACCATAGAACGACAAGTCTTTTCCTTCACAGGCTCATGTTCCAACACTTCCTGGACCGGGCCGTCGCGGACTAGCGTCTCTGACAGGAATGTCTTCTTCGAGGACGATGAGGACACAATTGTCCAACCAAATGCGGAGAAGAGGGACGTGAGGCGAAGCGCCTGACATATTGGAGACTTCATGAGAAGAGATATCACCCACGGTGTATGGATTTCGTGGTCGAGGAGATGGAGGTAAGAGGGAAAGATGACAAAACTTCCACGTCTTCAAAGTGGGAGTTCGGAGATGACATCGTACTAGTATAAGCCGTACTAGACCTCCACGTGTTCCCGACCCACCGATCTAGCCGCCCGTTGTTTGACAATCACTCCCGATTGTAACAGACAGAGGGTGCTCTCAAACACAGGGGTCGGTGGCCTTGGTGGCTCGCAGGGAATGACCAGAGCGCCTGATATTCCTGAATTGTGGATACAATGAAGTAATGGGTATAACACGCGAATTCCATGCGGAGGATGGGCCGGGACTAGCGGAGGGTGGGATGATCGCCTGCCACGTCAATAAATCGAAAGTCCCACGGAGGTATGTATAGAAATCAGGCAACGAGTGGGAAGGTGTTTCGCAAACACCACCATCTACTACACCGTTCACAGCAGTGACGGAGGCTTGAGCTTGCTCTTCCGTTCCGTCCTCCAGGTTTTTTCCCGTCAAGGCTTTTCGCTACCGGACACCCGTCACTATGGCTCTTTCCGCCGCTGACTTACAGGTCAGAGTTCTCCGTTAATTATGCTCCTCCGCATGTCTTCTCACAGAGATTCTCGATGCATATAGAAGAGACACGAGCTTGAGGGGGCTCCTGATCCTTTCCCTTCTCTGTCTCAAGCTACTCCCGCGAAACCTAAGGCACCAGCTGCCATCGCGCTGGATACGGACTCAGAGGTCGCTTTTCCTTCCCTTGCATCCGCGGCACCCACCACCACCGCTCCAGCTGGTTCATGGGGCGCCGCGACTGGTCCTCGCATCAGGGCGACGGTCCACAAAGCCCCTCTCTTCGCTGATTCCTTCACCTTGTCCCAAATCGACTTGGCAAATTCTGGCAAGGACGGCAAGCCGGCTACTCTTGGAGAAGTTCTCAAGCAGGTTTTGGCAAAGTATAAGGTTAAGATAGAAGCGAGTACCAACCAGAAGTCTCGTCAAACCACCTTCCATATCAAGGCTGAATCCCAGAAGGAACTTGACAAAGCCAAGCGCAGTCTTTTGGCTCTTCTCAGTCCGGTTGTAAGTCCGGGCAGTGTGCTCTTGGATAGTGCTCATTGGTATCATCAGATTACCCTCGTTATCAATGCCCCCGCCTCGACCATCGGCTCAATCATCGGTCCGAAAGGTATGATACTCCTGTAAATTTATGTCCAACAATTAATCTCAGACAAATCACACCCAGGTGCGACCTTGAAGCAAATCCGTGATCAAACTAGTGTCAGGGTTGACATCCCTAAGAGAGAAGATGTTGGCAATGGTCATGCCAATGGGTCGGCCAACGACAAGGCTACTGAAGATGACGAGGACGAGGAACCCACAGTCCCAGTCACCTTGGTCGGACCCCAGCCTTTGGCATATGAAGCGCAGGCTATGTTGAATCAGATAATTTCGTCCAGGACCTCGACAGCCACCCAGCGTGTTCGCGACATCCCTGCCCACGTTCTTCCTTTCGTTTTGATTCGAAGGCCGTTGTTTATGGAAGCCGCTGGATTTGACAGTGTTAATTTGACCCTGAATGCCCTTGCTCGCGAGATCACGGTCAGTGGTGATCGCGAAGCAGTTGTTCGTGTCATCGATATGATTAGGCGCACGGTTGAAGGCTTCCAATCGTCGCTCACTTCAGTCAAGATCTCCCTCCCCAAACGCCAACATCGCCTTCTTATTGGACAGAACGCTGACGCCGTTCTGAGCAAGAGCAAATGCGCTGTTGCTGTTGCCAAGGATGGTGAAGGAGATGAGATCATTGTCTGGGGTCTAAGCTCTGATCTCCCGGCCGGACTTGCTGCTGTCATGGAACAGGCTAATTCCAAGTATATCCACGAATTAACCCTCCCTGGACCCATCGACCTCTCTAAGCAGCTCGTAACGTATCTGACTCGCATTCAATATGACAAGACCATCAGCAGCAACCACCCTGGTGTGGAAGCCTTCCTTCCGTCTGTTGATGCAACCACTCCTGCGCTCAGCATTGATTTAGTTGGCGACAAATCAGAGGTTGATGTTGTGGTCAAACAGGTCTCTGAGCTCATCGGCAAATTGATTGGTGCCACTAGGAATATTACTATTGACTGGCTTCTGCACCGTGTTATTACTGGCAAAAACGCGAAGAAGTAAGTTCAGTCACATCCCTTCCGCCTCGTTTATTCATCAGAGCACATCTAGGATCAAGCAATTCCAAGAGGCCCACAATATCATCGTGTACTTCCCTAGCGAGTCTTTGGAGTCATCGCTTGTGCTCTTGGTTTATGATCCCTTTTCTCCCACTGCTGCTGCCTCTCCTGATGAGAAGAAGAAGCATCTTGACGACGTCGGGAAAGAACTTTTGAAGATGGCTCGCGAAGCTGCTGACGTCAAGACCGAGACAATTTCAGTTGAGAAGCGCTGGCACGATTCTGTGGTTGGCTGGGGCGGAACTACCTTGAACGCGTGAGTTACTCTTCCGGTCGGGCTTGAATTTTGATCTCACTCAGAAATAGAATTATCGGCGAAGATACTACCCTCTCCATCAAGGTCGGAGCCGAAGCTGGAGATGCCTCCACAGAGGATATTATACTCGTCCGTGGCGTTAGCGCCGACGTCGATCGTGCCGTTAAGGAAATCAGCAAGATTGTGGAAGATGCTAAGAACGACGAGATCGTTAACAGTTATGTAGGGTTGACCTTGCTTCCCGCAGTTTTGCCCCCCTGAAGTATTCCCTTTACAGTCGACCGAATTCGACATCGACAGGGAGTATGTTGGCCGCATCGTTGGCTCTCAAGGTGCTGGTGTCAACAGGCTTCGCGATCAGCTTGGTGTCAAGGTCGACGTATCTGACGAAGTGGATGACAAGGAGAAGGACGGTGGCAAGAAGAAAAAGGCTGTTCATCAGAAGTCCAAGGTCAAGATCACTGGACGAAAGGAGAACGTCGAGGAGGCTAAGAAGCGCATCTTAGCCCAGGTTGACCGTCTTGTTCGTACTTTTCGCCTACATTTCATGTGGCGCGCGGCTCACCTCTTTTCAGGCGGACGAGACCTCGGAAATCCTTAAGATTCCTGCTCAATACCACTCTTCTCTCATCGGCCAAAGCGGGAAGTATGCTATCCGTCTGGAGGACAAGTACGCTGTGAAGATCACCTTCCCTCGCCAATCTCCTGAGGGCGGTGAAGGCAAGACCAGGGAGCAACTCAAGCCCGATGAAGTCCTGATCAAGGGTGGAAGAAAGGGTGTCGCTGGTGCCAAGTCTGAGCTGCTTGAGGCCGTCGAGTTCGAGAAGGAATCGAACAATGTCCTCAAATTCAACGTCCCCACTCGTGCTGTCGCTCGTATCCTTGGTCGCAGTGGTGCCTCGATCAATGAGATCAAGGACGACACCGGTGCTCAAATCGACGTCGACAAGGGCTCAGACGACGCCACCCAAATTACTGTTCGTGGTACCAAGCAGGCCATTGCCGTTGCAAAGGCTGCCATTCTCGCCATTTCAGACCAGGTCGCGGAAGAGACTACAGCTTCTGTTGCGATCGAGAGCAAGTTCCACCGTAATATTATCGGTGCTGGGGGACAAGGACTCAAGGAGCTGGTTGCTCGCTGTGGAGGGCCGTCAGACCCGAAGCTGCAAGCTGGCCTCATCAGATTGTGCTTCTCGTTTTGTTTTTTTTTTAAAAAAAAAAAAACAGAATACTAATTTCCTTTCCCTCCAGCCCCCGTCAAGGTGAACCATCTGATGAGGTCCGCCTTCGTGGCGAGCCCAAGCTTGTTGCCAAACTTAAGACCGAACTGGAGAAGCTTGTTGCAGACCTGCGTGACCGTGTTATCTTGGTCGCCGACATCCCTGCTGTTCAACATCGTGCGCTCATTGGGCGCGGTGGTCAGCATTTGAACGACTTACAGAATAAGTTCAACGTCCAGATTCAGTTCCCTGGTTCTCGCTCCTACAACCAGGTCGGCGAAGCTGAAAACATTGGTGACTTTGAGGGAGTCGATCCTGGTAATCTCGTCAAAGTGTCTGGGTCTCGTGCAGCGGTCGAGAAGGCTATCGAGGGACTTAAAGTTCGTCTTTTTGTCCATAAGTTTTTTCCTACATCTCATGACCCTCGTAGAGCAACGTCAAGGGTCCAGTTGCTGAGACTGTAACCAAGGCCGTCACTGTTCCCGTGAAGTACCACCATGCCATCTCCCAACG